AGGAGGGAATAAGAGAGCAAAACCCTAGCCGGTGGGTAAAGCTAAAAGAGTTTGGTGAGATGCCTCAAATAATGATCAGAGAGGATAAGCAGGAGAGAGAGATTAAAAGATATATGAGATTGTGTGGCTGAGATGTATAGAGTTCAAAGGGTTAGGTGGAAGTCACCCTTTATCTGAGGGTATGGATCCCATTGCAATGCAAAGAAACTTCCTTTGCAACAATACACGGGTCAACTATGTACCTGTCCCCTACCCAAGAACTTGGCTTCACCTTCTTATAAACTTTTTTTTTTTGGCATTAAATTTATTGGGCCCTACTCTCTCACTAAATTATTTTATACCCATGCTATTTTTCCACTTTGTTGTGCACATAATTGTACCTACCTGCCCAATATCTTCCAATATTATATATCTTCTTAACGCTTCATTGAGAGCCGATTGTAAACGCTCTTATCGATACATTTTATTGTTGAATCTTTAAGAATTTAATTATATGTGAAAGCGTAGTGTCCTAATCGGCTTCAAATAGAGCATAAATGCAGTTAATTAGGTATATCAATTTGTTTCGTGTAATCCACCAAATCATTCTTCATTGTTTATTTTACTTCAAAGCAATAAAACCTTAGATATTCCTTCACTAGCATGGTTCTAGAAGGAGGCCAAAAAATCAATAGGTTAAGTTTCCCACATTTTCCACTAAAGATGGTTGGAATTCTTGCCATAATTGGCCATTTTCAGCACAAACCTAATTCGTACGTGGGCATCCCCATTTCATAAATAACAAGGCTAGGAGAAGAAGAAAGGGTAATTCCTTCTACTTATGATGTAGCTCATAAGCCAAGCCCCAAGTCTATTGAAAAAGCAATAAATCCTACAAACCTTACTTAAAGTGGACCACCGACTGATTTATTCTTAATTTTTATATAGTTAGGTTTGCTCTTTAACGTATTTAACAGATTAATTTAATCTAAAATGTGAAATTTTTTATGTTTTTTACCTAACAAATAAATATACATCACGTTTGATTTTGAATTCATATCTTAATTAAATTAATTTATACAATTATCAAACAAATTTAAAATTCAAGTTTCAGCACAAATAATTTTTTAAATTTTTTAAAAATAAATATCTCGTTTATTATTGATTTCATTTGTCATAATGGTGTATTAGACTTTGCGTATCGAATTATTGGATATGTGCCAAGTGGGATTAAAGTAATAATCTCAGGGTTCCGGTTGTAAACTTTAATGTAACAGGGGAACCTGACAAGATCTAGCAGCAGATTCTCATCCACTAAGGTCTTGAATTTGCACTAACCAAAATAAAGAAAATGCCAAACATCTTTCTCACCCTTGCATGGATAATCCTTTCTATGGGAAAAATTGTGGGAGCAAAATTATTGGTAAGTTAAATGATGCTTGAGGCCTTGTAAGTGGAAACCAGAAATTGTGCTGTTTCTGAATTTTGCAGCAGTGGCTGGCGCCTACCTTATAACTTTGGATCTCAATGATGAATTGAGCCTGAAAAATCTTGCATTCTTTGATTCCTTCTTCATCAATAATGTTGCGCCAAGGCTACCAGTAACAAAGCCAAGAAAGTGCTTAGCAGCTTGGGTGCAGCTTTATATCAGTCGTATATCTTAATGGGCCAGCCACCACCATAACCTGAAAGAGTTGGCACTTAATTTCTTAAGCCTATATTTCAAGAAAATACACGAAAGTGGCAACAAAAGAAATTGGACTTTGAAATTGAAGGCTCACGGAGTGGACTGGCAAATGATGTAGTAGTTTGAGATGTGAGAAAAGGACGTCTTACAAGAAAACCTTCTTCGAGTAATTGTCAAGTTTCTGACGACTAAGGAGACGAGCATGAACATGTTCATTCCGTCTTCTACCAGTAAAAGCACGTTGGATGCTGAAAATACAAGTAAATTGTAACAAAATTCAACATGTCCAACCAATTGACATCATAACTAAATAACGTTTCAAGGGAGAAATAATGAGGGGAGCCCAAAGAGATATGAGAAATTGAGCTAGGTTTCATTGGATTGGGAGGGGAGGCTTATTTGCTGGCATCTGCAGCTGTTTTCTCTTCTTCAATCTCAGCAACAATGGCATCAATTTCAGCTTCTTCTAGTTGCCGCAAGCAGTCCATGCTCTTTTATCATCACGGATGCTTCTTTGTTCTTCTCCCCACTCTCAGCAACGTAATCCTGCTTTGAGCTGACATCATCTGATTTTTGAGCTGGATAAAGTTATGACTTTGGCCACTTGCGGCATTTTGTACAAGTGCTGACTCAGGATTTGACTAATTAAGATTAAGGTTAATAAAAAAGTTTATTGTTTTGCTCTCGTTGAGAGTCGAACTCAAGACCTCCCGCTTACTAAACGGGTGCTCTAACCAACTGAGCTACGAGAGCTTGTTATAACCATTTCCGAAGCATTTTATTAATGAAAGAGAAAATGTTGGCTTTGAGTCCACGTTTGTTTGTTTGGGATGTCCGTTCAGGCTGTAGCAGATGAGATGCAAGCAGAAGCCCGAGAAACGGGAGACATGAAAATTGGGCTATAGTTCAAGTGCCATGGTTACAGCCTCTTGGGGTCTCCTCCTTCGAGAGATGCTACTGTTTCAATGGGATTACACTTTCACGTTCTCAACTGCTCATTTTCATGGATAATTGGATCTGGAATTATGGATGTCAGACACAATATTACTAAAGCAGAAATTGCTTTTTTTCATGTTGTCTATGTTTCCTTTTTGGCAGCTGTAATATAAATCTCTCTAGCAAAAAGCCTTAAGGGGCTGTCTAATTACTAGTTGTATCATTGCTTCTAACCTAATTATCAACAATTGTGTTTCTAAAACCTATTTAGCACATAATTCCAGATTAGATATGGTTTTGTCTGATTTGCTTTACTGTTAACATTGAGTAAGTCCTGTGTTAAAATGATACAAGTGTGAACAACCACGATAACAAAAGTAAGGTTTGCCCCTCACAAGTCGTTACTTATATTCATTAATTCATATCAATAATTTTATGAACTTCAAATTTATATATATGTGCTCAACAGAATTCAGCTTGATTTTGGGAAGGTTTGACGAGAAACAAACAGAAAAAAGTTGAGGCCCAATATGTTGCATAGGCAACTATGCAAGTTGAACTGATGGTCCAGTCCTTATGGCCTAATGCGTTGCACAACTTCAATTGGGTGTGGTTTATTTCAGGGCCTGGCTCGAGATGGGTTTTCACGACTTGGTGTCTGTTTTCTGTGATAACAAAGCTTAAATAGGAGCATATGATACCAAAAGGATTACCCTCGAATGGTAACTTGAATAGGAGCATATAAAAACAAAAGGATTAACCTAATGGTAATCTCATTGAAGAATTAGAGGTTACAAGCATCTCCTCCTGAGTGAAAGGAGGGAATGGTTTGTGCAATTGAAATCAAAGCAAGTGAATGACTTGGTTCAGTTGGTAGAAATTAAAATAATCTAATTTAAATTTTTATTGTCAATGATCTTCTTTGATAAACGATTTTTATATCTAATGTAAGTGATTCATGACACATAGAATATGATATCTTCTCCTCATCTAAAGTTCTTTTAGTAAAAAAAAAAAAAAAAAGAAATTAAAGCAAGGCAAAAGATGCTCTATCATTGAATTCACAAACTTTATATATGATTAATAGCCAAAAATCAAGGGTCACCTAACTGCTAGAACATAATATACAGGTTAGACAAGACACAAAAGGCAAAAAAACAGGATATCAATGAAACACATCAGATATGAGCTGTGTTCTCTAGGAGTCAGGTGCAAATTGCCAAACCATGATTGCTTTTCGGTAATTGTGGCCCATGACATCGATTTCCTTCTTCACACAATTCATAACCTATCTCTTCTTAGAAAGATCTACCAGTTAGTTCTCCTTGTTCCGCCATTTTCCTAGTCATTGTTTTATTTATTGCATGTAATCTTTATGCTGTTGCTCTAACATCAGAAATCAAATGTACCGGACATCCCTTGCATGTTCTTTTTTTTTTTTTTTTTGGATTGGGCTATTTGGGCAAACTTACTTTCCATGAACAATGACTTCTTCCTGTATAACTGGATGTAATAATATTAAAACCTCGAAAATTTATGTACAAGGGGACCTCTCCAATTATGGGTAAAAGTATGACTAATTTTTAACCTGCTTTTGTGCATTGAGTGACTGTTCATGTTGAACAATCTATCAGCAAATTGAGTTGTAACTACAGTTACGAGCCAATATTACTCGTTACAGGGTAGATTCATGTCCAGTGAAAAAAAACCTGCTATGTGTAGACAAGATTTTCTACTTTGGATATTTTGCCAATCTCTGTTAAATTCTTAGTTTCACCATCATCTGATAATGACCGGCCACCAATCCAATCCATCATGGTTTGGGTGTCATGAGCTGGGCAACTGGGGGTCTACCTAAAAAAAAGAAAAAGCTTACAGTTGGTACCTAAATTCTTTTCATTTTCTCATGTCACTGCCATCTTTCTTTTAGCACAAGACTGCTTTAATTCTCCAGCCTTTTCCTTTTGGACAGAACTGCATGCTCATAATCAAGAAGTGAGAGGTTACCTTACCTATCAGCATAAAAGTTGATGTTTATTTAGCAAATCTTGCAGGAAACGTTGCATTTTATAATTGAAAATAAAAGGTGTAAGATGGAAAAGTGATATCAGAGAGTTCAAAAAGGATTATCATCCTCATAAATGAACATGCCCTACAAGCAATTCTTACAGCTCAATTTGGTTGGTATTTTATTTGTTAAATTGAAAAGCAAAAAAAATTCCATCTTTTTTACCTTTTTTTTATGATAAAAAAGGTGGAATTGATGGGTGATTTGTCCTCAACTTTAGCACACATGGAACATCAAAATATTATTACAAATTAGAAGATTAACTTAAACTTTTTCTAAAAATCTAGTAAAAAAAGTAACAACAACAAGAAGAAGAAAAAAGGAGAAAGCACATGTTGTTGGAGTTATTAAATAAAAGTAAGATGCTCATAAACAAGTTTTATATGATTATATATAATCCTAATTGGCTTTGTCCTTAATCACATCAATTCCCATCTCAGTTGGGTCTGTTGCTTGAACTTCATAGCTGATGCCATCTAGCACTCTTCTCAGCCCATCTTTGGATGTTGCATACAGCATTTTGGCTCTAGTTCTTGATGCCGTCGGGGACCTAAAATCCAAGATTAACATGCAAATTTGTTCTTGGATTAGTAGAAAATAACAAAAAAATTTAAAAAGGTGGAGTGTTTGGTGATCAGTCTCATCACTTCATATAGACTAAGCTACCAAATCACTATTAGCATCATAAATAAAATATATGTTCCTAAGCCAATGAACTATTAGTTTAATGATTCAGATAGACTTCAAAAATAAAAATTTTGAGTTCGAATCTCAGTTATAACACAATATATATTCATAAAGCATTGAAATGCTTAGATTCGTATTTATGAAGCGTAACATTATTGATATTGCCCTTCAAAAATATTAATCAAAATCTCAATTATTTGCCTATTATTAAGCCACTAGAGAAAATAATATGCTAATTATTATTGTTATATATAACATGTTACCCTCGTATACAGTAAGGAAGTAGAAAGAGCGACGGACCATGTAATGAAGAAGATCTTGCTTTTCCGACAATTATCAACGGTGACGAAATCAAAATCAAACACAGCATATCGGCAATCATCGGTAGGCAATGATGCAGCAAGATCATCATAGCTTTCGCCAGGGCCACCGACCTTATCGACGGTCACGAGCCTTGATTTCTCATCGATCTTGAACACAATATATCTATGCACTTTCTTCCATTTCATCTCCATGAATGAGTTCTTGCATTCTTCAGTGACCCACATCCCAGTTGTAGCCTATAGCATCATACACCCAAACACACTGAATTATATATACTTAACAAAAAAAAAAAAAAGTGAAAAGAAATGGGATGTACCATCTTGAAAGCCATTGCCATTGTTGTTGAATATTCTTTTGTTGTTGCCAAAACTTGAAACCCAAGGTGGCGAGAATTGAGAGTGGCATTTATGGGGTTTATATAAAGAAATAGGCTTAGAAATGCCACTGAAGTTCATTCATAATTACAACTCAATCTTACCTGATATGCTCTGTAGATATTGTTTAAATATAAAAACATGTATTAAATTTTAATAAAAATATTTTTATCAATTAAATATTATTTGAAATTAAAACGGTCCATCCTTTAAAAACCTTATCCATAACTCGACTCAAGTCGAACCAAATCCATGAGTCAAGCAGGTAATGTAAAGAGATCCAATCTGAATCATTTTCTTCATCTATTAAAAAAATAGAGTTAAGGGCCACTTAACTAATTCTTTAACATTCCTTATAATTGTATTTTTAGTTAATTACCTTTCTAGTAAAGGCAACAAGATAAACATAATGAATGTGTTATTTAAAATCTTTGTATATCAATTAATTTGAAGTTTTCAGTTAAAATAAATTATTTCAGTTACATTCTTTTCAAAAACTTCCCTAATAAATTAAACTATTCAGTAATTATTTCCAATCATCTAATATTACTTGGAATATTCCATTGTTTTTTTTGGCCAAAGGCTATTAACCCCATTGTTATTATTTTTCATTCTTTAAAAGTTCAAACAACAGCTTGACCTGTTTTTTTCTTTTTTTTTTTTATAATTTATCCATACTGTTTTGTTAAATTTATCCATGCTTACAACACCATCATCTTGTTTTATGATTGAACTTTCTTTTTATCGTCAAATCTTTTAAAATTTCAATGATAAAATAACATAATATTTACTAAAAATCATTTTTTGTCGATCATCCAAAAGAAAAATTAGTCAATTCAATGACAGAGGTAAGATGCACAAAATAATTCAGTGGGCTGCAAAGAGCATGTTGATGCAACATTTATCAATCAACAATGTATAGGGGGTACCAATTCAACTTGTGGATATTGGAGAAAAAAAAGGAAATTACAAAAGCTTTTTGTTTATATTGAAAATGTATGTTCTGTCCTTCACCCTTTGATATAGTGATAAGGAGGTTTTATGAAGATATAGAAGTCTTGGTTTCGAGTCAAGATCTCATTCCCTTTCTCCTATGTAAGAGCTATGTTCTACTCTGAACCAATAAAAGAAAATGCATGTTCTTTTGAGTTTCAAGAGAATTTTCTTAAAATTTGAAAATTCTAAAACTGAGAAAAGTTATAGCTATAAGTGAAAACATAACCTAAGTAGAAAAATACGGTGGTCCTATCTCGGATAGCACACCCACATTTCCCCATCTCTCTCTATCTTTGTGTTCCTCAAAAGGGTTATTTGCGTGAAAGCAAAGGATAAGAAACAAAAACAACAGTTAAGAATGAAGACAAACTAAGTTAAAATTGATCAAAAGAAATGAATGTAAAAGAAAAAAGTGTTTTCTTGATATAAATGAATCCATTATCCATGCCATTGCCATGCATAAACAGATTTCTAACGCCTACAATTCCAAGATTTCACATCCCTAGCGAGGCTCGAGTTCTTCTATAAACTTGTCTGAAGAATGTGTAGGTGATTGGGGCAACATCCCAACCATTAGTTCTCATAAAATAGTGTTGCTGCCAATCGTTTTTCTATTGGTAAGAGATCCAGATGATTGATACGAGTTGGATATGTAGTTACAAACGCTAACACCCAGGAGAATTTTTCGCTAGGGAAGCAATGGACGTGGATGGGGAGACATAACCCTCATGTGTAGGCGGTCTCCACTGTGGAAAAGCAGAAACTGCTTTATTAGGCCCACCAGAGGTGTCCGATCGACCAACTTTTTCTAACGTGAATCGAAGTCTCACTACATGGCTTGCTTTTTAGTGGCGGGTAATGTGGAATGGCTCGTTTTGGGAGGGGTTCGACCCCACGAATCTCACCTTTTAAGACCAGCTATTTCTTGATGGCTTAATCTGCCTCAAACTAGTCAGGAAAATGCCTGTCTGGCTACTTTGATTTCTACCCACTCTTGAAAAGAAATACTGACTCAGGAACAGAAAGATTGATATCATGTTTTTCAAACCGGTTCTTCACTAATTACTGCAAAGCAATTTCTGATATGTGGAGGTCGTTGGTTCATGCGAATCCAGGGAACCATCTTTCACATAAATACACGTCAGAAGCTCTTCTTGCATTATCCCTGGAGCTACTTAAGTTTGCCTCATAAACAACTACACATGTCACGTGGAGCTAGAAACAGGTGAAAACCTTTGATTAAGAACATACTGTTGGGCTTGCCTCTTGAACTAGGCTTTGTTGTAATAAAAAAAATAAACATGTAATGAAAATTGAAATGGAGCAAGCAACTTGTGTACCATTCAGGATATATTTAAAATTATCATGATTAAAACCTTAATCACTAAAATTAAAAAGTCAACGCAATGTCAATAACACGACTGTTGAGTGTTGACAACTTGGAATCAAACTTTGCCATCAGACACCAACATATCCTGCATTTCCCTTAGAATCAAATAAAACTTGCGACATGAATGATAACATCCTAATCCCATACCAATAAATGGTAAATCATTAATCTTCGAGTGTTTTAGAACAGAAAAAGAAAAAGTTTCAAGTGAGTCCACCGCACAGTTTTGACACACTTCTCAAGTGTCTGTTTTGCGTCAGGAAAAACAGAACCGGCTGACACATCAACCAATATATGAAGGTAGATTTGGATTCAGCAATTTAAGTTTTGCATTCAGCAGCAGTCCACTAGATCTTCACTTGTCATCTTTTGGCTGATGCTCATCTTCATTCTTCTTTTCTTGCGACTAGTAGCAGGTAAAAATTTACGACAGATCAGTTTAACTACTAGAAAAGGTGAGATATTCTTTCAGCTATTATTAATAGGTAAAAGTTTAATGTGTGAGTGGTGGAAACAATGTCATCACGAATAGAAAATTGCGTTTGAAGTTCATGTTAGGTTATGCTAAGTTTAATGAAACAAACGTCGGATTGGCCTGCCAAAGATGCTAGCAAATCTTTCACATTTGGATCATTTGGGTCAATTCCTGGAAGCTGTAAAAGCCATAACTTATCAGAATGCATGCAACCGAAGCAGAAATTGATTATCGGTTTAAAAAAGGGAAATTCAACTAGACTTACCGATGAAAGAATGGATGACATAAAAGACTGATCTACCAACACCTTGCTGACATCTGACTGCGCTGACGAATCTTTTGAGCTGTCCTGCATGGACATCTGAAGTGCTGCATGCAAAAAACCAGACCATTTTGTGTCTAGTTTAGAATTGGATGATATTGATGCATGCAATTGGCTACATTTATATATCTACAAGTATTACTTTGGAGTCTGGCATCTTAAACCAGTAAAAGATACAATGCAAACCAATATAAAGCAAAATCCTGACACACTCAACGGTATACACATTAAGATAGCTGCAAACCAAAAGGCATATATAACTATTACCCTTACATTAAAGATAAAAGATTGCCTTAAGCTTCTGAACTAAACCTAGTATGGTTTAGTGCTTTGCTTTGATGAGATTTGATTGGTAGGATTTAGCAAGATATAAATACGACTAGCCAGAGACATAAATGGATGCTGCACTCACTTGAACCATCAATGTGAAACAGAATCTATGGAAGCATTTTGTAATTCCTCAGAAACAAAAGAATTAGTAGACCCTTTCCTCCTTCGAAAAGAAGAGGTGTAGCCTGATGCAAGTAGACACCCTGATATGTTAAGATAACCAACAATATAAAGGACATACCCGAGGCCAACTCCTGATGGTCATTAGTTGCCTCAGACATCTTAGCATCACCCACAGAAGAATCAGATCCAGGTATTCATTGACAAAGCAAGAGCCTGCTTTAGCAAAGCATCATCCTCATCCTGCCATAACATCAGTTTGCCAAAGCCAATTTAAAACTTAAGTCATACTATCCAATGTTAACACATAGTAATTTCTGGAATGGTAAAAAAATTGACTTCAAAGTAATACCAACCATTGGATCAATAACTTTTTCAGTTGCAGTCATAGTTGCATTCTGAGAATCGGAGAGTGGTTGCGCTTCCTCTCCTTTTTCTTGTCTAGTGGCTTCCTTAGCACCCCTCTTGGCAGCAGCATCTTGCCTTGCTCTCTCCTCTTCCATGGAAACCCTTAGCGCAGGCGCCAGTTTTGGATCAATATTTGGATCCACTTCAAAATCGAAGTCAAAAACACCACCTGCTGCTGCTCGCTCCTTACCCATCCCCAGTGAACACAGGTGTGCTGGCATAGTAGTCATAGGAGTGCCCCTGTTAATTGCACAGATTTATATACCGGGGACTTCAACTTTTCTGTTTTACAGAGATCCCCTGTTTATTTCTTTATAAAATATTTTTCTCCCTGTAATGATATCTGTTTGGATTCAAACATAACAAAAGTCTTACAAAAAAAAAATACAAAAGTAAGTATTATTTTGTTGTATATCATCGATAAGAGAAAATATTTCATTTACTGTTGAAGAAAATTTTAACTTTCATAAATGAAATTAGTAGAATGTCATATAAATTAATATTTAAATTTATTTAATACATTATCAATGTATTTAAAATTTTAATATTTAATATATTATCAATGTAAAATTTTAATTTCATTAATAATATTATAAGATTAATATGTGTGTCACTTTATTTTTAATTAATTCTTTATTTTTTAAATTTATTTTGAATAAAACATAAAGATTTCATTGTTAATTAATTTTTTAAAAAATAATTAAAATAAATAAAATATATTTCACTCTTTTAATCTCATAAAATTAAAAATAACATTAATAACATATTAAATAATTACTCAAATTAGATAGATATCAATGAATTTGAAGAAAAGGGGAAAGCAGAAGCATGTGTAGAGAATAAAGCAACTGTCTCACTGGTTTTTATAGGTAATAGGGACATATTCTTACTAGAGACCCATTTCCATAAAACCCTAATCATATCATGAAAAACATTTTTGGGAGCTTATATCTTCTTTCATGGTCCTACTCCTAAGTCCAACCCCAAGTATAGTAGTTTTAATTAATGACTAAAACACAACCATTGCCATCATTTAACAATGAATTTATAACATTTTATATTTTGGGATAAATCATACACAAGTTTTTTAATTAAAGTTTTTAAAATTTTTAGTAAAAATAATCAAACAAATTTAAAATTAAAAAATTAAATCGATAAATTAAAACATTTTATTTATATATATATATCAAGAAAATAAAATTTTAATGTATTTTTTAGATAAATAGTTGTAGTAAAATTTTTGATAAAAAAATTTATCGTTAAATAAGTATTGATTATAATTTTTATTATAAATAATATTTTTAAATAATATTTATAGATATAGATTTTCATGACATGTTACCCTAATCTCTCCCTTCTGGTTGAGTATATTTATTTAAAACCAACTTATTGTTAAATCAATACAAAAAAGGAAAGAAAATTCTATCTTCTTGATCTAGGAATATAATATTTCCTAAAACAGGTGTTGATATGTTATTAGCACGAAAAATTGGTTATCAATTTTTTTTATTTGGAGTTGTTAATAATTGATCTTTATTTTCCTCCCAAATTTAGAAAGATTCGATTTGAAGTTAAAAAAATAATTTTTATTTTTTTTATTTTCTAATTTTTCTCTTATCAAATAAAAAAAATTTAATATTAATTTTGAAGGAAAAAAATCAAATTCATTTACTTTTTCCTTTCTAAAATATTTGTTATGTGTTGAATTTCATAAAATTTAAGAAAAAAATTTGGACTTTAATACACTTAATATTAAATTTTAAAATTTTTTATAAAAGTAAAATTTTATAATTTTTAATAAAAATTTAAAAAATGATTAAAATATTTTTTATTATAAAAAATAAGAATTTTAAATATTAAAAAAATAAAACATGATTTTGAGACAATTAAAAAAAAACGAAAAAGGTATATTTTTACACTTTTTCCCTCTTACAAAAAAAAAATTATTCCATTTCCATATTTTCTTTCATTTCCTCTGATACTTTTTTAAATCTTACCAAATAAAATAAAATATCAACACCACCGTAGATTTTACGTAAAACAAAATCTGAACCGTACATGTCGACTTAGGGGCTACAGTTCTCAAACAAAAGCACCGTCATTCACAGAAACGAAAAATCGAAACACTTTTAAGTACTCAAACCTAGTACTCAATACGCTCCGCAAGTCCAAAACCTCGAACTCAACCCCACAACAGCCATTGAAAATCTTCTTTGTCCTTTTGGTATAGCTTCTAGGTTAATGGGGTTTCGAGAAAATTGCACGTTCAGTGCCTGGAAATGGCTAGGCTTCGTTTCTGCCATATGGGTCCAGATCGTTTCAGGCAATAACTATACTTTTTCAAACTACTCTGATGCTCTCAAGACGCTTATGAACCTTACCCAGCTTGAGCTTAACAATTTGTCTGTGGCTAAAGATGTTGGTAAGGCTTTTGGTCTCCTTGCTGGCCTTGCCTCTGATCGTTTCCCCATGCCGGTTATTCTCCTTATTGGTGCCATTGAAGGCCTGATAGGTTATGGTGCTCAATGGCTTGTCGTTAGTCGGAACATTCAACTACTTCCTTACTGGCAGGTATATATGCATTAGTGTAGAAAAGCTATTCTTCATCATTAAAATCCAATTCCCAAGAAAATGAGTCTTTAACTACTTACAGATGTGTGTATTCCTGTGCATGGGAGGCAACAGCACTACATGGATGAACACGGCGGTGTTAGTAACTTGCATGCGCAACTTCCGCCGCAACCGTGGGCCAGTCTCTGGCATCTTAAAAGGCTACATCGGCCTCAGCACCGCCATCTTCACTGACCTCTGCTCCGCCCTCTTCTCCAATGACCCCGCCAGATTCCTCATCATGCTCGCCGTCATCCCCTCTGCTGTTTGCCTCACCGCCGTCTTCTTCCTCCGTGAAATCCCCCAATCCACCTCCGTCGCTGCAGAAAAGGAAGAAACCCGCTATTTCGCAATATTTAACGTAGATGCCATTATCGTCGCTGTTTATCTTTTAGCTTACGATCTGATCGGTTCGACCAATCAAGTCTTTTCGCTCGTTTTCGCTTTTATACTTCTTATTTTATTAGCCAGCCCGTTGGCGATTCCGGTTTATTCTTTTGTCAAGAGTTGGCGCTTCGTCGGGTCCGGAGCTGACACGGAGCGACAGGAACCGTTGCTGAAATCGGAAACGAAGGCAACTGAGGCTGAGAAAACGGAGGTTGTTGCTGAGGAGGCGCAAGTGGAGGCGGAGGGAGATATGGCGTTGCCGGAGATAGGAGAGGATCACACGATATTAGAGGCGGTGCGGACCTGGGAGTTTTGGCTTTTGTTTGTGTCGTTTTTGTGTGGGGTGGGGACAGGCTTGGCGGTGATGAATAACATGGCGCAGATTGGTTTGGCCCTTGGCCATGCGGACGTTTCTATTTTCGTGTCACTGACCAGTATTTGGGGCCTTTTTGGACGGATCATTTCGGGTTCAGTTTCAGAGTACTTTCTCAAGTGAGTTCCATTCCTAAACTCAAATTTTCATGATTTTGACATTCGTGTGCTTTACATCAACCAAGCAATTTCTAGCTTTTGGAAACAAAGGATGTTGTTGTCCAGTCAATTAATGGTGGGACAGGGAAAGTTTTGTTGCTTAAACGGAGCTTATGTTACAGACCTGTGCCATAAGAACAAAGTTCGTTCTTTTGCTATTTTGATTAAATTCACATGCAAAAGAAGGAACACCATAACCCTTTTAATTTGAACGTTAAATTGATGAAAAACCTCTTGATTTTGCCCTTTTTTTATGCATGTCACATACACCACATTAATGCTTAGGCTTATAAACGAATATATATGTTTTGTGAACAACAAATGGTTCTTAAATATGTTTAGTTTTTATTCGACATTTCATGTGGTTTGTTAATTAAACAAACAAATCACGGACATAACAAAAATAGTTTATATTCAGTTTGTCTATGCCGCTATTAATATTTTGATGCCCACAATTTTATCATTAAACATCAATTGACGGACTTGATTCTGTAATTGGCTCTCTCATTGATTAATTACAACAATTTACTTGGTCAATGCGTATGTATATGTGGTTTTTGTTCTTTCTTTAACCCATATGTAGTGCTTAGATTTGAATGTAAAATCTTAGTAATTTTTTTCATGGAAGATTGCAAAAGGTTGTCCACAAATTTTGTGAATCTTGTTTTTGGAACGATTGAAACTAGAAGTGTTGTTGGTTAAAAGTTAGGTGAATTAATATGGCAAACCGATAATGTAGAGATAGTGGAAGAGACAGATTACCTTGTTAACACTATATAGCTCTTGGCAGGCAACTTAGACTGTTGCCATCTTCCACGGTCGGCCATTTTGGATTAGCTTCATAGGATTTTTGGGTAATTTGATTGTCTCCGTGGATAATATGCCTATATGCATTGTAATACATAGCAGTACTGATACTGGCCATCCTCTGACCATTTTCTATGCTTTTTGTTTAGTGTAATTAGATTCATTAGGCCAGCAGTATGGAACTGTTTTCCATATGTATTGATTTACCATATATTTTAATTGAATGAGTTTTTAAACTAACACTCGCTATGAACTTTGAACTACCTGCAGGAATGCTGGAACACCTAGGCCTCTTTGGAATGCAGCATCTCAGATCCTGATGGCGGTTGGTTTCCTTCTCATGGCATTGTCAATGCCTGGTTGCCTTTACATTGGTTCAATTGTTGTTGGCATCTGCTATGGAGTCCGTCTAGCAGTGACAGTCTCTGTTGCCTCCGAACTATTTGGTCTCAAATATTATGGTCTGATATACAACACTTTAATCCTCAACCTGCCCATTGGTTCTTTCCTCTTTTCTGGCCTTCTTGCTGGCTACCTATATGATGCACAGGCTACGCCAACACCGGGAGGCGGGAATACCTGTGTGGGAGCCCATTGTTATGGTCTTGTGTTTATCATAATGGCTATAGCCTCAGTTATTGGATTTGGATTGGATGTTTTGCTCGCGATTAGAACCAAGAACATTTATTACAAGATATTCACCAGTCGGAAATTGAAGAAATCCTTGACGGCATCTACTGGCTGGTGATAGACAATTCTACAGCAAAGGGAAGGCTGGAATCGTAGGATTGATGAGCTTTTTTGCTCAGTGATATCCTAGGCACAGCATTGGATGGCTTTCGTTTTATAGAGCGATCAGTGATTTTAGAAGACCATTAGTAGGCTTTGTGGTTTGATGTAATTTCCTTATCTGTATTAACAGTCTGGTTGATTCGGTGATGGGCTGCTTTGACTTCACATAACCCTTCGAGTGAAAAAGAAGATAAAAAAACACTTTTAATGCAATATCACATTGATTTTCTAAGGGGAATCTTGAAGCTGATGGAATCTGTCAGCTTTGGAAGCAAAGGCCAAACCCTATTTACCCATCAAAGCTGCAAAAGTGTAAAGAGTTCACATTAATAATAAGAAAAGCCATGATACAAAGAGAAGGGCTACAACAAAAGAAATAAAAGCAAGAGAGAGACAGCAGTTGATCCCACTTGTACAAATAGTAGAATAGAGGGAGAAGCTGTTCTTGGTGAATCTCCCATGGCCAAACCAGCTAACCATGACTCATCTGTCAACATGGTTTGTCCAGATACTGATTCAGAACTTGTACCTGAACCAGAGAACCCAGTTCTAGAGTATCCATAACCAGAATTTGAATAGCCTGAACCAGAATATCCATAACCATTACCCGAATAAGTTAACCCAGATTCTGACCCTGATCCTTGTGATGTCAATCCTGTCATTGGGGTAGCTTCTGTAACTGGTGTAGCATCTCTCGAAGATTTTTGACTGCAACAAGACATCAGGAGCAAACCATAAATTTATAACTTCATTGCAGCAATAATTCACTTCAATCTTCTATCTTTATAAACTACCAAAACAACCCTTGCATGGCTTTAACCAAAACCCCAACTAAAGGTGATAAAAATGGAGAAATTTAGACAAAATCTTACTGATAAAAACAGCAGACAAAAATGAAAGTGAAACATTACCTGGGAGAAGAGGGACAAAACGTCACGGTATAATCTTCTCCAGTACACGTGAATGTGCTTGTAGCATCATCGTACGCGTAGCTGTAAGATCTCGCACAAGCGGCCTTGAATATCTCAGAATAAATCGACGGTTTACATGTGGCGGGTGTGCTATACGCGCCACTACAACAATACTCCGGACTTCCAAACGCGTCACACGCGCTTTTGCAAGCATCACCATCTCCAACCCGGAGCTCCAACGGGCATAGCCTGTTCAAGTCAGTTGTACAGCCGGTCGAAGCACAAAGACCCGACCACTGCCTTCAACGATCATGGGGATATTGTAGCCATCAACAAGGCTGACGTCATAAAAATCTTGCCCTCCTGTTCCAAGAGTGAACTCAGCCAGAGTTACAGGAGGAGCAGCTCCAAGCCCGTTGCATTCCATCTGACCTGACCCGCAGTCGCCAGTTAGGCAGGTTCCAGAGCCGGATCCATCGAATGTGCAGCCCGTTCTGCCCCAGAAACGACCCGACCAGCCTGTTGGTGCTTGAAATGAACGAGACGAGTCTTTTGGGAGCTCAAATCCGGTGCTGTCTAGTCTAGGACTGCCTGCATTTGCTAATATCCCAGGCCAGACAGTGTTGTCACATCTGTTGACAAATGTGAAAGAAGCACCTGATACACCTGATAAAAAAAATGAAGTTTTTAGTTTAAAGATTAAAACTTTGACATATTAAAGATACAAAAATGTAAATGTGAGAGAAACCCAACAAAGAAGGGAGCTTGCTTTAACCTTTTGAGGTCACAAGTAAGACAATGAGGTTCAGAATAAGAGCTAAGGAGCTAAGGGAGTGAAGAACCATGAGAGTTTTGCTTCTACTTCTTCTTTCTCTGTTTCTATTTTCTTTCATTTCTTTCTTGTAGTCTTTCAACTTGCTTAGTTAGCCAGCTACAATATTCCACTGCAGAATGGAATGTGAACAGAAAGTGTTGTGTTTCTGGCTGAGAAAATGAGCAAATGGTGCAATAATGGGAAAGCACAGGAGACTGCCGAAGGGAGGGTATTGGTTAAGATAGTGAAGAGGTTGAATGGCCCAAAAACCAACAAAAGTGTTAATGGAAATGACAGAAGAGACAGGGAGAGGTCACTGAACAGGAAACCAATCAGTATCTGCTGCCACTGCAATATAATACTACTTCCGACTTCCTTCCTATCTTCTTTTTTTTTTTTTAATCTTCCATGTCTGTCTGTTTCACTTTGTAACTCTTTTTCTTTTGTATTTTTCCTTGTTTTTTTAAGTTTTTTTTTTTATCATTCAAATGGGCAAAATCCTGCGTTAAGGGAGAGTGGATGGTTGGAGTTCAAACTCCAAGGTTGATGTCTTTTTTAAAATTATTTTAATCACTAAACTTAACAGTCGAAGACAATTCTATTTCATTTGTCGATTAGCTCTGCAACATGTTTTGCTCTCTAGATTTATAAGGGTGTAAATGAATAAAATTTTTGTAAAATTATTAGCAAATTTGTATAATTTTTATTTATTTATTTATATTTATTTTAAGAATAATAAATAATTTTAAACGTTATTTGTATATTTATTTATTAAATTAATTAAACACAAATAATTATTTATTCGTTTATTTATATTTACGAATAATTTTATTTACGATTTGTTTAAAGTTCATTGTTTATTATTTATTTATTTAATAATAATAATTAATTAATAATAATATTAAAAAAAATTTAATAAAAGTTATTGAAGATATTTTTGATTAAAAATATTTTCAAATATCTCTATTAAAATTTTTTATATGAATTATTAAAGGCGTTTTGAATAAAAATATTTTCAATAATTTCTTCGTAAAATTTTGAAAAAAATTATTGAACATTTTTTTAATAAAAAATACCTTCAATAATATCTTTTAAAATTTTTTGTATGAATTATTGAAGGCATTTAGAACAAAAATGTCTTCTATATTCTTTTAAAATTTTGTTGAGAGGATTATTAAATATATTTTTATCAAAAAATATATTCAATAATCTATACAAAAATTTTTAAAATGAATTATTGAAGGTATTTTTTTACCAAAAATACCTTTAATAATTATTTCAAAAAATTTTTATATGAATTATTAAAAGCATTTTTTTGACAAAAACGAACTGAACATAAACAAATATAAATATCTTATTATTTAAAAGAATTGAGCTCGAACACAATTAATAAATTTATTATCAAACACAAATCAAACTTGAATAACTTTAAAAATAAATGAACAAATCATAAATATATATTCATTTATTTAAGTTCAATTTATTTATAGTCCTATTGATATTTGTCAAAATAAACATTTTCTTTTGTAATTTTAAAGAAATTCTTTTTGTTGTTATTAAAGGAAAATAACCAAATAAATACTCTTTGTTGTTTGGTAAATAAATAAATATTATTTGTGATTAGGGAAGACTAGCCCAAACCCACCCATGTCTTAAGTATATGAATATTTCTTCCTAACAAATAATTCATTTGGAACGTATTATTTTACCTTTTTTTTTTTAACTCATGGGTAACTTGAATTGATCTCGATAAAAGTTTGGAAGAGTTTGCAATGGTTTTGTTCTTTTTGGATGAGGTGTTCAAATTAAACACTTTCAAATCCATATCATTACATCCTATAAAATATTATATTTATATTATATTTTATATTAAAATTATATATTAAAATTTATATTAATATAAAAATTAAAATACAATTTTTAATTTTATTAAAATTTTAAATTATATTATTTTTATATTATTTATTTATATTATATCTTCATATTTTATTTTAAATTATCATATATATATAATTAATTACTGTTTATTAATTATTTAATTATTATCCAAAGATGGAGGAATTTATGCTGTCCAAAGCAAGATATGATGTGAAACTTGTCAGCTTACGTGTCCACACGATAAAAAATGTGAAACGCCTTCACCCTTTTTCCTTTGATGTGAAACTTGTCAAGTTGCGTGGCCTCTCAAGCATCACCCACGCTGTTAAAGAAAATGGTATAAATTTTAATATGATATGAGATGGAAGCAGTTCGAGTCGCGTGTCACCTTGCTATTGGCTTTTTCTTCGCCATGTCACTTTAAGCTGACCGTTGGATAGGGTGCCATGCTGGACATAAAAGTGCAATTGTGGAAAACGCATTGGATTGGATGCTCTCTCTCGTCTTTTCATGTATGCCTACGGCCATCTATTTTTTATAGCGTAAATTTTGGTCTTTTTACGAAAGGTTGACTTCTCATGTAATATATTTTTATAATATTTTTAATTTTTTTAAAGGATTAAATTTTTTTTTAAAGAAATCACCTTATAGCAAGATTTTTTTTTAAATTTTAATTATTTTTTAATGATTTATTTTCTAGGTCAAACTCATTTAATATTGAAAATATGTTACTTATTTAATTTTTTTATTGATAAAAATAATAAAATAATTAATATCAAATAATTTTTTATTAATTTGAAATTATACATATATTTTTATAAAAAAAAATTGATATCAAATTAATTCAAAAATTTTTTTATAAAAATCGATGAATGTTCAAAAACAGGTTTATGATAATATATCCAAATTATTTTATAGTATATATAAAAATATATTTTATTATTTATTTAGTTTTATATTTAGATATATTCATCGATTTTTTATTAAAATTTTGATATTAAGTGATTTTTACACCCAAAAATAAAATAAAAAATACTTTATCAAATATATTTTATGAGAAAAAAAAGGTTAATTTACGTATACATGTGTCACTCTCAATTTGTTTTTACCTTTTACTTTTTATTTTTAACATTAAATAATTTTTTAAATAAAAAATCAATAAATAAAAATGTGAAAAAAAAATTTTTTTTTGATCCACTATAACGCGGGATCACCCGCATAGTCTTCCTTGAAAAGCAGAAGATTTTTACTTAAATATTGAAATTGGTTCAGAAAATTAATTAAAGTAAGAAAGTTCTAATCCAAAATTATAACTGATAATTTTAAATACAAAATAAAAATAATATAAAAAATCATATGTATCTTTAAAAAAATATGTTTAGAATATATTCGTATTAATATAAATTTTGATTTGACGTAATTTATATTTATATATATTAACATATTTAAATATATAATACAACACGAATAATATATTTAATTTAATTTTATAATACGAGTATATGTTTAACATGCTTAACATATTTAACATATTTTTATATTTATTTTAATTTAATTTAAACATATAAAGATTATTTTAATTTTTAATCTTTTAATTATGATATTTAATTAACTATTTAATATCATATAAAAATTATTTTAAATATTTAATTATGATACTCATTTAATAATTATTATAGAATTTTTTTATTATTAATATAGATATAATATAAATATTAATATTAGTTATATATATTATTATTTTATTTTTAAATCTTTAATAGTTTATTATTTTGAATTTGATTTTAAAAATTAACATAATTATGTAATATATATTAAATTTTAAATATATATTAAATGGATTTTTTTTATTTTTTAAATATGTAAGTATTTTTATATTATTAATATGTCTAGTTTATTAAAATATAAATAATAGATAATTTATAGTTATTTATTATTTTAATCATTTTGTATATTTTGATGATAGTCGTATCAATTTTTGTATATTTATATTAGTCGTATCTATGCATGTATATTTATGTTATTCGTATCATATTTAAATAAATTAATTATATATATATTAATCGTATCGTATCACGTGTAATAAGTATAATAAACGTATCATATTTATATTTATGATTTAAACATATTTTATAATTCGTGTTGTGTTTGTGTTTTAATAATTTATATTATTATATATGTCAAATATGATATAAAATATAATAAAAAAATACGAATTGCTAAGTCTACCCAAAATTAAACGATTAATTAATTAATTAATCTTTGGCTCCAAAAATAAACACAAGGACGACGAATTTTCCCGATAAATCCATTATCAGCTCAATCCACCGACAAATGCATTTGTAGTACATTATAGTTCTAACTTGTATGAGTCGTTCTCCCTAACCTTAACCATTTGGTTGAACAGTGGACGAAACATCTATTTCCAGCTTCAAAACAGACCTGAATACACTTAAATTTGATTCCCTCCAATTTCAAAGAAGAAGGGTATATTACGATCACAATGCACAAGATTTGGGGGTTTAAAAGGAATAAAAGAAGAAACTACTATCCCATGAAAATCACTTTATCTATCTATAATCATTAGCGTTAACATGTCAATAAAAATTGGAGTAAATGGTTAAGATTTATGGTTTGAATATAAAAATATTTATATTTAAACTTTTACAGTCCTCTATTGATAGATGATTTATAAGTTCAAAATTTTTTAAAACAAATTTGTAAATTTCGTTATGAATTTACGGCTTACTTACCTTAAAAATTGAATAACTTTTCTTATTCCTAAACTTTTCTCGGTCAAAAATAAAATTATCGGCATTGACATGGAAACAAGGAACTTTATCTTCTGGGTGCAGGGTGTCTTTCCCACAACATTGAGCCAAGAGATGTTCTCTTTTACTAGATAACATACTAATACTTAGTAGATATGGTTATATTATTTACTGTGGAGGAGTATTCATTTTAACTATCAACAACAGTGAGGATGGTCAGGTCCACAAACATGGGATACATTGGCAATTTGACCCACCAGAGAAGCAGTTAATCCCTAAAGCTAATTGGATTTTGAAACATTGGCCAAAACCCCAAACGAAAATTAGCAGTGTTTTTCTTTTCCTCTTCTGAAAAAATAAATTTTCCTCAGTTGCTTTCGACAAAGAGAACTTTTCAGAGCATATGAACCAGGTAAAATTATATTAATATTATAATTATACCCTTCTTCTGGACAGATGAGGTCGATTAATCCTAGCCCCATGTGACTACTAATTCAAAAAAAAAAAAAAGAATCAAACCTAAAGCTTGAATACTTTAACCTTCTTTTTCATGTAAAAAAAGAATATTTGGAGCTTGATCGTATCAAAGAGAAATAGTGGGCAGATCCTTGTTATGTTCTTTTAAGCGAGTAAATCTATCCTCAGAATATGGCATTTGCTTTCTTTGTATAATTATATTAGATAAACCTCATTAGCTGAGAAAAGAGGGAAATGGATCGATGGTTAGTATTGTTATTCTCATCTGGAATAACAAGAAGTTTGAAGGCCAAAATGACTGGTACTATATTTTCTGATGTCAAAAGTGATCAATGTGGGTAAGATTCCACTTTATGTCTTTTAAGACAGGCCGCTTTTTGATTTTTTTTTTTCTCCTCTATATCTTTCTTTGTTTAAAACAAACGGCTGCAGAGGAGTTTCAAAATATGCTATTAATAAAACATTTGCTGCACTAGTTTTGCTTTTTTAGTTTATGTTTGTCGAGTTCTATGCTTCCCTTCCATTCCAGGTTTATAATTTATATCGCAGACTTGTGAATCAATCCAAACGGATGCATTCTCATGGAAACATAATAAAATTGGTGTCTGTTTGTGCTGAGTGTTGAGTTGAAGGGTAAAACTCTGAAATTAAAAAAAAAAAAAAAGGAGAAATAGAATGGTTAAAGGTAGAAGTTAAGAGTTTTTTTGATGTTTGTACTCCGACATTAAATTAAAAATCGGCCAAAAAAATTAAAAAAAAATGAAAGTACAAGAATATGAAATATCTAAATAATACTTGAATGATCGTATTTATAATTAAAAGTAAGAAGCTTTGAGTAATTTAGATTGTTGTAGTCAATATTATCATCAGTGATTACTTGGCACACCGAGCTAACTTGGATCCTTTCAAGGAGTGATAAATCAAGTATTAAAAAAAAAACTTTAAATAAGTTGATGAGATAATCGAGTTGATATAATACTGTACATAATACCACTTGTTGTTTGCCGATAATCTCTAACAAGAAAAAAAATCATTTTACCATTTGAATCCAAAAATCCTTTAACAGTGTCCGTTATTTTTCCTTTGTGTCTTTCCAGTGTGGTGGATTCAAAATGCCTATAGTTCCACTTTCTTTGGCTTGAGAAATGTTAATTTAAGCATAATGGAACTAACCCGTATAATATAATAGTGAGTAGTGGTTTTGTTAATTGTATGTCAGACATATTTGGTGTTAAATGAAGCAAGGATAACGTTGGACCCATTGGAATACTTGTGGTAGTCTTGAAGATGAGAGTTGTAAGGATCCAACAGTTCACTGGTCCATTTCCATTATTGTCACTGCTTGCTTACAGCACATGTGAGCAAATTGCATGGGGAGCCAACTCCATGTGGGGTGAGGCCAGGTTCCTCATCACAGACAGAGTCACAGGGAGCAAACAGTACTTGAGATAGAGATAATGGCATTTTCACTTGTCAGTTTAAACTTTAAGGATGAGATAGGATCTCTTTCCATTATTGAATACGAACTCAGTTTAGTGTCAGATATTCATTTGCTCAGCTTCAGGATCAACAACTCAAGTCCCCCACACCCCATCCCAGTTTTTTGCCCCTCGACCATTCCTTTTACATATCCCATTTAACATGCATGGATATACTATCAAACAGTCAAATTCCACTGCAACCCGGCACCCAGTTGGGCATTCAATAGCTCTTGAGCAGGGAAGTAATAAAACGTGTGGTCAGACCAGATGGGCAGGAAGCCCACCGACTACTGGGGTCTATTTCTTCACTCAAATCTTTTGTTTCATTCTCCGTAGAAGAATTTGAATTGCGTCCGCCATCCAAGTTAAAAATGTAAAATCATCCGTTCTAAGAAACAAATTTCATTAAAGTGATAAAACGATTTCTGATACTCAGAATTTCAACCTTGCTATAACTTACATGTATTGGATTGACAGTAAAAATTTAGAACCCGTGTATCAATAGATAAAAAAGATAAGCATAGAGAGATAGCTATGTATATTTTTTGTTGGCAAACGTGAAATCTCAATAGCAGTAGGCAATCTGAATTTTTAAGTTGCCTAATCATTTTAGTCCAGCAATAAACATCGGGTGAGGCAGAGAACTGGTACAGCAGCGATCAGGATGGCACGTTCTCTCTTCAGCAAGATCTTGCTAATCCTTGCCTGGAAGTGTCCAGGCCAATGTTAGTCACAAAGGTAAAATAAGTTGCCAAAAGAGGAACAGAGCCATGGCAGAAGAGGCCGCACGGGCAATAAATTGCACTTGGAGCACACCTGATAATGAAGCTCCATTTGCATGTAAGCTTGATAGGTATATCATACTCTTATTCACAAGTGGTAGCAGTGCACCATCTTTACGTGCACCAAGCACTTTTTGGCTGCAATCCATAAAAAATACATATGCACAGTGTTTCATGAGATATTTGTATTAAATAATTCAAAATTACAGACTTTCTACTCTGAGGATGCAATGATTTGGCCTTTGTATATAGCAGCTACATTCGATAATACATTCACATATTCGTCTTTCGAACTTGCAGACATGACATCCTAGTTTAATGTTTTTCAAAATGACAGAGTTCTACAGATTAATTGATGGATGCTTGTTGTGAAGGGTATGTAAGAAATAAAGCATATAGGAAAGGCAAAATAGGGCGCCACACAACTTATGAAAAACAAAGAAACCAAATGTTCTCAGTGACATGGTGTTCATTTCTATTTAAGCATTTCTAAAACATCCATTCTCATAACTCAAAGCAGATCGTAATTTGATATTAGGAAAAAGTGATGCAAGAATAGGAACACATTACTACCGTCATCCAAATAGATTTGTAAAAATCATTGAATAAAAACAACAGTTGATGTTATTGATTATCAAAACTGGCAGCTTTTGCAAGGTAAGGAAGCACTAACCTCAAGTACCCAAAAATAACTATTGATCAATGAGGACCATCAAAATTAACAATAGCAGAACTACAGACCTCTTGAACTGAAGCCACCATCATTATGGTTTTCCAGTTTTGGATGAAATATTACAGCTCTAATTTTTCCATCAAGAAACCAATTTGTGCGCTAAGACACTGACAAAAATGGCTGTGAAACATAAGAAAATTAGGTGATTTACAGCACATGAACTACAACTAGAATGGTTTCAAGATCCAGCTGTATCAATATTCCTTTTCCAAAAAGCCAAAGGGAGCATTAGGAAGCATCACAAAGTCAACTTGCATAATTTGATATACACTTGCATTTTAGCCACAAAATACGCCGAATTTTCAGGAACATGCCAGCGTGGCTGGCTACTCTTATTATGCAACGAATGAAATGACAAAAACCACCCTCAACGTAACAATTACTAAACCAAGACCGGAAGTTTCCGGGGATGGGAGAGAGGGTTTGTTAGTAAACTTCACCTGGTGTAAGGAGGCGGGCAAAATATGATGGCGTAATCCGCGCCGGCACACGTGTACGTACTCGTACCATCATCATACGCATAGCTATACGCTCGTGGGCAAGCATGCTTGAAAAACAACGAGTAAGCCGATGGCCGACACGCGTCAGGCGTTCCATACGCCCCGCTGCAACAGTATTGGGGATCTCCGAAAGCTTCACACGCGCTCCTACACCCCACGCCTCCACCATCCTGACGCGCCACACGCAACTCCGTAGGGCAAGCGCCATTGAGGTCCAATAAGCAACCCGTGGCGCTACAGTTCCCGCCTTTACCTCCCTTGGCGACGACCAACATCGGCAAATTGTAGCCGTCGACTAAGCTGACGTCATAAAAATCTAATCCCCCGGCACCGTTTAGTGTGAATTCCGCGAGAGTAGCTGGTGGCTTAGCGCCACTTCCGGAACATTCAATTTGGCCAGAGCCACAGTCGCCACTTAGGCAAAAGAATTTACCGGAGGAGTCGAGGCCGCAAAGGGTTCGACCCCATAGTCGACCGGACCACGACCTGGGTATGGTTACGGTTCTTGAGTTGCCAGGTTTAAGAACGAAGCCGGTGGTGTTAAGCTGAGCCGTATTGGCACCCGATAAAAAACCAGGCCAGATCGTGTGGCGGCACTTGTTGACGATCTTGAAAGAAGCTGGGTTCACTTCTGCGATTGAAAACAAGGAAAGGGTCAGTGGCAGAGATTGCAAATAAGGAAAAAGAACAAGGGTTTGGCAAAGAAAAGATGGAGTCTTTGAAGGTTTTGTTTACCTGAGAAAAGAGAGAGAAAGAAGAGAGAAAGAAAGGTGGAAGAGAGATGAAGACGATCCATTATTGAAGAAATTAAAGAACTCTACTTTCTGAATACCGGGAGTGAGACTTCAAGAGTGTGCGTTTGTGGGGCTTTGGCTGTTGGCTTTTGTTTCGGTTTTAGCTTTGGTCTTTTTTACCCGTTGATAGGGGGGAAAAATATTGGAAAAATGAAAAATCGATTTGATTTTATAGTTTTTTATTTGATTTAAGCAAGAATTTGTTTTATTTAATTTGAATCGAATATTATAAATATATATTAATTAATTTTGAGTTAAATTTAAATTAAAATAAAATTAAAAAATTTAATGAAAAAAAATATATTTTTAAATTTTTGTATATATTTTAAATTTTTATAAAATAAAAATAATAATTTTATATTAAAATTTATTTAAATATATTAAAATAATATAAAAATTTTAAAATTTATTCAAATTAAATTTTAAAATTTTATAATAATATATAATATTAAAATAAAAAAATCGAATCTTATCTGAATCATTGTTATTTTTGCCCATTTATTTATTTAGAAAGAGAATGAAAAATAAAGACATGAATATAGGCCAAATGGGTACATTATATTTCTACACTTAACGAAGCTTATGAAATAAAAAGATGGCCTAACAGGTTTATTTAATCTCCTGTGAATTACAATACAGGTGTTTATGCATAGAAAGTGCATTTGCAGCACATTTTGAAATCATATTTTTTAATGGTACGATTTTTTATTTTACACCCACTGAACTCAGAAAACAACAATTCACAGGGTAAGTGCTGTAACTCCTCCAGGCACTTCTGATGCATTGTTCTCTCATTTAATGCATCACTTTGTAAAGCTTTCAACTTGACTGCTGACAAACTTCTTGATAAAATCTCGTGTAACTGACCTGATCACTTCATTCTTAAAAGGCTGTTCGTCCACAATTGTGCTGCTGAATGAAAAGCTCAACCATAATCTAGCACTCCTCCCTGTGTGACAGACATGGACTCTGTTTTCTGACAGGGGGTTAATCAAGAGAATGAAGATTTCTTTAACCAGTGTTTGAAAAAAAATATGAAGAAGTACTAGAATCAACAACAGATCAATTGCCACACTTGTGATTATCACCAACGGTAAAGCTTTCTCTCATTTGATGTTTCCTTGTTTCAGATTCAGACCAATTTGACGGTTGGGTTCAGCTTATGTTCTTTGAATGCATTTCTTGCATTGGATTCAATGTTTTGGCATAGGCATTAGAATGCCCTGCTAAGGTTGAACTAGTTCTTTATCCAAACACGAGAAACATAGAAGAAAATTTTCTTCTTCAAGTCATTAACAAACAAGTTGGCAATGGATGGATGAGGTTCCACAGTAATCACCAAACAGAACTTATGTACAATATATGACATCAATTGAAATCCTAACTATCATTGCTTTGAAGAAGCGTTAAGAAGAATGAACTGATAAATACAACTGAGTTCCAAAAATCCTATGTTAGATGTAGAAAATGAAGTCATCTTCACCAAGGCTCCAAAACTTAGATGATCTCATCTAAAATTATGAGGTTCATCAGTATCATACTTTCTACAAAACAATGCAGTGAGGAAATCACAGATTAATTTCTCATATACAACCAATATCTAAATTAAATTCCAAGATTTTCCCATCATCCAGCAGTTGCTTAAAATATTGAAAAATCTTCAAAAATAAGAACTTGTGTGTTCCCACTTCCCATAATCACAGAGAAATTCAGTAATCAATAAAATCTAATGTATCAAACCAGGCTTAGATAACAGAAGCAAACAATCCAAATTGCTAACAAACATGCACAAAGCTTTATATCGGTTGGCTATCAGAAGTCCAATAATATGAAATCCCAAAACATAAAAAGTTGATGATGCAATTCAAGCATAGTATTTTCTTGTTTTCTTGGCACATTTTCTCAGCAAACAAGCAGAGAACACTGGTTCGTTTCTTTTGACGGGACCTTTGATCAAAGTTCAGACCGCTTAGTGACAAGGACACGGAGTGAGTAACTAAACAACAAGCAAGCTTACTAACCCAATCACTTGTAGCCACGTCAGACGTTGTGGTCTATTCAGTTGTGTTAATCGGCCGATCATAGCCGTTGAAATTTTGGACTTTTGTTCTGAACTTTCTGGTCTTGTTGCACAATAAAATTTGGGCCTCCATAAATTCAACAAGAAAAGCTTGGACCACTGATGAAGCACATAGAGTCAATTCAAATGCCTATAAAACACGAAAAATAATATATTGAAATGCATTTCTTGTGCTTTGAGATGGGCCAAAACATGCAGCTTTAGTCGTGTTGTAACGCAAGAACAAAATGACAAATTTTCTTTCAAATATAGGATTCTTTTTAGTCCTAGAATTTGCTTCCAAAAATGGAGGCCAAAAAGGAAAAGCCAACATCATGTTGTTTGTTGATAAATGGGGTGGCTTGGCTTCTCACCAATTATAACTTCGTTTTGAAAATAAAGGGTCAGACCCAATTTTCTCTTAAGTTTTGCAATATAACTATTAAATAAAAAAAAATGCCCATTGTTCGACTCATTTGGGAAAGAAAAACCATACTTAAAAAGTTAAAAATGAATCCAAGTTTAATCCTATTAATTTATACAATTATTTTTAAAATGAAACAAATAATAAATGAATTTAAATTTCAACATTTATAATTTTTTTTTATCTTTAGACTGTTACAAAAACCACCTTTATATATATATATATATATAAAGAAAAGAAACACTTATTGATTAGTAATTGAGTTTGGTTAACGGGGTTTATAAATATTATTTAAGATTAATTAATATGCCATTTTAAAAAATATTTTATATTTAATAAATTATTTTCATCAAATTCAATAAAAAATAATGCTTTAATTATAATTTTATTTATTTAAATATCACTTTAATCAATATCATTAGACACTTAACATTTCCTTTAGCAATCTTTCACTAAATTTGGCATAAAATATTGTCTTATCTAGACATATTGAGTGCTGTTGTTTAAAAGCAAGATTTGAGTGATAAGGAGTTCAATTTCTCGAGTTATATGAATGGATAAAACAGGTTGAAAAAGTTTACCTTTTTATAACATCTGACTCAACTCGACTCTAAATTAATTGAAACTTAAAATAACTATAAGATACAGAGGAATCTTAAAAAACAAAAAAAAATGCATTGTCTTGATTTAGCTTCATATCATTTAGAAAGAGCAAATATATGTGAACAATGTTATAATTGAAACTTTAATTTTATTCTTTTCTTCTGCTGTAAAAAGAAAACAATACATCCTAAAACAATAATTTTGATGAGAATTATTATTGATCATCATAGTTTGACAATCTTATTAAAGTTGTGCATTCAATTTCAATCTCCTTTGCTGTAGCACTGGCTGCCTGGCGTGCTGAAATTAAATTTCAAATGTTGCAGCATTATTAATGGTTTTTTTTTTTTTTTTGGTCTTTATGTCTACGATTAGGATGACATGAAATTAAATATTTTTAGAAGATCTCTCTTCCTTTTTTGTTAGTCAAAATTAGCACAAAAGAAAATTGAATTATTTTAAATTTACTGACCCAAACAAATAAAAGACAAAATTTAAAACAATTTAAAGTTTATTTGGTTAGACAAAAAAATCGATTTTGATGAGATTGAAAATAATAATAATTATTATTATAATTACAATTAAAATTTTATAAAAATTAATATTAAATTTAATTAATGATGCGATAAAATTAACTATATCACATTAATAATGCAATGAAATCCAAATCTCATGCACCATCTAGCCACATCCATTTCAATGAGTTAAGCACTCACCCCTTTCTCCATTCAAATTTCTTATCAGAACCAATCATTTTTTTTTCCTGTGGATTACGACTGATTCGAAATTTTTAGTTCTGAAAACCCTTAAATTCATGGCAAATTTTTTTTTAAATAAATTAAAAGAGCAGAGGGACTGTCACCATCCACTGAAATTTAGTTCCAAATACTAGCAGCAAATCCAGGATTCCACTCATCAAAACCGTTCGTCAACAACTAGGTCACTTCACACTGAAACCCTAGATGAAGAAAACCTGTCATTGTTTATCTAATTATTACAATAAATATATTAAAAAAAAAAAACACCTGATACAAATTAGATGAAGAGCAAAGATTATGTTACAAGAACAAGCAGGCAGAGATTTGGTGATATGCAGCGCGAAATGAGTGGTCAAGGAGACAGGGTTCCAGAGGGAATGTTTCTGGTCCCAGTGGCTGAAAAGCACGATTCATCAGGAAATGGCTGAGTTGCCCAACAGGCCCCATTAATATGTTGCACTGCACCAATACAAAAGCTTTTTTTTTTTTTTTTTCTTCGGGGACTTAACCTGGAAACGTACTCATGCTTTTATTTCATGATATCAACACAAGTTTTATTGGTTTCATGCTTTTATTATGTTTTAACATCATAGCTTGAGAGATAATCAATAATCTCTCTGGGTTAGTTGTTTGAATTCAAAAACAAGAAAAGCGGTGCCAAGAAAAAAAAAGGTTAAAGATTAAGATAAAAAGTGATAAGAGATAATAAAGGGTCGGATCAAGATGGAATGAGTTTTTTTACTCGAATTTATAATATTTGAATCATAATTGATTCAATAATTTTTTTAATTTTATATCTGAATTTGACTTGATTCAATATTGTATAAAATTATATGTGATCGATTAGATTCGAGATTAATTAAATATTATTTTTTAACGTAAATATAAAATTTAATAAATAATTAAAAAATAAAATTATATATATAGAGTTAAGTTAAGGCGAGACAGATTTACCTAAAATCTAATTTTTTTTTTAATTATTACTTAATTTGATCCAAAATCTGATTTAAAAAATTAATTTTATGAGATTGAGTTAAGTCTGAAACCACTAGAAACGGATAGGCTGTCATATTTAAGTGTGATTGCACAAGGAAAAAATCAATATTCTTGCTCTTATTTCTTACACCTTGAAGTTTGATATATTTTTGTAGGTATATTGGCACACTTGGGTATTATTATTTGCAACCCAACAATTTATTTATGTTAATATTATTCATAAAGCATAATTTAAATCTCTTTTTCCAAAAAAAAAAGTATAATATATAGTAATTTGATGATATTTAAAAGATTTTTTTTTAAAAATAAATATTATATTAATTAATAAATTTATAATTTAAGTAAAAATTTAAATATCATATTAAATATTTTTTTATAATTAAAAATATTTATAATAATATCTCTAAAAAAATCTACAATATTAAATGTTATTATATAAACTCCATGTGAGGAAGTGTTTTGGGTTTGGGCTTGGGGGGAGAGAGCAAAAAGATGGATTCTCGAGTCTACAAAGCCATCGGCCACGTGATAAAATCAGCTTTGTTCTTCTCGTAAAGCGACCACGCCCGCTTGGCTGCAATCATGCGGTCTCCTTCGTTATAATTTTTCTTCACTCCTTCCCTTGCTTATTATTATTTTTTTATTTTCTTTAATTTTGACTTCCCCCAATGTGCCTTGTTCTTTTACAATTTTAATCCTCTAATTACTTTCTTCTTTTTGTCATAAGTTTTAGTCGGAGATTTTTTAATGTTCGATAATAATTTTAAATTTTAATTAATTTAAAATTAAATTAAATTTTATAAAAAAAATAATTTTTTTAAATTTATATTTTTATTCAAAAATTTAAATTTTTTTTTATCATAATAACCCTTCTACAAGTGATTCATATTCAAGATCACATAACGTTATAAAATTAGATGAGTCTACATTGTACTATTTGGTTCTATTAAATGCAATTGAAACTCATGTACTAAAGATTTATTGATATAAAAAAAGTTACTATTGTCTAGTGTGCTTCTCGCATCAAAATAGAGGCCCCAAAATATAATAATTAAATCTTCGCATGGGTAAGTGGATCTGATTGTGCTGGAACTTAAGTTCGAAAATTTTATTTTATTAATAAAATAATTTTTAAAAAAATTTTTAATTTAAAAATAATAAAATTTTACATATATATATTTATTTATAAAAATTAAAATCATTACAAAAGAAAAACGACGACAAAATTAAAACTCACGTTCATATAATATTTTCAAAATTTTTTATTACTAAATAAAAAATTATGACAAAAAATTAAGATTAAATTAAAAAAAGAGATAAATGTAACAATAAGATAAATGTGATCATTTTGAATGTACGATTTATAATTATTTATTTTAAATTATTAGATATAATATATCTTATCTTAATTTGAAGGATTGAATAATTTATTTATTGTTAATATTTTTAAAACAAGAAAAAAAGAAGAAGCAGGGAGACCTGTTCGTGTAGACTAGAAGTGTAATCGAGTTGAGTCGATAAAGTGAGAAGCTCGAGCTCGAGCTCCACTCACAACTTGTAACTCGATATTAAGCTCGAATTCGATCGAATTTTATTTTTCAAATTCGAATTCGATTCGTGATCGAATTCGAGCTATTTAGTTCGTTCGATTAATATGTAAAAATAAGCTTGATTCGTATACTTAACAAGAGTTTAATTATTTATGCTCAAACTCGAATTCGAAATATTTTATTAATTAAAATAATAAAAATATATTTAAATATAAAAACTCGATTACGCTCACGAGCTGCTTGAGTCGAATATAAGAATACTCGAATTCGATTCGATTGATAAATCAAACTATTTGAATTCGAGTTTAACTTATTAATAATCGAACTGAATTCAAATTTTTTTTGAATCAAATCTAAATAATTTACGAATATTAATATATTATTTACATATTTAACGTGAACAAGCCAATGACGCTCTCTACTGAATTAATAATTTTTTTTGGCTAATAAAGTAAGATAGAATAATTTAATAATGAACTAAAAGACAAAATTTTTAATTTACAAAAAACCCACAAAAAGAAAAACAAAATTTTAATTTAAGCTCTAAAAAGTAGATTTACTCGCTTCCCAAAATCCCTCTCTCAATCCCTCTCTCTGTCTTTCGAAAATACCTTTCAAACACGGCCTTTTTCCCACCCTTCATGTCTTGCAATATATATACCCTGTATATCTATACTCCACTTCTGTCAACCACCAATCCTCTTCTTGCATTGAAACAACACTGCCCAGTTTTTCATTAGAGGAAAAGCAGCGAGGAATTGGTGAATAAAACAGAGCTGAAGACTGAGAGGAAGTTAGAGGGGAGGGAAGAAATGGCAACTGATAAGGTGGTGGAGACTGTAATTGTTGGGAATTATGTCGAGATGGAAACTGAAGCGAAGCCTAAGGAGGGCATGAAAAGCAGGATTTCTAAACTCTTTTGGCATGGTGGTTCTGTTTATGATGCCTGGTTTAGCTGTGCTTCTAATCAGGTTTTTGTTATATCTTTGGTTTTCCACTCTGCATATAGCTGTAAAAAGTGGTTTTACACTTATGATAGAGATTAAAATTTGCGGTTTCTTGATTTTAATTTTTCAGGTGGCTCAAGTGCTGCTTACATTGCCATACTCATTTTCTCAGCTGGGGATGCTCTCTGGCATTCTCTTTCAGCTGTTCTATGGTTTGATGGGTAGCTGGACAGCTTATCTCATTAGCATACTCTATATCGAATATAGAACAAGGAAAGAAAGAGAAAAAGTTGATTTCAGGAACCATGTCATTCAGGTTTTAACTCTATAGTCTTTAGAAAACAACTTCATATATGATAAAATGATACTGAAAAACAATTTTTTATCTCAAAATTTTAACTTTCTATTTTTTTTTATTTATATAGTGGTTTGAGGTTCTTGATGGGCTCCTTGGAAAACACTGGAGGAACGTGGGTTTGGCATTTAACTGTACTTTTCTTCTGTTTGGATCTGTTATTCAACTCATAGCTTGTGCAAGGTACATACTCAGACTCTTTGCTTTTTATCTGTATTCATATATATATATATATATATATATATGTGTATATATATGTTTTAAATTGTTGGATCCAAATAAATAATAATGACAAGCAATTTCTTGCTGTTGGGTATCTTTTGTTTTGATGTTGCAGCAACATATATTATATAAATGATAATCTGGACAAAAGGACTTGGACTTACATCTTTGGGGCTTGTTGTGCAACCACAGTCTTTATTCCTTCATTTCACAATTACAGAATCTGGTCATTTCTTGGCCTTGTAATGACCACCTACACTGCGTGGTATCTCAGCATTGCCTCCCTCCTCCATGGCCAGGTAAAACTCTCACTTACCAGTTAACACCTGAAAATTTTAGCCACTTGAGGAGCTAACAAATTGAAAATCAAGTTATTAAAATGTTGAACAAATTGGCCAAAGATTGTTGGGCTTGAAGCATATTAGTATAATGTATAATCAATGAAATTAAACGTATAATTGTTAACTGGTAAATGTAGGTTGAGGGAGTTCGACATTCTGGTCCAACCAAGCTGGTGCTGTATTTCACCGGGGCCACAAACATTCTCTACACCTTTGGAGGACATGCTGTTACTGTGTAAGACAAATTCATATTCATTAGAATCCTTGTCTTTTACGTTATCTACAAATCTTAATAGCTGTTCAGAATTATAAATATGTAAAAACAGTTCTGAAATTGACCAGAGCTTCACTTCTTCAGACATGATTTGACCAGTGGAGATCTAATGGCCAATCCATATTCAAAAGCATATGATTCTCTAATGCTTTAAAGTTTAAATCATCATTAATTTTAGTATAAGGTAATTATAATTCTAGCTTTTCATTCCCTAAATTGCCCTTTGTAAGCGTGGAAGGCAAAAAGTTGGTTTCTTCTTCGAAGCCCCTAGTTTTCCTTTTCAATGTAGAAAGCCAATGATCTTTCTTTTTCCTTTACTTTCGCTTTTATCATGAGAAGAGGCCAAGAGGGGGTCCAGCTTTGTTCAGTGAATCCAACACAGACCTCGGACAGAAAAAGCCTGTAAAGTCAATGGAGCTGAAAGCGGTGGCTTAAGGCCTTAAACCCAAAATTAATTCAGCCTAGAGCAGACCTCTTCCAGGCCCTGATACCCGAGAAATGATGAACGTACTTGATAAATGGTTAAATATGATAGTAGTAGCACGAATTAATTGCTAATTAATGAAGAATTAAGTTTGTGTGGTGGGGGCATGCAGGGAGATCATGCATGCAATGTGGAAGCCTCAGAAGTTCAAGGCTATATACCTGATAGCCACACTGTATGTGCTGACGCTGACACTTCCCTCGGCTGCAGCTGTCTATTGGGCATTTGGAGACATGCTTCTTAATCACTCAAATGCCTTTTCTCTTCTCCCAAGAACTCCCTTCAGAGACATGGCTGTCATTTTAATGCTCATCCACCAGGCATGCCTATGGATTCCATTATTAGATCCATCCATACATATATAACAAATGTTCAATTTATTACATCCATCCATATCCAATAAAGTTTATTTTTATGATGATTTTTTCGTTGGGTATTGTGCAGTTCATAACATTTGGATTTGCATGCACGCCTCTATATTTTGTGTGGGAGAAAGCAATTGGGATGCATGAGTGCAAGAGCCTGTGCAAGAGAGCAGCAGCAAGATTGCCTGTGGTCATTCCCATTTGGTTTTTGGCCATTATTTTCCCATTCTTTGGACCCATAAACTCTACCGTCGGATCCCTCCTTGTTAGCTTCACTGTCTACATCATTCCTGCACTGGCTCACATATTCACCTTCAGATCAGCCACTGCCCGAGAGGTATCACACTCCACCCCATCATCCTAAAATACGATCACCCAGGAACTAAAACAAAACTCAAAGATTAGCTAATCAGAGTAAGAAAAGGCAATGCAAGATATTTACTTTATGTCAGAGTCAAAGCATTTGACTGAAGAAGTGAGAGAATTGAAACTTGATGTCATTAGCTGTTGATAAAGAATAAGAAAACCAAGTCGGTAGCCTGTGGTCACAGTCAAGCAGACCAGTCCCGGTTCTTTCTCCTAAACTGATAACCTTCTAGATTTAACACTGAACATTTTTGGACAACATTTTGATAATTGTGAGTTAGTAGTATTATGTGTCTTTGCCTTGTTTCATGAAAAAGGCAGTAAATGTTGTTGCAGAAGGCACTAGATTCGTGCTGCAACTGTCTACTGATTTATGTATAACAACTAACCTGTGATATTTGATGAACGGCTGTGATGCAGAATGCAGTGGAGCAACCATCGAAGTATTTTGGAAGATGGGTGGGGGCATATACGATAAATGTCTTCGTTGTGGTGTGGGTCCTGGTTGTTGGGTTTGGATTTGGTGGGTGGGCGAGCCTGACCAATTTCATCCACCAGATTGACACATTTGGGCTCTTCACAAAGTGTTATCAATGTCCACCACCAGCACTGCCAGCTTCACCCCGACCCCATGGCCTCAACGCCACCGCAGCTGCTCCTCCACACCACCCCTTCAACCACACTCGCAGCCCTTAATTTGTCTCACTGCCTGGATTTGCTCAATTCCAGGGGGTTCCCCTCATGGATTAACTAAAATCGCAACCATGCACGAACATGTCATCGTGTCATTTGAACACTTTGGTCATCTTTGTTACTTTAGGCAGTAGACGGAGAAGATAGAAGTTGGAGTTAAATGGAAATTCACAAATCACATTAATCTTTGGCTAGTAAAATCAATTCTGTATACACACAATGCCATCCAATTATCTCTTTTTTTCTCCACTCTTTACTTTTCTCTGTTCAAACGCTTAGCCTAATAATTTTTCAGTAGGAAATGAATGATAGAAATATGAAACTGAAAGCTTTCTAATTGGGATATACTATTATGAAGTAACCTTTCCTTGTATCAAGCAAGTATAAGATTACTGTTTCTATAAAGGAAGCTGTAGCAAATAGCCAAAAACGAGTTGCAGAACAGAGAAAGAAAATGCTTCTTTGCAGTTCTCTATTGCAAATGCTTCCCTTTCGAATAATATTGGAATTACTCTGATTCAAATGCTTAAAGGGATACTACCTGGGAACCATCTCAACAATGTTTAGTCAATCAGTCGTGCAATTGACAGATAACAGTATAATAACAACCTTCAAGCAGCTGCTACGAAAGGAGATTAGTAGCAGACCATAGAACAAAGCAGCTTTCATGCAGCATGGGGAGCATCTTTCATTATTATTATTTTTCATCTATGTTATCCATGATGATGAGAAATGAAATGATGATAAATTATCAAAAGGCTTTACCAGACATACCCTATTAATGATTAAAGAAGAAGATAAGAATGACGTAAGGGGATTGAAGATGTTGCTTGAATGTTGGGCGATAAAGCTGCTAAGACAGTCACATAATAGCTACACCAATGCACTAGTGTTGTGGGAATCTTAATAATCTTGCAGCCATGAAAAAGCTAAGTGTTGCAGCAGTCACAAAGTTGTCAAAGCTTCCTTTTGCAGGAGACCATATTCCTTTTGCAAGAGCATGCCAGAAAAAAATAAACAAATAAAGGCTCAAGGCTTTTCAGTTAAAGTTCTTCTCTTTATTCGCTAGATAATAAGACAAATGACATCAAGTTGGAGAATCCTCTCCCAACTGAACTTCAAAGTTTATTTCAGGAGTAAGTATGTTTAAAGTTTTTAACTAATATTCAAACATATTCTAAATTTCTAATATTATAATTTGAAAATTTCTCAAAACAATTAAGCTTTGGGCTTTAGGGTATATTTGAAAACTTTGAAAAATTGCCAGAAATATGGCTAATTGATTCTAAGTTCAAATGAAGAATAGGTAACTATTTTATTGCTTATGATCCATCCCTAATTGCAACTGTGAAAATAAAATTTGATTTGAGTATTCTATTTTTTTATTTATACAAGACGAGAGTGGTGATTATTATAATTTTGGTACTCATTGATATAATTTTGATAATATTTGATATAATTTTTATAACTTTTTAATATTTTAATTTTTATGTCCAGTAATTGAATTGATATCACTCGTGATTCTAAACTCAATCAATGGCATTAGATGTACTATAGATACGACAAAAAAAAAACAAATGAAAAGAGAAAATATTGAATAAAAATGAGACAAATCTAAAAGTAGTGTTTGGTTTAAAAAAACAGAGCTATTTTCTGTTTTTATTTTCCAAGAAAATGAAAAATGAGTGAAAATATGTTTGATAATTGAAAATGAAAACAAGTTCTTAGAAAATAAAAATAAAAATGAGTTGAAATATGAAAACAAAAAAAATATATGTTTTCAATTATGAAAACAAGGAATATACATTATTTTTTTTCCTTTCGTTTGGCAAGTTATCATTTTTAAACACTTTTTAATATATATTATATTTATAATTAAATGACATTAATATTAATATTATTGAATATTTTATTTATTTTATTATTTTTGCAATTTAGAAAACAATTTTTATTTTCATTTATCACATACATTTTTTAAGATACAAAAAATAAAAACTATTTTTTAATAAATAAAAATAAAAAATAAAAACAAAAAATATTTGAGCCCAACCTGGCAGTGAACCTCAATTCTTGACGACCCATGAAAATCTTCAATCATTACAAGTTGATATAAGAATTTGGTCATTTTCTAATAGCTTGAATTTTTTAGGTGATTGATAATTTTTTTTCTTTGTCGTGATAGAGTGATTGATAATATAATATGAAGGTAAAGTTTTAATTACATGTTTGAACATTAAAAAACATTAATCAATTTTTATTATTATTTAGTTACCCACCATATTTGATCATTGTGTGCAACACTCGTTTCTTTTCCAATTTGGATTTTGTTCCTATATTTGAATTCATGTGCATACTTCATTGTAACAGGTAAGTGGTAGGAAATTATCCAAAAGCGTGATTTCTTGTCCATATTGTAGATTGTGATGTGCACCATTCTCGATCTCTTATATACAAAGGCCATTGGTGAGAGCCAACAGCGAATGGGACACTCTCAAATGAAAGGAAAGGAAATGCAATGGCATATTACCACTACAGATGAATAAACAGGGCATCGCAGATGTTTAACCCACAGTTGCATTTGAAAATGAAAACATGGTTGCGAATTGATATAAAATATGATACGAAATACGATATGATAATATAATATAAATAAAAATATAAAAATAATATAATTTTTAAAAATAAAAAATAAAAAATTATATTTTATATTTTTATATAAACATCAATTATAATATATAAATTTTATATAAAATATGATATAAAAATAATATTTTATACGATATGAATAACTAAGTTCTAGTTGCGATCAGCCGAATGGAAGATTTGTTATAAATATTAGTCAACAAGTTGGGCTAGTTAGGCCCCCATTTTTGTAAAAATCAATCGCCATCCTCCAAAGCCCAAATCCAATCCTCCAAACAAAAAACAAACAAAATTTGAATACGCAACTTACCTTCAACTCCGGTCTCACATCAGTATCAGCTACTTCATTCAGGATTTAATTTTCATGTTACTAAAGATTAATATTCATCCCGAGGCTGCTCCCAAACATTTTCATCATTCCCAACGCCCAGGTATAAATACTCCCCTTCACAGGCAAAGAATAACATCCATTTCTATCCATTTTTCTCTTCGTTTTGCTCTCTTACCTTGAATACCCACTAACTTAGCGGATCACTACCCCACCGTCTTAGCATCACAGCACAAACGCCAGAACATCGTCCGGCCTTTGTTCTTGACTTGTGCTTTCGTCTTTGACAGGTGCTACCCCCAGTTCGAAAACAGCACTAACAGGGTGGGAATGGGGTCCTTCCAATTGAGCATTGCAAGTCGTTCCCAATGAACTTTCGACTTCAACACCTATTACTCTTGTCTGGCCATTAAAAAAAAAAACCCAACACTAATTTCTAACATGATAAACCATTTACCTATTCGCTATTGCTACAAAGTTCTATCTGAAAAATAAAATAAATCCGCCACATCACAAGGAAAAAAAAAATGAACAAGGAATCCACCAAAATTACATGATCACTACTAATTCTTGCCGGGGCCTTTAGGAGGAAACATGAATAACCAACATAGTTAAACCACTACTCTTGTGTCCATTGTTTCAGTCCAAGTACGCATTAACACCACCTGACTGTTTCAACAAAACTGTTCTATTAAAACCGAATAAATAAAACATTAGAAAACCAGATTCAACCATTAATAGAACCTTCAAAAACACAGATAAGGGTCGAAGGAATGGACCACTACTTATTAAAAAAAGCATGGAAGAACCCTATAATTGGGTGGCTTTCTGTTGCATTATTCATGTGCTTTATTCACCAATCACTCCCAACCCCTTTCAAACAGCATAAAGAAAAAAAGGGTAGGAGCTGTCCATCTACACTTTCCGTCCCTACATATAAAAAGAAACCCAAGAAAAAGAGCATCACGCTGAAAATGTCACTTTCATGAACTTGTATATCAACTATATAACACAAATCCAGTCCCATCTTCCATCAAATTCCTTCTCCCTCCAAGCCAATAAATCCCAAAGATGCACTCAGAATAAAAGTAAAGAATCACGTCTAACAACTGACTCCAAAAGAGTAATATAATACATGAACAGATATATCAACATATCACCAAGCATCTCATCGAAATTATACAGAAAGAAAACCAAACCAACAAATGTTTAAAGGAGACCGTAGGATACTATAAAGAGAAAACACAAAAAAGACTGAACCAAACCACCAGCTTGTTTTTATATTATACGTATATAAACACTTGATAACAGTGAGGGTTTTAACATCATTTTCTTTTCATCATTGTTCATAACAATTCTAAATCCACTCCACTGTAACCCTATAAATGTGCCCATTACAACCATTACTAAACATCAAAAACCTAAAATAAGAAGGGAAAAGACCAACAAACTTACTAGGAGCAATCCTTCTTCATAAACAAAAAGGGAAAAAGCCAACCATACTGATAATAGGAAGCAGAGGATATTTCAAAGACATATTTAACCCTTTCCACCTCAGCGACCATTGTTTGGACACTCCCTTGCGAAATGCCCAGAGACTCCACAGTTGTAACAAGCCAAGCCACTTCCACCGCCTGAACCATATCTCAAGCTGCCACCACCACCACCACCACCCTGTTCGCAATCCCTCGCCAAATGTCCCATCTCCCCACATTTAAAACATCCTCCATTGCCGCCGCCGCTATAACCACCGCCCCCAGCTCCGTCGCCACCTCTCCTACCTCCACCACCGTACCCACTTGCACAATAACCACCAGACCACCCACCACCATAACCTCCTCCACCGCTGCCGCCGCGTCCGAATCTCGAGGTGCCACGAACGGGGTTACCATTGGGGCCAGTAACATCGACCGCCTTGGTGCAACCTTCAGAAGACTCGATGACGAACTCGACCTCTTCACCATCAGCAAGGCTACGAAAATCCTCGGAACGGATTGAAGACTGGTGAACGAACAAATCCTCGCCGCCTTCTTATGTAAATATGAACCCAAACCCCTTTTGGTCACTAAACCACTTCACCTTCCCAGTCATCCTACTCTCACCCATCTTTCCCACAAAACCCAGATCAAAAAACCTTGCCAAAGCCCCTTTGTACTGCAGACGAGAGCAATGCAAATGGTCTGAAAGCCACTTCAGCCATGGAAAATAAAATAATAAAAGTTAATTAATTTAAGGGATCAAAGGGACGGCGGGGGTTCAGAGGTAGGGATCGGACGGCTGGGAATTTGAATGAGGTGGAATATGGAGCGTCTATTATATGATGAATTAATAAATGACCTCATTTTAATAAATTTTTTTATTCACATTATTTTTTGCAAATTTAATAAAAATAATGCATTAATTGCAAATTTATTTATTGAAATATCATCTTAATCAATGTAATTAAGCACTAATTAAGATTTCTCTACTAGCATTAACGTGGGTGCAATTAATGGGTGTATTTAATTATTAAAAAATGTTCACTAATGATTTCTTTTTTTAATGTTCTCTAATAATACTATTAGTATTAGTTAAGATGGTATTTTAAAAAAATATAATTAGAATATATTTACCATATAAGATTATAATGATATTATAAATAAAATTAGATTAAATGATATTATTTATCTTGTGTTTGTCATATATAAATATTAGAATAGTAAAAGTTATTTATTAATTAAAATTATTTTTTCTTAAATTTTATATAATATTAAATCATTAATATAATTTTTAAAGGTATAATAAAACATATAAGTTCAATCTTATATATTAAAAATAATTTTTTTTACTTTAAAATGATTGAATCATTTTATACTAAATAGATAATTAATACTTCTTATAATTTTAATATCTTTTTTAAGATACAAATCAAATATAATATAGGATATCATCTTATTTTATCTATTATTTTAAGTATGTTTAGTGTATAAGATTATGATATGATATGATAAAATAATATTATGATTAGTATTAGATTAAATAATATTATAGTATCTTATATTTGATTTAAGTAAAAATTAAAATAAAATAATTTATTTATTAGTCAAAATTATTTTTTTAAAAGTTTATATAATTTAAATATTTATATAATTGTTAAAAATATAAAAAAATATTTAAATACAATTTATTGGATTAAAAAATAAAAATAATCTTATTTATTTTTTAAAATATTGAATCTATCTTATATAAAAAAGATGATTAATTTTTTTTATAATTTTTTTTCTTTTAGATACAAATCATCAATAATATAGAGCGTGGTCAGCAGGCAGTCAGGACCCGCATTTTTATTCCTTGCCCAGGCCCTCCCCTTTTCCAGTCTGCCAATTCCACGTTTCATTTCTCACAACCCACTAAATCCATCAGGTCCTTCGCAGTGGGAAAAGTTGTATAATAATAGAACAAATTCATAACCAGATGTTGCACAAGGAGCGGAATCATAACTAGATCAGTAAGAAGCTTAGGCTCATTCATAAATATGGACATTGGGACCCAAAGAGCCCAGAACCATCTCCAGCCTACTGGTTCAATCTTTTGCCCAACCCACTTTTTCTTCAAGGCCTTTGAATGATTCTAGTCCAAGATGAAACTTCCAAAAAATGTACAGCTGAGCCATCACTTCATATGCTAGATATCTCACCCAAGAGAGATTGACATGACTTGGCAAAAGTTGACCTCATTTGAGGAACTAGATCAGTAAGAATCTTGGTGGTGTGGTGGCATAATGCTAGAAAGGCCAATACTACTCCATAGGTTTATTGGAGCAAAGGGTTGTTACTATTGCTGTCGAGCATTCCTTTCCACGTGTTACAGGTGCTTTTGGTTAACAGCATTACAGCTGTCCGAGTTAAGGAATCCAAGTGCTGTTTTCAAGCTAATCCAGCCAAGCTTTGATTATATCCTATCCGATGTAGAATGTCAGATTTGGTAGAATGTCACAAGTCACAAAAAATCCAAACATAATCAATACTTGGAATGTATTATCCAGTTAGACTTACCCAAAAGCAAGCAAGCCAGCTTCATCTATCTAATCAGAACCAAATTTCAAAAGCAGAAAACAGGAACTTTGTTTGGATATGCATGAGGAACTGCAGATGTTCAAGTTCTTTCCTTATCGTGTACATGTTGTCCATTAATCATCATGAATTTTGGTCTCACATGAAAATGTAGAAGGAACTAGCTAGCATCTTTCAAAAATGAATGCAACATGGTTCCGCATGACCCACATCTTTTTTTCATGAGCAAATTCAAAGTAAAGTGATTGACAAACTTGGCCAGCATGTTCTGTTCATTGACCCAGAAGCAGTTACTCAAAAATCAAAATGCAAACCCTCTTCAATAGCTGAAGAACAGAACTGGTTCTAAGTTGAAGCGACACATTTCAAAAAGCACGGAAAGGAAGGTCATCTTCATATGTTCATGAACAGTGTAATGCTAATAATCAGAGAAAGAAAAAAAATGGTGCAGGAGAAGCAGCATTTGAAATTGTTTCAATTAAATTATATCATCATGTAAAATGTGCTTTGAGTAATGACTTGAGATCATGTATTGGAGACTGAGATTACGTACCAAATTTTTGGAAATCTCAGCTATCCAGAATAAGGCATGTTTTTGATGTCAGTAATGACTTATGAGCCTTATGACCTAGACAGAGTTTGCCAACCACACTGTTTAAAGAGCCATGCTACTATAAACTGTAAAGCTACCAGCAATAATGCTAACTGCAAAATTTCAATGCCAGTACCGAGCTGATGATGATAGGCGACGCCGGTAGCAAAGATACCAGACAAGACTAACAAAGGAGAAAACGAAGAGAGTGAGGGTAAGAAGCATGAGAAATAGCCTATTAGCCATTAGTGTCTCCTACATGACTACCATAGCAGTGTTGACATCAATGCTAATTTATATACAATTCATTAGGGTGAATAAACTTACAAAACTGAACTATTTCAGAAAATCTTGCACAAAATGATAAAGTTAATGGAATCCTCTTGAACCCCTTGATTGATAGAGTTCCAATCTACTTTTGGCTTCTGGCAATAATGAAACAATATTATGATCTTCAGATAGATGAGCTTGCTTTGATGCCCACTCGAGTACTATAAGCACCTCTTCTTGTGCAAGGGTCTCACTGTCTGGAACATTGAACGCGAGGTAACACAGTAGGATCAATGAAGGATACTGAACCATTTGTTCACCAAAGTAAACCAGTTGAATTAAATGCTTGGCGCCTCCTGCACTGATGATGGCTTTGGAATGAGTAACATGGAGGTAGTTTTCAGGTGTTGCGAACTTGTTAAGGGCAATGGCAGCTTCCATAGAAATATCGGCTTCCCTTTCATCAAGCAGTTTCACCAATGGCCCAATAATCCTTGTTTCAGTTGCTCGGAAAGTCCTGGCCAAGTTTCCAATAGCTTTGATGCAAGGCACAAGAAGGTCTGAGTCTCCCTTTTCTATGACTTTGAGTAACTGCTCCACAACAGCTTTGGCAGCAGGGGAAGTAGGCTTGAAAGAAGAGCGTCTCAATTCAGCATTTTGCTCAGCTACAGCCGTGATTTCCATTAATGCCATGGCTGAATAGGACTGTACATCATCGGCGCCCTTCTCTAACAAAATTGCAAAGCACAATAGAGCTCTTGATTCCGTAATGCTATGACATATAGCAAGATTTCCCTTGCAAAGCTGCCAGAGTGCTCTTGCCGCCATTGCCTTCATTTCTGCTTTGGTCACTGGGTCTTCAAACTCCCTTCCCTTAATGCTAGTTCCAGCTAATGAAACATGTTGTGGATGGTGTTGATGATGATTCTGGTGTGACTTGGCACTTTGCTGGCTGCTTTTGGGATGGTTAACATGGTGGTTATTTGTAGAAGAATTTTGTGGTTGCGTTGACTTAGAACCGTCAGGAGTTTGGCCTTTCATAGCCATAGTGTTAGCAACCACATTTTGCAACTGGTTAGGTGTTTGATTCCCCATAGGGTGTGTAGTGGTAGTAATTTGCTTATAATCATCTCCGTGATCCTTTTGATTAGTTTGATCTGGAGTATTACTAGCCATAACAACCGAATGAATAGACATCGTTTGCTTACTGACAATGGCATACTTACTATGCTCTTGAACGGTCTCAAAGGCGAGATGACTGTTGAGAAACCGAATAATATTGTTCTGTGAAAAATGGTCTTGGCATTTGGGGTGATGCGCAGCCAATTCTGATACAGCCCAAGCCACCACAGATTGAACCTTCATGTTACCGTCTTTGAGGATTTTCGCAAACACTGAACAAACACCTGCATTGACAATCTGTTCGACACTTTCCGGGTCACGTCCCAGCAACCCAATTGCCCTTGCTGCATTTACCTGACCTTCCGGTTTGCCTTCCTTTGCCAACTTTAATAAAGGAGGGACCCCTCCTTCCTGTATGATCAGCTTACCATATCGATCATTGTCTCGAGCCAAAGAAACCAAAGAAGCAGAAGCATCAGATCGTTCATCCAATGAACCTGTATAAAGAATGGCAATCTGTTCCCATATAAGACACAATATTGGTTCGTTTGCTGCAATGGGAGGAAGACCGAGATATTCATCATCACGATCATCAACCGAGGCTGACACTCGCAAGAGCCACGAAACATCTCCTATAGAATTCTCGAGTTGCATTGATGTTTTCCTAAAGGCTGCCGCAGGGATAATGGTGAAAACTCGCTTCATGATACCACTTGCACGGCACTTGATGACAAGAGCTAAGGCCTTGTCCAGGACTTGCTCGGTATCATCGATGATTCTTCGCGTTGGTCGTTCGTAAAGGTCGTTGCTCGCACGTGCAGCTTGACGGAGGAGCCCTGATAGCTTCTCGGTTTTGGCTTTGAGCTCTTGGCAGTCTTGTTTGAAAGATTGTGCTTCATCCGCGGCCTTGGTTACGAGGTCTGCCAATTGTATTGGCCTTGTCAGGATCTGTTTCACAATATCCGTCATGGTCTAAGCCGACCCGGAAACAACGACAACGGGAAAGTAAGGACCTGACCTTTCAAACAGCAAAAATCAAATTATGACAATGATCCTTGTTGGAGGAAAAAAAAAAGGTAAGAGAAAAGGGTTTGGTCCCAAGCGGTGAATTATTTGATTCCTCTATAAATGGTGGATCATATTCGTCAGTTTTTAATCAATGAAGAGAGAGAAATGCTCGTATTGTTTTTGCATATTGGATCTGGAAAAAGAAAACGTAAAACCAGGGGTTAAAGATGTGTAAGGAGTTTCTGTAACGGAGAAGGTTCTTGGCATCAGACTTGCATTTGCATGGTGTTCCGTGGCGGAGGCAGTGGCGGTGGCCGAGAAGGAATGGTGGCACCGCCAGTGAATGCAAAGAGGGAGAGGGGAGAGAGACGGAGAGAGATTTGTAACGATCAAACGAGATTTTCTCCAAATTAGATGTCCAAAAATAAAACCACCGTTCTTCTTGCGTTATATATAGGAATTGAATTGGTCGGTCCATCAATTATTACACAATTGTGGTTCAACGAATATGAAGTCTCAAACAAAAGTCCGCACCGCGTATTCTTCTCCGTGACGTCCACGCTCGACAACTATCGTCTGGAAAATGAAAATTTGCCAAAACGATTGTATACTTTTCTTAAAGTCATATACACGCTCCTTCAAGAATGCGCAAATCAATTCAAGCTATTCAAGTATTGACTGCCAAACTGGCTTCCCTCGGGATTGAAAATTAGAAATAAATATTTTTATTTTATAAAAATAAGTCTTTTTAAAAAAAATTTGAAACGCTCCTTACATAGTGACGTTTGGTGTCTGTGCTTCATCACCCTTGGCTAGAAAAAGAGGCGGAGGCCCGGTTAATTTGAAATAAGCTATTTTTAAGCACAAGTACTATTTAGGAGGGTTGGCATCGTCCGATCATGAAAGTGGTATGTTATTTTCTTGGATCATGATAAATTCAAAGATAATTGGGGTCGAAGAATATCATATTGCCTCTTTGTATTAAATCATGAGGTTAAATGATAGTTTTCATTATGTCTCTCAATTTTTTTTTCTTTGAAGTGAGATTGATATATAACCAAAGATTATAGGTTGGTGTTTGTGTTAGAAAGACAGGAATAATTAAGCTAGCTGGCAAGAATGAATTTAAAAATTATTAAAAGAAATTTTAAAATTTATCAATTTATATAAATAAATTTTTATATTTTTATTATGTTTAAATGAGCTCGTACTTTTTAATTTGTATAAAAAATATTTTTATTACAAGCAAAATATTAATTTATATTAAGAGTTTATTTAAATATAAATTAAAGTTTTAAAATTTATTAAGTGTAAAGTAAAATTAAAAATTTGTTTGAGTGCAATAAAAATGTATGAATTTATTTAAATAAAATGATTTCATGAGCCTTTTTATTATTTTAACTTTTTTTATTAAGTACTATTATTTTATGAGAAGAAAATATTTGAAAATGATTCTTTTTTATAACAAAAAAATTTTTAATAAAGGAATTGTATATTCTAATATTCTCATCAAATTTATTAAATATTATCTTTTAACATTTACTATTCAAATTATATGTAAATAAAAGAGCGAGTTAATTCTTTTTATTAAATGAAAGAGATTGATAAAATCGATGACAGCAGTATTGGCAAGAGAGGGAATATATATGGGAATGGGAGGAAGAAACATTGCAGGGAGAGGTTCAATATCCCCACAAAATATTTGTATCTGTCTGATAAGGAAATAAAATCAAATGGCATTTGTATCCTGCTTATAGAAACCCATTAAACAAAAGTTACAAGCTTCGATGTCATCGATATTCTTCATCAAATTCATCATTGAAAAATTTTACCAGCAAGAATCAGTGATGAGGTATTGTGTTGCAGCGTTTTTTTTTTTTTTTTTTTGCTGTTTGATGGACGTGATATCCTTGATATGCACCGAGTAATTTTGTCTTCTACAATACTTTCGACTTTCATGCACTACATTGAACGTCACAACTCAGGTAGTCAGGTTCCACTTGTCAGGATAAAAAGGAGGTGGCTTTAAGCTTTCTCTTTTTCTCCATTTCAATTTCAAGCCAGTGAAGATATAAAGGATAGAAAAGCATGCATGTAAAGTTCAATTTTATCACCGGTTTGGGCTTAAGGTTTGAGATCCGTGTGGGGCACTATGGATTCTAGTTACCATTAACGGGCACAAAAAGAAAAAAAAGGGCAGATCACTTTTCTTCTGTCTTCATCATTTGAAAAGTTGGAAGAATCTGAGTTAGCTTTTTTCCTAGGCCACTGAATGTGAAATGGGTGGTTGAATTTTCATTTTCTATTACTAATTGGGTACAGAAAGGGTGTGAAATCCTTCAGGATACGAATGAGATGATATGTATAACATGGAACAATCCAAGTGATAATAACTATATATAGGAACAATAGCCAAATACATTTGTTTTACAGGCAATAAGAAATAAGATGCACGATTAATCCTGTGGTTGTCGAGATTTTAAAGTGTTAAACACTTAATTCAGTGTTTCACATTCATTCTGCAAATAAAATGGTAGTCTTAAATTTGACCGCGGTGTTGAATCTGTTGATATTATTCCTGCTAAAAGCTTGAATTCCATCCTTCAGGAAACATATCATAGAAGATCATTTTCATATCTCGTATCTCTAAGCAGAAAATTGTCATACTACTATTATCTGATCATCTCCATCTAGGATTTTGCACTACAAATTTATCATTGCCTGCATTTATTTCAAATGACAAATTCCAGAGTTGCCTGAATCCCGAACAATCATTCTTATAAATAAAAAACGACACTATCAAGAGTCTATTCCTGAGCTTGAGATGACTGCAACTGCAATTTTCTTTCACTTCAAAACAAAAATCTAGTTTATCCTATAGATTTTTCTGTGCCAGCTTACCTGAACCAAGAATCGGTTTATACTTGCTTGTTTTCAGGTGGAAACAAATGAGTTAGTGAAATTATAAGGAGATATTAAAAAGTGCTTATGCCTGAGAAATTATATAGCATCTGGACAATTGGTTCAATGATATATGTATGTATTTCCTGCTCAAAGAACAAGTTCCCCTTTCCCTGAAATATAAAAAAGAAGGGACTATATAAGCCTTAAAGCTGACTGAACAGCTTCATTACAGTATGAATTTATTGCAAAACTCACAAGCTCTCAAAAAAGCTTGATGATTAAACCCTGCGAGGCTGCGACCCTGCTTTTTTTTTTTTTTTTTTTGGGATAATTGAGAAGCATAACCTCTAGAAAAGATGGAAAGGACGTGAATCAGTAGCTCTATGCCCCAACAGTCCAATTTTTTATTATATAGAGAAATTTTTGAAATCGAAGATGCTGCCAACTCTCCTATTGCAGAACAACTATGGCAGAATGACCCCATAACAAACCTGCCAAAATTCAAAAAATCATTTTCTTCCTTTTATGTAATTATTATGATATCCACTTCACCATGCATTAGTGCCAAAGGAAGAATAGAAATCCAAGCCCTGAAAGTCTGTGACATGTTTAAGTAGCTGTATTATACAATAATTTATTTGTATCAAAACCCGGAATGGTAATTTGATGGCATCTTCTTAGACAATAAAGTTTTGCCATCTTCTTCTTTTAACCATGCAGGGTGAGTGATGACGGGATTTGATCCAAAATTTTTAACATATTCTTCAAGAAACGTAGAGCAACCTCTCCACAGCAGCCAATGTAAAGTTCCAAACTAGTGCCTGCGTAGGCCATATGTAGGGTAGGAAATCCAGGATAAGTCACGGGTCACACTCTCACACTAACATAAAGGAAATGAAAAACCAAAAAAAAAAAAAAAAGTGATGACTGTTAAAGTCGAGTTATCCCAATATAACAAATTTTCTCTAGTTTTATATTTAAATTGACTACTTCACTTATAATTAATTAATTTTAAATTAAATACTTAACAATAACTTATTTCAAATTCCAATTAGCCATTTTCGGACAAGGTGTACAACTTTTGCCCCTCCACCCTCCTTCCCCAACTGGAAGAGTCCACGGAAATCGCAATGAAGATTCCGACGAGCAAGGACAAACCAAGTTTGAGCCTTTCTTGCGGTGCCATAAACCAAAATCACTTCATCTGCTGAAAATTTGATGTAACCAATTGTGTGGGTTATCCTGAATCCTGCTTCTGAACTGACCTTGCTTGCCAACTCCTTCGATAATTCCCAATGTCAATTATATAACTTGGATCCCACTGTTTCTATATGGGACTGTTGAACTCATTTTCTTGGATGGCATAGTCATGTAACTCAAGCAAACCACAGCATACACGTATCAGTATAGATATATAAGTATGATGGTTTCACAGTACGTACTTATAGTCAGCTAGTCCAACTTGATTATGCCATGTGATAGCAGTAGCATCAGAGAACTGCAAAAAGTTCTGCTTGCAGTCTAGAATTTCACTTCCAAACACATTGCCAGCACTTATTGGCTCGAATTATACACAAACGACAAAAGGATGTAGCTGTGTCCTAGAACTTTCCCTCTTGATTTTCACTTGTAGATTATAGTACAGTACTTGTAGGAAAAAGCTTACGGAAAGAAGTTTGGAATATATCCCAAAAAAAATCTGATTTATTAACGTATAACAGTTTTCCCCAAATCTACAAAGAACAGTAAAGAGGCCAGAAATGTTTTCATCTCCTTCTCTCACCTTTCATTACTCATGGCTTCCACTGTAGTACTCGAATTCAAGAAATCGAATTCCTACCAATATTTTGCCATCATAGATTCATCATCCATGGCAGTGAATAATTAAGCAGAGATCACGTTCTTGTGATTTGATTACACAGGTGAATCAGTATTTTGTATCCCTTTTCACGTGATACTGAAAAGCTGGGAGCAATTAATTCCAAAGGATAACTTTGCAAAATCTTAAGGTAATTTCCCTGAAAATAACTTCAACGAGAGAGTAAAATCCTAGTAGTTTAGTGCAACAAAATACGTCATAAACAAAAATTCAACTGCCAACTTCAGTTTCTAGCTCAACACAGATATATGTTCATCAATTTGGTACAACAATATAGTAAATATATGAGGCTATGGGCATCAAATGTCCTCTAACTTCATTAATAAAGTTTTTTTTCTTTCTTCTTTTGGATGAACGGTGTAAAAATGACAGTTGTTTTCAGAGCTGTGAGGTCGAACCATGTTCATGATATTGATTGACCATAAGACAGCAACATTAATGGCAGGTCGTATTAAACTGTTGATGCATTACCTACTTTGACATCTGCTTTAATACTAGCAGATATAACGTGATCATATGCATGTGATAATTTGATAGTTTCCCTATTTATAAATTAGTCTATATAGAAATAGTTAACTTATGTTCTTCCATTTTCTGCTAGGTGTGCATAAACCATCCCTGTAGATTAAAATGTCAGTAAACAAACTCATCCGATCAGGACATTACTTAGCCGGTCAGCCCTTAAACTGGTTTCGACATTCATCTACTTCTGGATTTGGAGAGTTACAAAGGCAAAGGCTATTGGTCCTGAAGGCCCAATTTAACTGCAAAGAAAGGCTACCAATGTCTTACCCCATCTTTATGACTGAAATGGATCTTCAGCCATCCAAAACACCCCAATTCATATCCACCAAAAATAGCAGTGGGATTGTTTTCCATTCCATTTTTGCTTTAAATATTTAATTTTTATGACTATTTTACAGAGATGATAATAATTTGCATCGAATTAAATTTAATTTTTTTAAATAATATATAATATTATAAAATTTTAAAATTTGATTCAATCCAAATTAAATTTTACGTGTTCAGTTTCTTAGTTTTTAAATTTTAATTTTTTATATATTATTTTAATAAAATTTTTAATATATTTAAATAGATATATATATAAAATAATTATTTTATTTTCTAAAATTTTAAAATATATAATTTGATTCGATTCAATTTTTTTTTTTAATTTTTTACATTTTAATATGAACTTAATATATATTTAATATTCAAATTTAATCTAATCCAAATAAAAAAATTGACCTGAACTGAATTAAAAATTATAATTCTAAATTGATTTTTTTATTATTTTTTTGATGATTTAAATCGAATAAAAAAATTGATTTGAACTAAACCAAAAATTATGATTTCAAATCGATTTTTTTATTTTCTCGAATTTTTTTCAGCTTTACCGTTTGAAATGAATTTCTGATCAGTTCAACCACATGCATTCTTTCCTTTAATCCCATTCCAATTGCAGTCCACCAGTTATTTTGAATTTTAACACAGTAATATTAATTGTATAGTTTTATTCCGTGGAACAACCAAATTAGTAACAGTCAAGTAATATTTCCAAATCAAACAAACAAATCAATTTTAAATAATAACGTTTTTGTTCTTCTATTAAAAAAAAAAAACTAATGTTTACGTTCCTTCCAATTTTTCAATGTCCGTGTGTTACCATTTACCAATAAATCGACAAAAGGTCTATTCAATGTTGCATCTCACTTTTGTTACATTAACAACTGGGCCCAATCATACAAATTTTTTTTTTTTTTTTTAAATAGCGGTCATGGGAGGACAAATTGATCCAATAAATGTTAAAATTTAAATTTTAATATTTATAATTTTTTATTGTTAAGTTACTGTTTTTTTATTCCAAAAAAATCGAATTCCATGATATTTCATAAGAGATATGAGCCACTTGATGTCTTCAGTTTTCCAGAAGAGATATGTAGTTTTCAATTTCCAAATTAAACTATTGTCAAACAAAACAGGTTGAATATCCATGATTCCAGTTCTGATTATGTTTGAAAATGGCATAGAAATATCAGGTTTTTTGCAGGCATACAACGGCATTACCTTGCTTCTGTTCTTTTCAAAAGAGAACAGAAAAGCTGCTTAGCTCAAAAACTAGTTAAATTATCTTCCTCCGTGGATTAGTACATTAATTACACCAACTAGTTAACTACCAACACTGATCAGTCTCCCAATTCCTACGACTACTATAACCAGAAAACCCCGAAGAAGAAGCAACTGCTGCTGCTTCTCCTGCTGCTGCCATTGTTGCTGATGTGAGAGCAGAGGAATGAAAGCGGCGGTTCCGCATGTAAAGATCCCTGTCATAATCTGCACGTTTTTCTGGGTCTGATAACGTAGAATATGCTGCATGGATTTTCCTAAATTGATTAGCTGACATTTCTTTCTGATTGATGGACACAACATCAGGATGACATGTTCTTGCTAGTCTCCTATAGGCTGCCTTGATTTCATTCCCGTCGGCGCTCATCGTAATCCCAAGAACCTCGTACAATGATGTCGATGAAGCCATTCAGTTCCAAGATACTTGGTCAAGTTTTCTTCTTTTCAGGCTCTCTTTCTGGTTATAATCTGAAGAACATTCAAGGAATGGATTTGGAGATAAAGATCAAAATTTTAAACAGAGAAAAGCTGAGTATTTTGATGGAGATAACAAATATTTGAAGGAATGTGGGCTTTATTTATAGAGGTGAAGAAATATGACAAGTGGAGCCGATATAAACATGGTCCAGTGTGATTATGCTTTGATAAATTCTTATCCATAGGGTGCTATCCCTTGCTGAGTCAGCTCACTGTTCATGTGGATAGGCTTACTTTCAGAAGCCTTTGGTTTGCGATTCTTAGATTATTGAGGGAAAATCATTTCGAAACAAAATTACATTAAAGGATAACGTGTGATTATTGAATTTTGTTGAATTAAATAATGTAGTGATTGATCTCACTCCCGTCTTCCTCTGCATCTCAATCCTATAAATGAAGGAAACTTGGAGCAAATGGTAATTCAATCATTGGAACTGGAAAAGAATTGTCTCACTCAATACTCCATCTTGTTTTTCTAGACTAAAATTCAAAGAAATATTTTTAATCTACTGAGAATTTTCTCTGATCATATTCATAGTATATTGCAGTAAATGAAAATTCCACTCAATGACTTGATTCAAGGTGCCTTTTTTTCTTTCTAATTTGCGTATGAAAGTGGCTATTTTTATATATCACAAGTGGCTGGACTTAGATATGATCCAAATCATTTATTATTTTACAAAAAGGGTGCAACCATTATCCTCAAAAGTCCACGGAAAAAAAAAAAAAACTAGATTTAAGCTACCAGCCTTAGCATATGCACTTACTTTTGTTCGCACAGGTAAAGACACATGTTATAGGTATAAAATGGTCAAAAAAATATAATTATTTTTTTTTTAATTTTTAACAGATAATTAAAAATATTTTGATCATTTATATAAATTTTATATGTCACGTTGGTTTGACATATTCAATGTCACTTTAATTTAGTTCTGTTCAAAATATTTTTTTTTTTATCTTTCTCAATTTGAAGATTTAGATATTATAAATTTTTTTTTATTTTCTCATTCTTCTTTCTGATTTGATTTTTATTGATTTATACGTCAGAGTATAAACATAAAAAATCCCTATTACTTTTACCTTTAACTGTTTTTTTTAATTATTATAAAATTACCCTCAAATCAAAATTTAGCATCAACAACACAATTCAACGATAACTTTAGGTAAATTCTTTGATGGTCAAACAAATCCGTTTTAATCTTTTGAGTCCGTCTTTATTAAGGCTTTTCGATAATTGGTTGGATCTTTTAATTAAGTTTGAAATATTATTTGAGTTTAATTTCTTAATCCCTGTGAGTTGTCCCACGATAACCAAAGTCATTGATTTTTTTCTTGTCTTCATTGATGTTATTTGATTCCTAGCCAGCCTGGTTTTTTGACTTGGCATGTACGTTTTTAATTGGACCTATGATTTTCATATTCCCGTGAATCTCTACTGTTTAAACTGCATATTGAATTGAAGCATCAAGTATTCACTATCTGTGCAATCTTCTTTTGCAGGATTATTCTCCTCAATATTCCAGGAGTTAGTGGATACACTGAGACATAAATTTTGTAAAGAAAAGGCTGGTGCCAAAGGTTCCTGACATTATTCAGCAATGTCATGACATCTGATCTTGATGGTGTTAGCATAGATGGAATTCTGAACCAGATAAAGCTGTGAAAATATCTGAGTATTGTATAACCTTTTCGTTTGAAGAAAGGTTAGAAGAGCATTGCAGATTGTATTTGAAAATGGCAAGAAGCAATCACGAATTTTAAAGATTGTGCGTGCATCATTTTACATATCTCACAAGGATGGGGATCCCTTTGATTCCTCCTTTCAAGTGAGTACTTTTATCTTTTCTGATCCAAAAATCTAATGGATTTGCCTTTTAGTTTTTACTTTGTTGTATACTCTTTTTTAGGGCTTTTCCTCCATTTCAATTTTAACTTCTCATTTATTAAGAATCAAGCTGAGTTTATGTAGCTAACAACTACAAAAGCTGCCATGAAAACCAGGCATAGCACATTTGTAACATGGTCTTATTGTGTGAGATATGAAGCATGTTTTTAAATGGAAAATGTAGGAAGCATGTGTGCCTTAACTTAGCAGCCAGCAGACCTTGATCATAAGCTTATAAGCATTTTGAGCCTAAAATTTGCATTTCTTTCCTTTTTTTTTTTTTTTTTCTTGAGAAGTTGTGGCCTATTGGCCACTCCAGCTCAAAAAGGGCTCTCAGAATTGCAGAAAAACCTAAAACTGAAATAAGAAAACTAGCCAATCCAACAAGAATATATATCACATCAATGCACAATAAAAATACACAATGCTATACACATTATATAAATACCACATTACAAACAAATAACTGGCCACAGTCAATTTTTCCATGGATGAAGAAACTGGTTACAAGAGAAAATATCACAAATTATTCTACCAAAAGATAAGAGAAGAAAAATTCACAAATTCATCAACACTTGCCTTCAACCCTGGCTTGTGTAAGGCCAACACAAGCATCAACAAAATCCTCATCAATAAAATCTGTAGAGAAAATCTGCAATCGATCAGGACAACCCTTGGCAAAGCACTGGGTAATGAACAGCCTAGCATATCCATGAATCCGTCCCGTTACGGGTCTAACACATAACACAGGGTTATCTGCCTGTGGTGTGACTGTGTTCTCCACCCTATAAAAGAATTTCCTTGATGAAACTGGTTGTTGCTCACCCAAATGCTTCAAATTGCTATCAAATTTTGTCGATGGTAAATCTGTGTCTATCCAATTGTCCTTCAGATAATTAGCACTCCAGAATGGAGAACCTGGCTTAGGCTGAGGAGACTTACTTGGTTTCCAGACACAGATAATTCTCTTTGGCAACAATTCAGATACTGTTTTGCCAAAGACGTGATCATCCTGGTGGATCAGGAAATCCCCAAGTTTTTCCTCCAAGTACTTCTCAAATTCCGGAGGATCCTGGTGCCCAAATTCAGTGCGGATCTCAAGAATTATGATCTCTGACTGTGTCTCTGACAAGAACTTCATGATTTCATTGATGACAACATCAACGCTGTATGTAGACAGGATCCCATGGCAGACACGACGATCTTCATTAACTCGAATATCCAAAACTCTGGTGCCTTTAACAAGCTGTTGGTAGATGGACAAAGACTGGCATTGCGCAAAAGGGCGAGAGATACACGGAATCCCAATCTTGTTGGTAGCAGAATCATGAGTTCCAGGCCATACAATCTTGTTTATGCGAAGTTTCTCCGGACCGAGGCCTGCCATCCAATTTTTCCTATCAGCTGGACGGTAGTCACTACCAGGAAATGTTTCCCCACAACTTTCATGAAGGTCACAGAGCGTTTTCTTTTCAGTGGAGATTGCCTTACGTCTTTCCAACTGTTTAGAGGCCTGAGAACCCATTTTTCAATCAGAGAAGAAGAAAAAGATTGCTGAATCCTTCCTCCTCCCCTTCTTCTTCTCTTCTTCTTCTTGATGATCCTTGTTTTCCTTCTGTTTCAGGTTATAAATTAAAACCTTTCCTTTCTGGAGTTGGATATGTAACATTATAACGTCAGATAGTGCAATTGTAGGGTCGACCTTCTTGTATTATAGATAATAAAACTGATAAGACAGGCAGCCTTCTCCACGGTTTATATAATTTATTTTCTCTCAATTATCTTCAATACTTTAGTTTCAGACTGGGATGTTAAAACTGTCTTTAGTGTGGGTGGGTCGCTTTGATTTTCATTGCATTACCTCTTGGATTCTTCCACCTGTGTGGCTGCCGAACATTGTCTAAACTTTGGCTGGTCTTTTGATACTTTCAATCCTGATTTTTGCTAATTCCACGAGTTAAATGCGGGCTCGTGATGGTAGGTCCAATGGGACGGCACTCGGCAATGGAAACCAAAGTTCTCTGTGAAGGAAGCCAATCCCATTCGTCCAAATCCCATTTCTGGTTCAACCACTGCGGAAAGCGAAGGATCTAAATAATTAATGCTTTTCTTTAAAGAAAATGTTTGCCAACCAGAGATTTAATCATTTCACTGTTCAATGATCAATGAGTATCCGGTGTAAAACAGATTTTATTAGCATCCATAGAATATACCTCATTAATTGACTTGTCCTCTCTGATCAGAAAATATCCTTCCTGTATGAAGGACCCAACATTCCAATTGTTAGACACGAATTTTCAAAACTACATTCAAATTGGTCCAAAAAGACCAGCCTGCTTCATTACAGGAAGAGCGAATAACCTGAAATAAGATGCTTTTCCAAGACCAAGAGTAACAAAGTGAGCTGGATGGCCATTGGAGCTCCAAGAAAGATGGCCCCAATGGAGGTTATATAATCTCATTGAATAAAGTGGAGCACACAATTGATGAAGATTGAGGGGCCTACCATGTGCACTGATGATACCTAGAATAAGCTTCAATGATTATAATGTTAAAAAATTAACACGGACACGTATCACTTACGCATAAAATAATAAATTTAAATAAAAAATAAAGATACATAAATATATTTATTTGAATTTAATTTAAAAATTATATACTTTAAACTTAATACACTAATAAATAAATTTTTATAACTGTAATACTTTTAAAATGAAAAAAATCATCAAAAATTTTTTACTCAAAATTTAATCCAAAACTCAATTACATCATTTTAACAGTCTATTCACTTAATATTCTCTTGATATCAAACTATCTAATATTATTAAACTAAAATCAAAATATCTTATTTATAAACCTTTTATACCTTTACTAAATTTTCAATATGAGATACAAGATAAACTCAAACTCTTATAACTTCACTTAACTTTTCATATAAGATTATGAGATTTAAGATAAATCTCAACAAATCCTCCATTAACTTGAATATTCAAATACTTCAATATTATCTGCAAAACTGACACGTTTGCCTTTTTTTTTTCTTTCATCACAGGAATCCTAGCAATTGGATTTCCATTAAGTATGTACAAGTGATTTTTGACCATATTCCTTTATAGAATCACAATACTTATACTTTCAATTAATTATTACTACCATAGTATGTGTACCATCGAAAAACTAACTCATCCAAAACAATCAAATTGTAGCTACAACTTTGTACATATCTTACATAACGAAGCGTCCTAATAACTCCATTATGAGATTTAAGGCAAACACTCCCAATGCATTGAATTTACACATTTTCATTGTTAGCAACCACAATATCTCTATACTTCACATTCTCCTCTAACTCTATAAAATAACTCTTATCATTGCAGATATGAATTATAGCAGCTGAATCTAAAACCCATCTTTTATTACCTTTCAAAGTACGAGTCTCATCCATACAAATCATTAAAACGATATCATCATCATCAAACACAACGCCAGCAGTATCACTATTTTCTTCATCCAATTTTTTCTCATTATTTGCCCTTATGAAAGTAATTATATCTCTTTTTGGCTTCTTGTAGCGTACTTGGATGTCTTTTTTCATCATAAATAATATTTTATGTCACTGTAATATCTGTTTCTTAACTTGAATCTCCCTCTTGATTCATCAATTCTCTTTTGAGTCTTCTCTCGATCACAAACCTCTACAACTAGTGCACTCTTCCCAAGTGATGAGTTCTATGTTCCGATAAATCTTTCGTTCTTACGCAAATGACAGTCACATCATCCAACTTCAAATTAGACCTACCCACCAATAAAATCTGAACTAAAAGCCTATAAGACTTGGGCAAAGGTACTTCTTTTCATCTTCTAACTCCTCAACAAAAACCGCTAGCAATTGAGAAACCAATATATTAAACTCATTCAGGTAATTATGAAGACTCATACCTTCTTTCATCTTCAGAGAATACAGATTCATCTTCAAACTTAATTTATTAGTTAACCACTTTAATGCGTAAATACCTTTAAGCTTATTCTACAAATTTTTTGGAGTACTCTTAGTTAAGACACTATATTTTATCTCTGGTGCTAACGCCAATCTAATAATACTAACAGCTTTTTTTTGAATTCTATTCCAATGATCCAAACCTTGTTGTACTAACAAATCTTAAATCGTATTTTGTTATAACATAAAATTACTCTTTCCATCAAATAACAAAATTTCAAACTTGGACATAGACATACTTTAACATACTTTCTTCAGACATAATAAAATAGGAGATCATATGAAAAATGTAACCGATTCTTTCCTTTCCTTGGGTCACTGGCCATCCGCCGGGAGTTTCGGATTTAATACCGATATTTTAGCAACAAATCCAATAAATCTAAGTGTAGTCCTTGGTGTATTGATCTTTTTTGGAAAGAAAGTGTTTGCGAGTTTATTTCAAGAATAGGTTGGATTCACCCAGTTGCACTTTTTTTCATTATAACTAGGAAAGAAAAGAGTGCATGATCCCGCGAATTACTTCTGAATAAATTTCAAAATCATATTTAAGAACCATAGCATTTCGTCATTCATTGGTACATCGACTTTGATTCTCTATTAACCAATAATCCGGTACTTCATGATCTCTCCTCGCCTGATACTACTTGTTGGAAAATCAATACGCACGCAGCACCTATACACACAATAACAAGCTTAAATCAAGAATAAGAATACACAAATATATTTGTTTTGGCTCAACTCAAAAATAGCATGCTCCAAACTCAATCCACTAACAAATAAATTTTTATAACTGTGAGACTTTTAGAAAAAATAACCAAAAACTCCTTACTCAAAACTTAACGCAAAATTCAATTACACACTTTTAATAATCTACTCACTTAACTATTCTCTAGGTGTCAAACTAGATGTGGGATACAAAACAAACTCAATCTCATATAATTTCGCTTAACTTTCGATGTGCGATTATGAAATTCAAGGTAAATCTTAACATATAGAATGTCAGTAATTTTAATTTGGATTGCTACAATGAATAACAAGAAAATTAAACACGAGATTTTCATGAGTTAGGTTCAATAAATGAGCGACTATGAAGAAATCAATAACCTTAAAATTGGTAATCTGGAACCAGGCTTCTGCAAGAGCTCAAGAGTCAATCCTGCAGTTAATTCAGCTTGTTTGACTTCATAATAAAGAGTCTTAATCCTCTGATATACACCATAACAAGGAATGTGAAAATAATGATATTTAAATCACGGAGCTAAGAAATTTATAGCTAGAAATGACAGAAACAGATGCATAGAAAGATCTAAAGGCAAATAGGAACTTCTTCCAGTGAATCTCTGCTTTGCATAGCGATTTGGGTTTAACTGTGCCCGAACATAATTTTTTGCCCAGAACTCAACCTGAAATAGAATTTCGTTAAATGGCATTTCACATTTTTGCAGAAACATGGACAAATCAAAAGCTGCAATTGTTGATTATCTGAAATCAGTTATTCCAAGAACTTGATAAAACAAAGTAAATATGTGACTACTTCTCATCCACTTAATGTAAACAACATAATTATTATCATGTTCATCAGCTCTTCCTCATTTTGTCCACACCACATAATAATAGATTTGACATTTAAGAAAGGGGAAAAAGATGGAAAGCCTCAGTGTAATGCATTCTAACGAATATATATATATATATATATAACTGAACTGCTTCTTTAACATAGCTAAATTCAAGAAGAATGTACACGTTATACATAACATAGTCAGGAACTACACATTGTGTATAGGGTTAAGACTATTTGGTAAGCCCATGCCACTAGACCTGCAGATGTTCGGGAGGGGAACAAATAATGTTTGGACAACAAGGTTAAACAGAGGAAGGCCCATTCAATTTGTATGGTAACACAATGCTGTCTGAAACTGTGAAGGCAGAGTAGTTGCATCTTACATTTGACAATTAATCAAATTTTCATCTCTAAACAGCCATATGCCATAAGATAATGCAAGAAAGATAGCACTTTGGAGTTTATCAATTTTTATTCAATCACTTGGATGAAACAATTGCTTACAAAGAAGCATAAAAATTTGGAGCAAAACCTGAAATTCGTTGTGAAACTTTAACTCTTATATAAACAGAGTTAAATCTATGATGCAAGAATTGCCTCCAATACAAGAAGGGTGTTTGAAAAATTATACAACAAAAAAACTGAATGAGAAAAATATTCTTTTAGGTCTCCCAGAAAAAAACCCAGCAAAAATAAAAATGGCTAACTTCTACTTTCAATCTCAAACAATGAAGCATCAAAATCCATCTGACCAGCTAACTGATCCAAGGCTGAGTATATTGCTCCTTTCAAAGGATGCAAGCTATCTGATACAGTGAAGGCGTGCACTTTATTTTCAAGTTCTATCCAACTAAGAGCTACCTCTTTCCTAACTTGTCTCTTATGCATAAGGTGTCTCACCTTCTCAACCGATTCCCATTTCCCAAGTGTGCCATATATACTTGAAAGCAATACATATGCTGCAGAGGACTGAGGCTCCAACTCAATAAGTTGTTCAGCTGCTCTTCTTCCCAATTCTATATTTCCATGGATTCTAGAAACACCGAGCAGTGCATTCCAAACCCGGCTATCAGGCTTGCATGGCATCTTCTCCAGATGGTTCATCAACTGGTCAAAGAAACCAGCTCGACCTAAGAGATCAATTAAACATGCATAATGCTGTTGATCGGGAATTATGCCGTGATCAGAAGAAATACATTCAAAAAACCTAAGCCCTTCCTGAACAAGACCAGAGTGGCTACATGCATTAACAATAACAACAAAAGTGGTCCTATCTGGCTTCACCCCTTGTTTTACCATGTCATCAAACATTTTCACTGCCTCCTCACCGTGCCCATGCTGTGCCAATGCAGAAATCATTGTGTTCCACAATACAGGATCCTGCTTATTATTGGTAAGATAAAAAATTCGTTTGCCAAATTTGAGACTACCGCATTTTGAATACATGTCAATGAGAGAACTGATGACTATCATGTTTGGCCTAAAATTAGTTCGTATCAAATAAGCATGTATTTGTTTACCATGAGTAAGTGAAGCTACACTAGCACAAGCACAAAGACAACTACTAAAGGTAAACTGATCAGGTCTAACTCGACACAGCATCATCCTTGTAAACAATTCAAGTGCCTTATTCCCCATACCATTTCTAGCATACCCCGAAATCAAAGCTGTCCAGGAAACCGGATTTTTCTCAGGCATCTTATCAAACAAATCATTAGCTGATTCCATATCTCCCCATTGAGCATGCCCCGAAACCAAAGTCGTCCAAGCAAGAACATCCCTCACTTTCATATCATCAAATAACCTCCTAGCCTCCCCCACCATCCCGCATTTCACATAACCATCAACAATAGAGCTGGAAATCACCACATTTGACAAAAAACCAGAAACGAAAACCTGCCCATGAACCTGTCTAGTGAGTTGCAATTCTCTCAACTTAACACAAACAGTCAAAACACCAGCAAAACTAAACTCATTGTATCCAATACACAAATCCCTTAACTTCTTATAAAACCTCAACGCTTCCTCAAAAAACCCGCTTTGCGCATAAGCAATCACCATTGTATTCCATGAAACGACATCCCTTTCAGGCATTTGATCAAACAATTTCCGAGCAGGCTTTATCATGCCCAATTTCGCATATCCAGACAACATATTATTAAAAGAATATAAATTTCTAGCACCCATTTTATCGAACACTTTGCGAGCACCGATATAATCTCCACAATTAGAATACATATTGATCAAATGATTGGATAAAAAGGTGTTGGGCTTTTTGAGTCCGGTTAGTTTCAAATGAAGGTGTAGAAATTTGCCGTCTTTGAGAGACTTGGTTTTTGCGCATTGTTGTAAGAGAGAAACTAGAGTTTGAATGGGTAAGCGAATGCCTTTTCTTGTTAAGAGCTCGAGAGAAGAGATTGCTTGAGCAAGCTGGCCTTGAGAAGTGAGACTGAGAAAGGATTTCACAATACAAGGGGGTTTTTTGGAGAAGCGGTTCCTGGGATTTGGACGAAGTGGGGGAGAGAGTGGGGGCATTGGAGAGAGAAACCATGTGAGAATTTGAACAGGAAAAAAGAGGTTGTTTTGTTCTTCATGTCAGCTTAGCTCCGACGAGGCATTGCGGTTGCGGTGCTGCTGGCTTGACGGGGCAAATTTTGAGTTCTTTGCCGTTTTGGGGTTTCCTAGTGGGCCGAAACTCGGGAATTGTCAAACCCAAACCCAAGGGAGCTCTACCCAAACCAAACCCATGTTACGATTTCTGTCACAGTTCCTTTTCAAGTAGAATCTTTTGATTTGGAAACACACCCTCGAACCTGTTATCCGTTTATCAGTGATTGAGAATGAAGATGTCTCATTATCTACTGATAATTTTGCATCTTCAATGATCCAAGAGGCTCCGTTCGTTGATGACACAAAGAAACCTCATCCACCAACACTCCTACGACGACTAAAATCCCATAATGATGACAACAACGATTCACGAGACAATTTAGTCTACTGTCTCTCGTCTGGATAAAATGTATATTAAGTTTCATAAGTAAAGTTTATGAAATTTTTTATTAGAAATAAAAACATAAAAATTTTAATAAAAAATTTAAATTGATAATTTGATAGAATTTAAAGTAAAAATTAATAATATATAAAAAATTATTTAAAATATTTTTTTATAATTTAAATTTAATCGATCTTTATTTAATAATAAAAATTTTGTTAATAATTTTATTTAAAATATTTATTTAATAAATATATCAAAATTTACTAAAATTTTTTTTCTAATTTTACCAATTTAATCTATATAATAAAATATTTAATTTTTAATTTAATTAATTTTTTTATTAAAAATTTCACGAATTCCTCTGATAAAATTTCATTTCCCCTTTGCTCACAAAGAATTCAAATTGGCCTAAGCACTTGTACGAATGTATTTGCAACTCTCTTCAAGTAATACATCCATCTTCATCTCTGCCACCAGTCAATTCAATTGATATGTTGAATTTTATACATCAAATATGACTATATTTTTTGAAAAATTAAATTCCATTCATCACTCTTTTCCAGTTGCCATCTCAGACCAAGAAGAACCAACCTTTCCTCAGGCTTTCAAAAACACAAAATGGATAGAGGCCATGTCAAGAGATAACAGCACTTGCAAACTAAAACTTGGTCTTATCCAAATAGCACATGCTGTTCAAACAGGAGTTCAAAAGAAAAAAAAAAAAAATCCTCTTTTAATCCTGGCATTAGGGAATGATCCTATTTTGGTAGATCCCGTATATTCTTTCAAGTAACTCCTTCCAAGCACACCAGGTCAAGTCCACCAACAAATCAGTCCCACCACTCCAAATGCTTTGGATATGTAGGCTCGTCATGTAAACTCTGATTGGCCCATCACCCTTTCACTCTATCACTTTTTCCATAACCTCTTTTTACTCTAATCTAATATAATCTAGAATAGTAGATCAATCAAAATAATACTTGCATGCCATAATTAATGTGAAAAATGTTACTGTTTTTGGATTGAAACTTTACACAAACATGTTTCATCAATGATGAAGGTTGTTAATCAGGTGCTAAATCAGGAATGGAATAAAAGAGATGTCAAATAATAATTTAAAAGAGAAAAGGGGTTTAAATAATATTTTGGTGAGCTCAAATACTATAACATAACACAGATTGAAAATTTTTTTTAGGACTCCTGCCTGCCCCCGTGACTTCACCCCTGTTGTTCAAACCATTTAACCCATTAAAATTTGTAGAGTTTGGAAGAACACGTAATGCTAAGTTTCATTGTACAATATAATCATTAAAAAAAAATCTGAATATAATATATAATAGTTGAACTTTCTTTTCTTATAAGCTTAAACTTTTAAAACGATCGCACACTCATTTTAACGTAATATTTGTTAGATTTCTCTAGTTTCATGTTTGCATGGGTTGGTAAAATATTTTTCTTATGATATGATTAGATAGATATTAATACAAAAAAAAAAAGAAAAGGAATGGATAGAATTGAAGTGTTCATGGTGACCACTTTTTCCAAATATGAAAACAAGCAAAGCAAATCAAACAAGCCCTCAGGAATGATTGAACAAAATTGTGAAAAGGGTAGAGTACCATTATTACAAAGTACTACATGCCAAGGGGAAGAAGTCATTTACTACCAATCCCAACAAGTTTGTTGGGTTGATGATCACAAAGTCATTTGGGTGGGTAGGCACAATCAAAACCATGCCATCAGGAAAGAATGGACGGCCCACAATTGCCCTCTCTCACTGGCAGCTCAGGTAATGATCACGTGACACTCTCCACATAACATGTCAAACACCCCTTGGCCCTTGCTTTTCCTATCCCATTTGCACTCTTTTTATGTTCATGTCACCGTGATTCGGCGTCTTTCACGATGACATCAATGAACCATCTTCAACCGTTTGATCACAGTCCCCCGTATCCATTTTAATCCGTTGATCACCCTCTTATCCTGCCTAGATCCTTTCTTCAATAAGCCAAAGGCCAAAGCAATTGTAGTAGATATATGAAAACACAGGAAAGTAAAGCACATGTAGCCAAAGATCCTTCCTCTCTCTATTCTGTCTCTCATTATACTGCAAAAGCCCGGACGCCCTTTTTCTTCCCTTCTCTGTCTTAAAATTGCTGTACCATAAAAAGACCAGGTGACCTTTCTTTTTGTTACTATTACTATCTGTTTATTATTTTTATTTAGATATTTTAATATCCTTTTTACAGAAAACCTTCAGTATGGACTTGGGATCTGATATTTTTTGAAAAATGATGTTTTGATTAAAATGATCTTTTGATTGGGGGGAAATAGAAAGATCTATTTTTTTTGTTGACATGTGGATCAATATTGGATTTTTATGTTTAGGTTTTCGGAAAGGAGGGGTTTTTGTTTTGTGGGTATTTCTTATGATTGATTGTTTTGATGTTTTTGTTGATTGTTTGTTGACTAATGTTGGTTAAAATGGGGTTTTGATGGTTTTGGTCAATTTAGGTTTTTGAAGCAACATTTGTGAAAATGGAAAATGGGGTAGGAATGGTTGATGATTCTGTTATGTTAGACAATAAGATTGTGGAAGAAAGAGTTGCCAATGAGAAAGCGGAGGAGAGGGTTGTCGGGGGTTCAAATGAAACTATGGATGTAGAAGATGAGGTTTTTGAGGAGGCAATTGGAACACAGGAGCATTTGCAGGAGCAAACAGAAAAATTTGAACCGCAGGACAGCAGTCTAGTTGCTGATGAAATTGGAAATGGCGAGACATTTGGTGACACTGTTTCGGATGAAGTTCAGGAGAATTCAAATTTAGAACCTGAAGCAGAGATCTTTGAAGAGGCTTTGGAGGTTCCAACTGAGATTGGACATCGGGAGGGCGTGATTCGAAGTGATGTCGGACCTCAGGAGGATGCTGCAGTGTCAGTGGATGAGCAGAAAGTGGTAGAACTGTTGGGCGGGGAGCGTGTTAGTGGTGGTGTAGTGTTTGATAAGATTGATGAGGGAGGGATTGAAATGGGAGCAGGGGCTGATGAATTGAATGGTGGAAAGGAGGTACCTGAAATCAGTGGTACTGGAGAAATGGAAGTCTTGAGGGATGAGGCTGAAGGAAATCTAAAGTCCTATACTGCAATTAAGAAGCCTGTAAAAGGTGATGCTGATAAGGTATATTTAGAGGAAACATTGGCAGACAAAAATTTGGGAACTTTAGAAGGTGATAACGTGGAGAAGGATTTAAAAATGGAATCCAAGTTGGAGGTTTTGACACAGGAGGGTAAGGGTGAGGAATCAAGGGAGGATGCACTGGCTACTGATTATCAAGACGAAAAGGTTGGGGATTCTGCTTATACTTCAGCTGGCATGATTGTCAAGCTTCAAGATGATGAAGTCGTTGAAGCATTGAATGACAAGTCAGCTAATGTCGATACAGGAGATCAGGGAAAAGAAAGCAAGGAAGTTAAAGGTGCCACAGCTGATCTTGATTCAGTGGATGGTGGAGATGAGAGTGAAAAAGCAAATAAGGCTTTGGCTAGTGTGGAGGCAGTAGATAACAGGAATGGAGAAGTAAAAGATTCATCCGACGTGAGGGACATAAAGCATAATGGTGAGATTCATGAAGTGAAAGATACAGTGTCTGAGCTGAGTACATCTGTGGAAGGGACAGCTGCTAATGAATTTAGAAACTTATCTGTTGCAGAAAAGTTTAGAGATGAGATGAATGAGAAGGTTGAGGCTGGTAAAACTGATTTGAGAACAGAGGCTCATGATGTTTTTCAATCTCAGCCTCCTGATGAAATAGTGGATAAAGTTCAAGATACTCATTCTGTGACTGAAGAATCTGACAAGAAAGCAGAGAAAGGTCAGGAAGATAAGCAAAGCACCCAAATGACTCTAGAGCAGGAAGTGCAACATGCTCCAGGATCTGTGTTGTCTGCAAAAGCTGAAGAGTCTGGAAAGAAAGTAGCTACAGATCAGGAGCTCAAGCAAAACATCCCCGTGATTAGAGAACGTGAAATTCTACCTGCTACCATGCCTTCATCAACTGTAAAATCTACAAATTCTGCTACCTCTCCTTCTCATCCTGCTGGCCTTGGGCGTGCTGCTCCACTGTTGGAGCCTGCTCCTAGGGTTGTGCAACAGTCTCGTGTAAATGGCACTGTCTCTCGGACACAGGCACAACAGATTGAAGACCCTGCTAATGCGGAGGCTGAGGAGAATGATGAGACTCGTGAAAAGCTTCAGTTGATTAGAGTCAAGTTTTTGCGGCTTGCTCATAGGCTTGGGCAGACTCCCCATAATGTTGTTGTGGCACAGGTTTTGTACAGGCTAGGATTAGCCGAGCAGCTGCGGGGGAGAAACGGGGGCCGTGTTGGTGCCTTTAGCTTTGACCGTGCAAGTGCTATGGCAGAACAGCTTGAGGCAGCTGGGAATGAACCCCTTGATTTCTCTTGTACAATTATGGTCCTTGGGAAGACAGGAGTTGGTAAAAGTGCTACTATTAATTCAATATTTGATGAAGTTAAGTTTGGTACTGATGCTTTCCGAACAGGTACAAAGAAGGTTCAGGATGTTGTGGGTACTGTACATGGTATTAAGGTGCGTGTAATTGATACACCAGGCCTTTTGCCTTCCTGGTCTGACCAACGCCAGAATGAGAAGATTCTTCACTCTGTTAAGCATTTCATTAAGAAAACACCTCCAGATATTGTTTTGTACCTTGATAGGTTGGACATGCAAACCAGGGATTTTGGTGATATGCCCCTCTTGCGCACCATCACTGAGATCTTTGGTCCATCCATATGGTTTAATGCAATTGTGGTTTTGACTCATGCAGCTTCTGCTCCGCCTGATGGTCCAAATGGTACTGCTTCTAGTTATGACATGTTTGTCACTCAACGTACTCATGTTGTCCAGCAGGCTATTCGTCAGGCTGCTGGGGATATGCGGCTCATGAATCCTGTTTCATTAGTGGAGAACCACTCTGCATGTAGAACAAATAGGGCAGGCCAGAGAGTGCTGCCAAATGGTCAGGTTTGGAAGCCTCATTTGTTGTTGCTCTCCTTTGCATCTAAAATACTTGCTGAAGCGAACGCACTTTTGAAGTTGCAAGATACTCCTCCTGGAAAGCCTTTTGCTACTCGAACAAGAGCACCTCCTTTACCTTTCCTTCTTTCATCTCTTCTTCAATCAAGACCGCAAGTTAAGCTGCCTGAAGAGCAGAGTGGTGATGATGATGATTTAGATGATGATTTGGATGAATCTTCAGACTCTGAGGATGAGTCAGAATATGATGAGTTGCCACCTTTCAAGCGGTTGACTAAAGCACAGATAGGGAAGCTTAGTAAAGCTCAGAAGAAGGCATATTTTGATGAGTTAGAATATAGGGAAAAACTTTTTATGAAAAAGCAACTGAAGGAAGAGAAAAAGCAGCGAAAGATGATGAAGAAAATGGCTGCTGCAGCTAAGGATCTGTCAAGTGAGTATGGTGATAATGGAGAAGAAGAAAGTAGTGCTGCTTCTTCTGTTCCAGTTCCCATGCCAGATTTGACCTTGCCTGCTTCTTTTGATTCTGATAATCCTACTCATCGGTATCGTTACCTTGATTCCACCAACTCATGGCTTGTGAGGCCTGTTCTAGATACTCATGGTTGGGATCATGATGTTGGTTATGAAGGTATTAATGTGGAAAGATTGTTCGTTGCCAAAGACAAATTCCCCATTTCATTTTCTGGCCAGATTACGAAGGACAAAAAGGATGCCAATGTCCAAATGGAACTAGCCAGTTCTTTAAAGCATGGGGAAGGTAAAGCAACTTCATTAGGTTTTGATATGCAGACTGTTGGCAAGGACTTGGCCTACACTATGCGCAGTGAAACAAGATTTAGTAATTTAAGGAAGAATAAGGCAACAGCTGGCATCTCAGTTACACTCTTAGGTGATGCATTATCGGCTGGAGTGAAAGTTGAAGATAAATTGATTGCTAATAAGCGGTTCCAGGTAGTCATGACTGGGGGTGCTATGACTGGTCGTGGCGATATTGCATATGGGGGTAGTTTGGAAGCACAATTGAGGGATAAGGATTACCCCCTGGGTCGCTCCTTGTCTACGCTTGGGCTTTCTGTCATGGATTGGCATGGAGATCTTGCCATTGGATGCAATATACAGTCACAGATTCCTGTTGGACGTTCTACAAACTTAATAGCACGTGCCAATTTGAATAACAGAGGTGCTGGACAAGTCAGTATACGAATAAATAGCTCAGAACAGCTTCAGCTCGCTTTGACTGCTCTCCTTCCACTTCTGAAAAAGCTACTTGATTATACCCAGCAAATGTAGTATGGACAATGATGAAAATTAGGTTACATGTGCGATAGCAGGTATGCGGTGATAGAACATTTTTATAATGGCCATCTCTCAGTGGTCTTCAAGAGTGAAAGTAAGGTGCTGAAATTTCAATAATTTTCCTTCTTTTTTTGTTTTTTAATAGTGATTGTAGTTTCTTTGTTAGATATTTTTCATAAGGTTACTTTTATTCCCATGAAACTATGGTCAAGAATTGCTTCTTTTCTTCTGTGAGTGCAGAAACTCAATTCATCTTTAATTTTGTTGATCCCATTGCCACCATTTTATTTCTATGCCTGTCAATGATTGGCTAACATGGTGCCTTGGCCTTTCAGGGCTGAACCACTAATGGATACTTGTCGAAAGAAGAGAGTTGTACCAATGTGTCAAATTTTGTTTGCTATTTCTTTGTATTTCATGCTACAAGATCATAAGGATGTTGCAGAAAATCTCTGGTTAACACTGGGATTAGATTTAGGGGAAATTATGATATACATTAATGTTCAAATCTCCATCTCTCTTAGACTTGAAAACTTCAGACTGAGGAGATTGGTTCCGTAAAGTCCCATAATACTATGCCAAAGTTAAATTTCAGGTGTGGAGAATCGGAATATAATTGTTGGAATAATCTTGGTTGACACTAGTGATTCAAACCATATCAACTGAAAAACAAGTAACCTGGATGGTTTGATCTTGAACCGATATCAAAACAATTGAAAAAGAAAAGCTATCATTCAATAATGAATAACTACAATGTTATATTTAAGAACAGCCGAGGCAGCAAGGAAGGAAAGGGTCTTCGCGATTGCAACCCCCCTTGCCAATCGGAAAACACCTGTTCCACCGATGATCGGCATCTCTGGTGGAGACTCCATAAATGGATTCCTGCCCAACAAGGTAAGAGACTGCCATTGTATTTTCCACCAGTAATAACAAAATTTATAGCCAAGACCAGACCAATTTTCATCCCGATCGGCTGAAAGTTAGAAACTTTGGGCTTGACCCACTTCCTGGTATGTGGGTTTGGGCCCCAAAGTCAATGAGTTATCTACCATGTAAATGAGGCTGAAGACGGTGGGTGATTTCTCAGTGATTGATGCCCGGGCAATGGGAAATGCGGTCTGGGTTTCGCCAGGTATAACAATGTCATAAAAGTAGAATGGAGGCTGCTTAACTTCTGTTTTGCCTAAGGTAGGTTGTTGAACCATTGCTTTGTTTCTTCGGGACTTTGCATAGAGCAGTGACCCATTGGCATGGCTATAACCGCAGACAAAATCAAAAGCTGCAGCGCCAGAGCTAAAGTTGCTAAACTCTATATCAATACAAACATAGGCTATGTTCAAGTCATTAATTTCAAAACTTTCCATCCAAATTTGCATTTGAAATTGAATTCTTATGTATCTCTGCTTTTCTTTCTCTTTATCTTTCATCTTTCTAATTGGATGGAAGAGGCACTGCTTAACTAAGTCAAGCGCGGGGTTTGTTCATGTATAGAAGTGGAAGTAGATTAGATTGACAACTCATCATTTCCCTGAAAACATAGCTAGCTAAAAAACATGTGCATGTAAATCCTGAAGGATAATACATGAGATAATTTCTCTTATTGCATTGAGTTGTTACAGCTGTGGCCATTCACCAATGAACGCGATGATCATTCAGGTTGGAACGTTATTGCCTTAATGGGCTATAAGGAAAATTTATGTGTTACCATCTCTGCTATTTTCAGTTCGTTGGCAACAAATTTTCCATCATACCATTTCAGACTTCATATATAGTTCACACACATTAGCACTAGCATTATTCCCCTCTCTTCACATAATCACAACAATCATCGAACATGATTTCAGATAATTTCTCAGTATTAGTAATGATGTATAGTCACACTGTACTCGAGAATAGCATCCCCAGTAGTAGAATTGAAAAAACTGGTCTTAATTTTGGCAAACCCTCTAGCCATCCTAAACTTAACTCTTCCCCCCACAATTGCCACTTCACGATCTGCCTCTGTCACCGCATTCCTTGAGAACAAACTGAAGGAGCTTCCATTAAACTTGCCAATCGTAAAAGCAAAATCGACATACATGACAAAAGTAAATTTGCTAGCATCTTGACTGGATGATAGATAGAGGCCTTGGGCGCGTTTCCAATTATCTTCGATGTTGTTCAGGCCCTACTCTGAGGGGATCATTGATTGCAAACAAGCTGCCAAATGGCGGGGAACTGTCTTTCTTGGTGATGTTAGCATGGGCTACCATAACTGCACTAGGGTTTCCGCCACTCAGGATATCGTGGAGGAAGAAGAGGAGATGGGTCACCTTCTCCACCATTGCACTAGGCGTAACAGTCTTGTAGTAGCATTCGCTATAGACTGGTGCACTGGCGAGGCAGAATATCAATTCCCATGCAAACATCATCTTTTCTTCACAATATTTACCTTAAAAATACTATCAGGTTTTGGGCTCCTTGCTGTACCACCAGGGCTTAAGTAGAATTTTTAACCTAATACTGTTTCTATTTCTGGCAAAACTGACTTGGGAATTCCTGAAATTCTTAGTTATGAATTGTGATTTTGTTATAAAGTGATCAATATTATTAATTGTCAGTTTTTAAAATAGGGTTATTACAGAAAAGCAATATCTTTTCTTTTGATTATGTAACTAAGCATATGCCAAATTGAAATAAACTTTTACTTCTCTCTCCTTTTCTCCTGAATGATCAGAAGGAAAAAGAAAGCCTCAGCTACATTTGGTATTGGTCGCACATATGAATCTGGGATAAAATCGTTGCAAAGTTCATCGAAAATGATTAAATAAGAATTATATTTGAAATTGAAACCTCTAAACTAATTAATATATAGATCCCATTTACATACCTTATTGGGAGAAAATCAATTAAAATGGAACACTTCAAGCATATAAAAGAGAATTAACTCTCAAATGTCAACTTAGTAATGAATCACTGTCACATTATACTCGACAATGAGAGTGATGTTATCTAGAGAGAAAGTCTTAAGCAGAGCAAACCCTTTAGCCATCCTGAACTTTCCTCTCCCTCCGACCACTGCAAGCTCACGTTCCTTCTCTGTCGCTGGATTCCTGGAAAACAAGCCGATAGAGCTGCCATTTAAATCGCCCTTAGTAAACCCAAAATCCAAGTACACCACCACGGTTGTTCTATCTTGGCCGGAAAATACCTCGAGTCCTTGAGCATACCCAATGATCTCTGACGTTGGCTCAGGACCAATGGTGAGTGAGGCGTTGTCGACAACTATGCTGTTGGATGGTGCTGGGAAAGAGTTGTCGTTGCTTGTGATGTTAGCACGGGCTACCGTGACAGCTGTTGGGTTTTTGCCGCCGAGAGTGCCATGGAAAAAGAAGTGGAGATTGGTAACTTTCTTCTCCTTGGTAGCACATGGCACGGTCTTTAAGTAGTATTGGCTATACACTGGGCCAGTGGGGATGCATAGGAGCAGAATCCAACACAATATCAAAGTTCTGTCCATTGTTTCTGCTTTGCTATTTGGTATATGAAATAGCTATTTCATTCTATTAATTTATATTCCACTTCCAGCAAATAACTATTCTACGTACTCCAAATATTTTATACCTTAGAAAGATGATAAACAATCAAGATCTCATCTTTCATATGGTTATCTAATTCAATCATTGTCTCATTGAAGTTTATAATAATTTAAATTCAAAGATTATATCTCTTTGATCTGCCTTTGATGGCGGTGATAATAATGTTTTAGCAGTGATGGAGCTTAACAAGAAAGAAAATTGAATTAGTAGTTGGCATTCGTTGTTTATGATTGTTAAATGATACTATCTTATATTTATCAAGTTTTTAAGTTACTCGTTGACATTCATAGTAATTTTATATTCAAATTCAGTATTTTTATCTATTATTAATTGATTTCAGATTAAATATTAATTAATACGAAATCACAATTCGTGTTTTATGTTATTTTTGTCTCATACTCTTTTGACTTTTTCTCTACATGTATTAAGATTTATTAGGTCTTTATGATCTTATATTCAAATTGAATATTTTATTTATTATTAATTAATTTTAAAGTGGATACTTAACAAAGATTATAATAAAAAGCAATATCAGTTTGGATTTTGGTTTTAGGTTAGATAAGTATGCTTATCTGTTGTTGATCAGCTGGTTGGTGCACCAAATCCTTGTGTCTTATTTAGTTAAGTTGATCAAAGTCCATGTGAATGGTGCTTTGTGTCCATTGACTCCATTTCTAATTTTATTTTTAAGAAAAAACAAATTTACCTGTAAAAAATATGATTAACTAATCATGATCTGATTCATGTCATGGTTTATAAATTATTTCATCTTTATCTTCTGTTAACTAAGTTAATTTGATGTGAAAGTCTTATTTTTTTTTCCTACAAGACATGAAAATTATTTGTCTTAATAATTAGCATCGAAGAGAATTTTATTGCAAACAAGTACAAAAAAAAAATGAAATAAATCAGCTTAAGACAACCATAATAAGCATACAAAACAGAACTCACAAAGTCTAATATCAGCATGAATTACAGTAACACCACATTCCAAAATGACATATCGTCGATAGTAAAATCAACGAAGTGAGTCTTAAGCTATGCAAACCTTTTGGTCATCCTGAATTTTCCTCTGCCTTCGACCATGGCAAGCTCACACTCCATCCGTGTAATAGGATTCCTTGAGAACATGCTGATAGAGTTACCATTGAATTAACCTTGAGTAAACCCAAAATCCTGATAAACCACCAAAGTCAACACATCTTGGTCGTTGGAAGCCCACAGGACTGAGCATTCCAATGGCCCCTGATGTTAGGTTAGGGGCAACGATGACGGGATCATCAATGGTATAAATGCTGCCGAATGGTATCTGTCTGTCATTGAAGGCAGTGGAGAAATTACGACTGGCGATCAACATAGCATTAGGGTTTTTGCCGCTGACAGTACCATGAAAATAGAAATGAAGTTTGGTAACTTTTTCCCTTCGAGGAACATATGGCTTGCTACGAGAGTAGTAACCTTGGCAAGCTGCCATGACAGTGCAAAGAACCAGAACCCATGTCAATATCAATCTTCTTTCCATTGCTTTCCTTTCCTACTAATTTTATGCTATGAAAATGATGTGGATTGAACTGTTAATGCCTGCTAAATGAACCCTCACCTCCTCTAGTTTACATAGATCATCTGGTCAAATAATATAGAACTTTTTTCTGTACTTTTCCTTTGACAAGAAAAGAAAAGCCACACAGAAAATTAATTAGATCATAGGTGGTGTCGCACCTTAGCCACATGAATCGCGCTACATTATGTTGAATGGTGGTAAATTCATCCATTCAACTTCATAAGTTTTCTTAATATTGTATATCTATATTTACAAGGTACTTAGTATTTGATATATTATAAGAGTAATTTTTTAATTTTATATTAAAATTTTGACACATGATTTATTTTTTAATTAATTTATATTTTTAAATACATCTTAAATATTATATTTGATTTTACTAAACATACAATAATAGATGAAATAATTTTTTTTTTTAAGTTTTGGACTTTGAATCCAGTTTTCTAAAAGTATGATCAATTCATACTGTTTTTAGGTTACACAAGTCAATAAAAATTATTCTTAATATGTTTAATATATATGATATAATAAAATGGTATATTTATTCTTGATTTTTTGTATCATTGCAGAATGACTGATGAGGAATGAAAAAATATTAATATACAAAATTTTTAAGTTACAATGATTCCATCTCAAATCTCAATCTTTAACAATTTTTAATTATAAAAAATATATCCCACCTAATTGACAAATCATTTGTAAATAAGAACATTAAAAAGGACAATTAATTGGAAACACATGCCCATTACTTTCAACTTGTAAATAAAAAATTATAAAAATATAATTTATGAAGCTAAAATGTATAGAAATTGCCACATAAAAATCCTAAGTTTGTCCCTTCCCATTTTTGGTAACCAAAGAGATAATATTTTTCTCGGGACCTAGCATGAAGAAAATTTGGATGATGTAAAAATGTTGGCAATTTTTATAAATGTAATTAAATTCTCAATCCAAGTTTTCAGTAGAGAATTAATTTTATGATAACTTATATGAAGTTTTTTAAATAAAATTTATGAATTTGTTTTAAAAAATAATATATTAAAAATTTTAATAAAAAATTTAAATTGATAAATTGAATTATTTTTTAAATAAAATTTATGAATTTTTTAAAAAATAATTTATTAAAAATTTTTTAAAAAAAATTTAAATTGATATAATTCAATGTAAAAATCAATAATATGTTAAAAAAATTATTTAAAAAATTATTTATAATTTAAATTTAATCGATACTTATTGAACCATAAAATTTTTGTTAATATTTTTATTAAAAATGTCTATTTAAAAATACATATCAAAATTTATTGAAAATTTATTAAATTTTATACACTTAATCTATATAACGAGATATTTCAATTTATCATTTTTAATAGTAAACTTAACTAACTTCACCTAAAAAATTTCATCTAAATATTTCCCTTGTTGCTAATATATAGAATTTGATTTTATGGATTACCCATATCTTCTTTTGTAATAATAAGGACAACTTTATTAGAAAAAAAAGTGCTACAAGTAATAAACAAGAGATCAAATCAGCTCATTACAAGGGAATAATCTCCACCATGAGCTGGCTAAACCCAAATACTTGAAAATCATGATAGATGAATCAGCTCAGTCCGTAAATATGGCAACTCCTGGCAAGTGGTAATGCAAACCCAACAAAAGCAATCAGGGACATAACCTTATTGGTGGAAAAAACAATCACTAGTCAGACATGGAAGAGAACTGGCAGGATGTCATCCTAGTGATGAATCAAAGTCACGTTATACTCAACAATGGCATCACCACTGGTGAAATTTAAAGAGTAAGTTTTAAGATGTGCAAACCCTGTCGCCAGCCTGAACTTTCCTCTTCCCCCGACCACCGCAACCTCACGCTCAGTCTTTGTAATTGGATTCCTTGACAATACGCTGAAAGAGCTACCATTGAATTCACCCCGAGCAAAACCAAAATCCAAATACATTACCAGAGTTGAAACATCTTGGCCAGTAGACACCCAGATGCCTTGAGCATTTCCAACGACCTCTGATGTTAGGTCAGGGCCAACGGTGAGTGGATCATCTACGGCGAACACGCTGCCGAAGGGTATCAGCGTGTCACTGAAAGCGGTTGTCATGTTTGGACGGGCTACCTTCACTGCAGAAGGGTTTTTTCCGCTCAGAGTGTCATGAAAAAAGAAGTGCAGGTGGGTTACTTTTGCTGGCGTCGGAACATATGGCACGGTATTGGAGTAATAACCTTGGCAAAACGGTGGTGCCATGGCCGTGCAGAGGACCAGAATCCAGGCCAATATCAAACTTCTGTCCATTGTTTTTTTCTTGAGAAATAATGGGATTGAGCTAATGTGGTTATTGTATGGTTAAATACTAAACATTTTATGCCCCTTTATACTAGCATAAAGGGGCAGAAGATCATAGCTGTAGGTATTTTCAATATTCAACTAAAGTCAACTATGATTATTGAAAACAAATTGTGCTAATTGTTAATAAAGATACGGTTGGTAACTGATATTGTTAAGAAAATTGCACAAAGAATGTAGAGACGGCACTCCTAATTCTTAATTCTCATTGAATTATTTCATCACCAATTCAAACAATTATAATCTTTACTAATGTTCACAATATTGTATATTTACAAGTGAGATAGTATTCGATATAATATAAGTGCAATTTTTTTTTCATTTTATATTAAAATATTGACACATGATATTTTAACTATTTTTTTTTATTTTTTTCAAATACATTTTAATTGTTATGTGTTATTATACTAAATCCGCGATAACAGGTGACATAATTTTTCTTTATAAATTTAAATGATGAAGAATTTCAAAATATTATAAGTTTGGACTTTGAATCCAATATTCTAAAAATATGATCAATTCAGATTGTTTTTTGGTTACAACAATCAATTCAGATTTCAGACTATAACACAAGGGTCTGCTATCTCTTGATTTTTTTTTTTTTAAATTGAAAAAAAATGGTGCTTAATTTAGATGGAACAAATTCGTTCACATTAACAGCTGACATTCAAGATGCTTTTTGTTTTTTGGACAAACTCATGATTGTGATTTGAGTGATGCTAGTTCTTGGGTTGATTTTCCATTTTATTGTTGAAGCAAAATTAATTTGAGTTAATCTGAAATGGGAAAGTAAATGGAAAATTATATGTGTACATATTTCTCATAAGAATAAATTTTAATAGCAAAAAAAGATAAAATTATATATATATATATATATTTTAGTTTCTTTTATTTTCAAGAAACAGTTACAATCATCTATATCTTATGGTAAAAACTATCCCCATTATGTATTAAAGAGACGGATTGGCAATGTAAAAGAAAAAAAAAATCAAAAGGTAATTTTGGACTTGAAAAACTGAAGAAAACTTCTCAGAAGCTTCTCGAAAAGTAGTATTACTATGAATTAATTGTAGGACTGTTGAAGAAGAAGAAGAGGAGATAATGGAAATGGTGGTGAAACCTGCATGGCTAGAGGGGTTAATGGCAGAGACATTCTTGAGGTTTGTGGGGTCCACAGGAATTGCAGGAAGAACGAGAAGAACTTCTTCTGCTTGCTGTGTTGCCTCAGCATTTGCCCTCGCTGCCTCCCTTCTCATCGTTTTCACCCTCTCCTTTAGGTTTTACTGCCGCCACTCGATCCATTTGATCTTTTAATTTGTACTACTACTATTCACTACACTCATTTTTACCATGTATTCTATCCCACATAATTCTCCAAGTTTCATTCTTTACTTATGCAAAAGCCACTTTCTTTTTGCTTCTCACCCTCAATTTCTTTCCTTTTCTTTCCAGAGTACCTTGAAAATTCTCTGAATTATATCTACTTCCTTCATTTTCTACTCATAGATGCATTTCTCAGCTTCTGGTTTTAGTGCTTTTGATGCTCACCAGCCTCATGTTCCAACAATTCTCTAATTGCAATTTGCACCATATATGCATCTTTTCTTTCTCCCATTCTTTAATTCTTTCTCATCGAAGCTCTGCTAAAATTCATTAATTACTTCGAATTTTGATTGATCTTGCCCTAGAAACAGACGTTTTTATTGTTTTTATGAATCTTGAATTACTTATTTTTTATTTCTTTTAATTAATCAAATTTTATTTGTTAATCATATTATCTTGAATTTTTTATTTGAAAAGAGGTTAGCTAAATTATTGGTGGAACTCTTATTGAGTTATCTTTGTTTATAGAAATTCAGTTATAAATATGTAAAATTTTTAAATTTGTCGCTATGGTTTTTTGAAAATTTTAATTTTAATTGATATATTCTATATATGTTCATGTTAGATTTGTTTAAGCATTTAATCTACTTTGATAATTTTGAATTTTCTTGGTTTTATTTTTTATTTAGAAGGAGTATTTTGGTATTATTGCAGAGTTTTTTTCTTTCTTTTTTTTTAATTTGTTAAAATATAATGGATGATATACAAAATAAATTTGGCTAACTTTGTCCAGAATGTACTTTCTTCGTTTAGCATATTGGATTGATAAACCAAAAGTTGTTGAAGTGCACCCAGATCACTAGAATTGCAACATCAAGAAAACACATGATTACAAAGCCATGGATAATAAAATGTGGTAAAAGCAATCCCTTCAAAATAATAATAATAAAAAAAGGATTATATTCTCAAGTGGATCAGACTTTGTATGGTTTGAACCATATAAATATATATATGTATATGTATGTATATATATATATATATATATATCTGTCAATCCTCTTCTTCAGGATGTTAGCTTGAGTTATATCATTGACCTGTGAACTAAAATTTGGGTTGAAGTTGTTAAAAGTGCATCTCTTCTGATGTATATCATGTGTGATTCAGACTTAAAACTCTCTTGCTTTGGCCAATGGTTATTGTGCCAGAATACAAGAGATCCCAGTAGCCCCGTGCCCTAAGTGACATGTTTTTCATTTCATTTTCCAAGTTTTTAGAGCATATGTGGACTCATGTACCTGTCAATACATAATTATATATAAGCCTTTCATATGTTTTGCTGTTCTAAGATGTCAATTGAAGTTGTACTACTCATTACAGTAATGAAATATTTATATCTGTTCTTCTTGTAGGGTCAGCATATCTCATTCACCCACCAAATTCAGCAGTTTGCTAATACTTACCAATAGTTTGTTTTAAGCATGGGTGAGGATGTAACAATTGATTTTATCTCGAGTTCAGTGTTTTACATTTCTATTGGGACAAATGACATTATACATTATTTTTTGCGTAATGTATCTAATGTGCAAAATCTACACTTACCTTGGGGTTTCAACCAGTTCTTAACGTCTACAATGAGGCAAGAAATTAAGGTGACCATAAATCTCTTTGTTTTGGTTTACTTCTCCATATGCTACCATTATATCTAAATGATGAGTTTCATCTACTATCTTGCCAAACTATTAAGCTTTTTTCTTCAAATTGATTGACTTTTTGCATGAGTTTGTTGGTGTAGGATTATTGAAAATTTTGCCATGTGCTTTAGCTCTCCATCCATAGTTATCAAAATCGGACCCAACATTAAACCGTTCAAAGTTTCAGATTATAAGGTTAATGGTTCAATCACCGAATTAATAGGTCAATTGTTGGTTTAATAAAAAATATTATAAAAAATATAAATTTTTTAAAATTTTAAAATTCAAAATTTTAACTAAAGTTATTATTTAATAATTCAATCGTAAAACTATAAATTTTAAGGTATATCATAAGCTACAAAATTTAAAATATAAAATTCATAAAACAATTAATTACTAGTTAGAAATGAAATTACTTAACATTTTATTAAAATCATATTTTATATTTAATAGTTAGAAATAATATTTATATTTTAATAAATATAAATAATAATTATTTATTATTTATTATATTTATTAAACTATAAATATTATTTATTAATATATAATAATTAATCTTTATGTAATAAAAAAGAAATATCTACAAATAAAATTAATAAAAAGGAAATATTTATATTTATATGAAAATTAGTAAAAATGAAATTAAAATCATTTTTATATTTTTTATATGAATGTAGATTTTTTTTAATTAATTTTACATATATACATTTTTTTATTAATTATTTTCGATCATGGTTAAATAAGTAATCACTTTTATTAACATTTCATTTTTCATTAATTTTATATATTATTATTATTATTATTATTATTAATTATAGTATCATTTAATAAAAATTTTTGTTAGATCCTTTTTTTTTTAAATTGCTTATTTTTATACATGTATAAGTTTTTTTACAATATCATTATCAACATATTTCAAAATATACCTACGTATCATTAATATAAAGATATAAGAGCTTTGATAATAGAAAAGAAGAATTTGGGGGCTTATTTAGATGAAAAAATAATATAAGAATTTAATTAGATTATTTTAAATACTTGAAAGTTTTTTTTTTCACATTTTTTTTTAGTTACATCAAGAAAATAAAATTTTAGTATAAGTAAAGAAAAAGGTCTGATTCATTGATGTTCCTTCAAACGCCTTTAATCATTAGGCCAAACAACCATTCAGTTAAAAAAAAAAACAACTTGGTTTACTAATTTATTATATTAATCGTTGGTTCATAACGATTTAAAATGATTTAATTATATAATTGATCTAATTACAAAATCGGATCAGCTTCAACATCAATTTACCGGTTTATCAGATCAAACTAATGATTCGATACAATTCTGATAACTATGCCTCCACCGGTTAAAAAGGAAACATAGCAACATTACAAGTTCATACATAACAAACTTATATGCTAATAATTAATTGATTTTTGTGGGCGGTGCTCAGCTGGGGGGAAGGAATCAACTTTCTCCTCTCTAGGAATTATGTTTTTTTTTCTTTTTTGTTTTTTTGTTTCCGTTATCTTTTTAGTAAAATTTCAAAAAAAGAGTGTAAAAATGGAAGTTTTTTTAAGCTAAAACTGATGCCAAACCCACTGGAAAACTGTTAGCAAGAAGCAAACCACGCATCATTTTCTTTCAATGAAGCACACTTGAACAACGGGAATTTTCTTGGTTTGGACCTTAGCAGAACAATCTGTACTCAAAGACGGGTTAAAAAAGTGAGTCTTTTTTTTTTTTTTTTTTGAAATTTTGATATGTATTTTTGTTCTTTGATTTTGAATTCAACTTTTTATAGTTTATTTTTCGTGAATTTACTGAATGATACAAATTCGACTTTTGATTTTTTTTTTTTTTTTTGTGAATTTAAAGATTAATACTCAAGGAAATGGAACAAGCTTGGTTTTCAGTGATCTTGAGGGAACAGTAGATCCTTAAGGTGATAATTCGAAAAAGAATGAGAAAAGTTAGTAAATGCAGTATTTTATTTGCCAATATATGGTTGTCTATTTATGATCCTGATCAATGCGGAAGAAAACAACACGAATGCTGAACATCAAGAAAAACATCTCGCAAAAGATGATCATGCAAGGTTAGTAAATTCTCATTCTAACAAGCTGAAGTTAAACTCGACTTTGTTTGGCCTTTTGTTTGAGTTGAATATCCATCTATTCATGGAGTGATCGGTTTAAAACTTATTTTGGCCCTTCCATGTTTATAGAACAAGGAAAAACTGAACTTCATCCTCCAGTTGAGTCTACAAAAGTTGATGCAAAAACCAAGTGAAGCAGTTGAAGGCAATGAAATCCAACCAGTCTCTTCATCCAAGAACTTGGAAGATCATGAGATGCTAAAGGAATCAAATTTTGAGAAGAATCTATGTAGAAGAACTCATCATTTGGAGAATTAGAATTACATGATGGAAGGTTATAGTACTCTTCTGTAAGTGAGTACTAAAAGATACTGATACATAAAAAATATCAATTTGTTTTGAAAGTTTTCATTTAGATACACAAGATATCCACCTTAGTTATTCGGTACTTATTTTGTAAAGATGATGAGGGGACTAGAAATTCAATTTCCGGTGCAGCATCTTTTCCTTCACATGATTCTGTACCTCAAGAAGCAGCAATTCTGGAGCTTGAATGAAGAGCATAAATTGGCCAAAATCCATACAAAGGGCCATGTTTTTGGATAGGATCAAGGAGGCTTACCAAAGGATTCCCATTTTGGCTAGCTTGGTTGTGATTGTGAACCCTAGTTTGCTAGAGAGATGGTTCAAAGGCAAAAAGCTTGGAAGAGAGTTGTGGGGTAGGCTATATCTACTAGGATCAGCATACCTATTTTTTAAGTTATTATTATTTCGCCTCAAATCTCAGTCTCTAACAACTTTTAATTATAAAAAAATATATCTCACCCAATTGACTAATTATTTTTAAATTAGAACATTAAAAAGGAAAATTAATTGAAAACACATGCCCATCACTTTTAACCTCTAAATAAAAAATTATAAAAATATAATTTATGAATTATTATACTAAATTTTAAGGTTATAAGGACTCCGTCTCAAATCTCAAACCCTAATTACTTTTAATTATAAAATATATATCTCACGTAATTGATAAGTTATTTGTACATTAGAAAATTAAAAAGGCCAATTAATTGAAAACACATGCCCCTTACTTTCAACTTGTAAATAAAATATTATAAAAATATAATTTATGAAGCTAAAATGTAAAGAAATTGCCATATAATGATCCAAAGTTTGTCCCTTCCCATTTTTGTTAATCAAAAAACACTTAGTCGAAGTTTTATAGGTAAAATTCGTGAAATTTTTTATTAAAAATAAGTAAATAAAAATTAAAATTGATAGATTGAAAATTTTCGTCACATAAATTAAGTGTATAAATTTTTTTAAAAAAATTTAATAAATTTTGATATATTTATTAAATAGATATTTTTAATAAAAATATTGACAAAATTTTTATAGTTGTATTAGTATTGTTCAAATTTAAATTATAAATAATATTTTTTATAATTTTTTTCACATATTATTGATATTTTTATTAAATTCTATCAATCTATCGATGTTTGAATTTTTTATTAAAATTCTTATTTACTCATTTCTAATAAAAAATTTCACGAACTTTACTTATACAACTTTATGTAAATTTTGTATAACCAAAAAATAGACATGATAATTTGAAATACGATACAATGATACAATACAATAACGACACAAATAAAGGTCATAGAAATAATAAGGTTTAAAATTTTTTAAAAATCATAAATAGGTTTAATAAAATCAGAAAATTATATTTTGTATTTTTATATTGATATAAACAATGATACATAATTTTTATATAATACATGACACGAATATAATATTTTAAATAATACAGTAACATAAATTGTCAGGTCTACAACACAGGTACATAACATCAAGAAAATTGGGAAGATGTAAAAGTGTTGGCATTTTTTATTAATGTAATTAAAATCTCAGTCCAGGTCTCCCGGAGAGAATTGATTTTATGGTTTGTTCCTAATATATAGATTGATTTTATGGATTACCCTTTTCTTCTTTTTTTTTTTTTTAACAACAAAGATAACGTTATTAGAAAAAAGGTGCTACAAGTAATAAACAAGAGATCAAATCAGCTCATTTCAGGGGAATAATCTCTGCCATGGGCTAGCTAAACCCCCCAAATACTTGAAAACATGATAGATGAATCAGGTCTGTCCCTAAATCTGGCAACCCCTCGCAAGTGGGTAATGCAAACCCAACAAAAGCAATCACTAGTAAGACATGGAAGAGAACTGGCAGGATGTCATCCTAGTGATGAATCAAAGTCACGTTATACTCAACAATAGCATCACTGCTGGTGGAATTTAAAAAGTAAGTTCTAAGATGTGCAAACCCTGTCGCCATCCTGAACTTTCCTCTTCCCCCGACCACCGCAACCTCACGCTCAGTCTTTGTAATTGGATTCCTTGAGAATACGCTGAAAGAGCTACCATTGAATTCACCCCGAGTAAAACCAAAATCCAAGTACACTACCAGAGTTAAAACGTCTTGGCCAGTAGACACCCAGATGCCTTGAGCATTTCCAACGACCTCTGATGTTAGGTCAGGGCCAACAGTGAGTGGATCATCTACGGCAAACACGCTGCCGAAGGGTGTCGGCGTGCCACTGAAGGCGGTTGTTATGTTTGGACGGGCTACCTTCACTGCAGAAGGGTTTTTTCCGCTCAGAGTGTCATGTAGAAAGAAGTGTAGATGGGTTACTTTTGCTGGCGTCGGAACATAAGGCACGGTATTGGAGTAATAACCTTGGCAAAAAGCTGGTGCCATTGCCGCGCAGAGGACCAGAAACCAGGCCAATATCAAACTTCTGTCCATTGTTTTTTTCCTCAGAAATAACGGGATCGCGCTAATGTGGTTATTGTATAGTTAAATACTAAACATTTTACAGCCTGCCCCTTTATACTAGCATAACGGGGCAGAGGATCATAGCTGTATGTATTTTTCAATTTTAAACTAAAATCAACAGTGATTATTGAAAACGAATTGTGCTAATTGTTATATAAAGATACGGTTTGTAACTGAAAATGCTGAGACAAGGAATATAGAGACAGCACAGCTAATTCCTAATTGTCAACTGTTTTGGAAATGAAAAATACCAAGGAAAAAGTGGACTTTGGGAGTTTGGTTGACTCTTTCTTTAGCTCCTGATTCTTTCTCTCTAATTGGTTTAGCATTAGCTTAACCTCCAAGAATTCCCATCTTAACAACTTTCCTTGGAACATTCCTTGTGCTTGTGGTTGTTGGATTGTTTGCAAAAGTAGAAATGATAGATCTAGTCCGAAGGCATTCTCGACTTCCTTAATGTGGATTTTACTCGGGCAACTGAATGTTTTGACGCCTACTATATTAGAAAGATCACTCCTCAATATTTCTTGGCAATTAGGAATGAAATAATTTCAGAATTCAGATCAAAATAGCACTTCATTTAGTGATGAATCACAGTCGCATTATACAATGGCATCCCCATTGGTTACATTGAGTAAGTTTTAAGTTGTGCAACCCCTTTAGCCATCATGAATTTTCCCCTTCCTCCAACCACAGCAAGCTCACATTCAGTCTCTGAAATCAGATTCCTCGAAAACACGCTGATGGAGCTTCCATTGAACTCACCCTTAGTGAAGCCAAAATCAAAGAAAGCCACCAGGGTCGTATATCTTTACCGGATGACATCCAGAGCACTTGAGCATTCCCAATAGCCAGGTAGGTTCAGGACCTACAGTGAGGGGATCATCGATGGCAAAGACGCTGCTGAATGGCGCTGTTGACTTGTCCTGGCTGGTGATGTTGGCACGGGCTACCAAAACAGCAGAAGGATTTTTCGCACTGAAAGTGTCGTGGAAAAAGGAATGTTGGATTGGTTACTTTCTCCGCCTTGGGAGCATATGGCGCGGTCTAGAAGTAGTATTGGTACACACGGGAGAGGTAGCCATGGTGAGGACCAAAATCCAAGTGATGATCGATCCTCTTTCCATATTCTAGGCTTTTCTTTTTATTTACTCCAGCGCCTTGATTTATGGATTATTACTTGAAACTTGTTTTTAGAAGATCTATTCCGTAACTTTTCAAGTTTTAGTTAGAAAATGGATCTGATTCAATTTTATAGTGGTTGGATTATATGTTGGATTTCCTTATAAGACGAATTTCAATATCTAAATTTTATAGTAAGAAATTTTGCTAAATTTAACAATGCTTCCTTGTCCTTTTTGCTGATCCCATTTGCGACTTCAGCTTCAAGGTAAAAATGTTGGTCATATTCCTTCAATTTTTCTTGCATGGCCATTCGGATCAAGCAAATCACTTTATGTATGTAATACTAACAAAAATACTAACTAAATCTGAAAATTTATTTGCAATGACATCTCTTAAAGGTTGCACTGGAGATATCACAAGCTCTTTTAGGTAACCACCATGTGGAATGTACTTTGATGCTTCAGTGGTTGCATTATCATTATAATCTTTGCCTGCAATGGCATCAAGAACATATACAGCATCTGCCACCGTTCTGCACATACGTCCTGACTTCATTTCTTTAGAGGATGACTCCATTGTTATTTTTGGTGTATAAGTACAGAAGCTATATAAAAAGGTTTAATACCAGAACCCCTCCCCCCCCCCCCCCCCCCCCAACTCTATAATATAGAAAAAGGAGGGAAAATTATCAGATAAATCTCAACTTAAAGAACTAAATGGTGATAGAAAATCCTGTGTTTCTTGCTAAGGAGGAATGTGATAAAACATGTCCTGACTTAAAAAGTACTTTTTCATTTTTAATAATTGTTGGACTTAAAAATCCTCATACCCGCATGGCGAGGACCTGATTGATGTCTAAATTTTAGACCAGAAAGAAAAAAATTCAGGTATAATGGCGGAAAATATCTTTGGCGTAGGGTGGGAATGTAATGAAAGACGCAGGTGACAACAAACAGGCATGAAAACACCTTCATTTTGGATTCAGGCCAACTCATATTAAATTTAACTAAAACTGCAAAAATCCAACTGGCTTCTTGTAGCCTTGGAATGGCAGGCCCATTTGCCCTCAATCATGCTTCCCTGTTCTCTAGTATTCACTTCCTTACGACATGCTAATCTAGATGTCCTTAAAAACACAGCACGTGCAGTAAAAGTTACCACTTAGCAGTACAACAGCAATCTACAACCACAATTGAAAACAACTCGGGCTAATTTTAAGACATCTTAGAAGGGTATCAAGTTCTGTCATGACTACTCAAAAAGGGAAAAACAAAATTGTCATGCCAGAAAAACTGACCTCAGACAACCCTTTTTATAGTTACTGGTTGGAGAAAAACTAAACTGGTAACAAGCATACAGAAGTGGTTTCTTCAACTCATGTGCATGAAGTCACTGTACTCTTCTTATCACCTTTGCACTAGAATGCCTAAATAACATGGCTTATCCTTTAGTTGACCATGTTTTGGGTTAAAACATATTATGTTAGAACTTAGAAACAAAAGTGTGTTCAAAAACTTGCCAACATATTAAGGTTCCAATAGGCTAAAATTCAAACTTGGACTTCTAAATGTTGGAGAGCATTAAGAAATCTTTTATGCATACCTGAATGCAGTCCAGTAAACAGAACATCCCATTTTGGATTACAAAATTCAATATCAACGTTATTCAAACAGAACATTGAATTATTTCATCACCAATTCAAACAATTATCATCTTTACTAATGTTCACAATATAAATCAAAATTTAAAAATAAAAAATAATAACTCTAATAACATTGGTAACTATGAAGAAACACTCTTACAAACAAGACATGTTTAACCAAGCCAATGCAACTAATTCAAAGCCTACCAAAATTGTTTAAATACTGCATTGACAGTAATAACAGTCTCAACAAAAGAACAAACAACTCTCATCAACTCAACATATCAGACATCCAAAAAGTTCAAAAGAAGTTTTTCTTCTCCCTTTCTGTGGACCTAAGCTTCGCATTTGTCAGTCTCTATCACCAATTCTCAGCAACATTGCCATTCTCTGTTTTCTCAACACTTGATTCCAGAAGAAAAAAGGATCAGAGTTAGCATGTCATGTTGCTGAGACACACATTTAATTAACAGACAAAGTTTTCCACAATAGTGAACTCAAACTCATGCAGAATTCAAAAGAAGGATCTAACACGCATTTTCCTTGGAAAAGATTAAATGAGTTTGCATGTTTTTCCGGGAGTTGAAACCAACCATCACTTTGTTAATTACTATGATTTATAATCAAAGAAAAGTATAATTCACAAGAAGTTCTTTAACTCTTTCTTATACAAGGGGCTTTCACTTGAAAGAAATCACTTCATTATCCATGCTTTAGATTTATCATAAATGCTAATAATCTTATAGAACAAAAAAAAAAAAAAAGGAACATGAGAGATGAAAAAGATGCACGGTTATTTGTCCTTTTAGCTAGTTAAAGTTAATCTCATTTCCCATAATCCCTTGCCTAAAAGTACTGCTACATACATAGGAAAAAACTGTTCTAACACAATTGTGGCAGGCAAAAAATTCAATTATGCTACTTTTATTCTGTTTCTTAAGATCAAAATGCGTTTCAAATAATAAGACCATGAAAGCAACCAACATAGCAGGTAAAACGCATTAAGCTTTATGAGAGAGAACACAACACGCTTCTAAACAATCTACCAAAATATATATATGGCAATATTCTCAAATTAACCAGGCAATCAAATTTCAGTTAATTGAACAAACCGTTGGGGTTGATCAGAATCAGCAGCAGCCTCAACAGACTCACTCTTCCTCCAGCTCCTTTCCACCGGGGCACGCCCATTCCTGAAACTTGCATTTCCTCCTCTCTCTTTCTCTGTAACCATAACTGTCTCTTTAATCTTCACAGCTTCCAGCTTCTGATCAATCTCCTTCCAATCTTTCCCCTTTTCTTTCAACACCTCCTCTCTCGGCCTTGCCTCGCCAAATGGATTTGCCCCTTTGGGCTTGGCCAAAGTCACCTCCTTTTTACCCTCCTCGATCATAGGAACCGTACGTGGCTGAAGCAAAAGCTTTGGCCTCACCCCACCACTACCAGTCTCCTCCTTTTTCTTTCCCCAGTTATCCAAATCCCTCGGCGAATCCCTCGATTGAAGTGAATCGAAACTGCTTCTTCTGTCAAAACTCCCACCAGATCTCCGTGGCGGTGCCTCACTGGGGCTTTTATTTCTCTTATTAGCTGCCCAGTTATCCACTTCATCGGCTTTCGATTGTGAATCAAAAAATCCTCCTCCTCCTCTCTCTCTTCTCTCAAACCCACCCCCAAATCCGTTGCCGGCGGGAGCCGATTTCTTTATCGACGCCCAATTATCGATCTCGTCAGCGCGTGAAGGAGCAATTTCTCCAGTGGAATCTCTATTCGAAACCCTAGAAGATCCCCATCTACTATTATGTGATGAATCGTCGCCGTTGGAATCGTATCTGTTCGAACCGTAGGATTTAAAACCGCCGCCGAGACGGTTACGATCTAGTTCCTCAGGGGAACGTTGGCGAGGGCCAGTGGGGAGAACGAGGAGGTCCACGTGAGTGAGGCGGGTTGGCTCACTCGGCTTAGCACTGCCGTAGTTAGTAAATTCAGCGAAAGATAGGGTTTGAACCTTCTTTTTCTTGGCCTTGGTGGCAGCGGCGGCTGCTAAAGAAGGGAAATCCGCGAGCTTTTCCGTTGAAGAATCGTCGCGGCTTTGCTGTTCTAGTTGGAGTTCAGCTTCATGCTCTTCGGAGTCGAGAGCCCACGCGCCGGGTTTGCCCCAAGGAGACGAGACGGTTGCCGCCATGGTTGTTTCTTTCTTTTTTAAAATGCTTTTGGCTTTGTTTCGAAGCTTGCGTTTTTGGCTTTGGTCGTGAAAGTATATGCATTAGATGGCAGCGAAAGGGTAGGGTAAAGGATTTTATATGGGAGATGACGTTATTAGATCGGACGGTGGAGAATTTTATAAGAAGACGGAATGTTGTCGTTTTCTTTTTTTTTTTTTCCTTAATTGTTAAAAATAATTATAATTAAAAATGTCAAGGTTATCATGGCTTACACGTTAAAAACTCTTCTAATCTTTTACGCCTTGAATTAAAACAAATTTTATTCTAATCCTTCTAAAAAGCTGCTGCTTACTCCTGAAGCTGATTCCTGCAGGAATCCAAAGGTTTGGATCGTCATGGACAGATAACCAAAAGCTTCATTGGAATCAAACACGGCAAAGATTTTCGTATCAGGAAAACCACCTTTCTGGTTTTTGTTGATGTCCCCAATTTTTTTGTCCGGAGAACAAACGAACTCTCCTGCTTTCCACATATTCTATCCAGGTCAATGTTGGTCCAAGGGAGATCAGGACCCTGGAAGGAAAACTCATGGCTTATGATACTCCGAACTGCTTAGGGTGATTAAATGTTCATCCTCAGGACTCTTTTATGGAATCGGCACTAACATACCATGTTATAGTTCCTGCAATGTAAAGGCTCTATCATGAAGCTTGATTAACAAGGCTAACATCCCAATAATACATGATTATTTGCTTGAATTATGGAAGTATTTTCAAACAGGTTGCCATTATTTTACACTCGTATAATTCAAGTGAAAACTCCCTGAGTAATTCAAATATCATATAAAGTTTCCACATGTATAGTTATCAGGCGGGTAAAAAGGAGCGAAAATTCAGTTTGCTCATCCAAGGAAACAATACATAGGTGAAATGTTGGGGTGAGGATGGCTCATCCCATTTAAGTCAACAAAAGAACCTCAAAAAGATAAGATGTTCCACAGAATTTTTGTAATAGATCACTGACATACCACAGCAGAGCTTCTGAAATAGACATCTCATCACAGCCGCCCTCCCCTCTCCTCCAAAATCTTCTTTTCTAATGGATGTAGCCCCAGCTCTTGCCTCCATAGTGTACACCAAAAAGGCATATTTTTTAAACAGACAGTCCAATGTGATGCTGAGAAAGGTAGATGGGTTTCCTGTATATTACTTTGCATGGCCTCATATATCATACAGACCAATAGATCAGTCTTTTTTTTTTTTCCATTTTAAGGCAAACGGTGGACAGACTTTGGGACAAAATCAAGTCACCAATAATGACAATATCAATGCAAAATTACTAGTAGTAAAATGATTGTTCACCAGGATATCCACTTTTTCTGGATCTCACTTTAAAGTTTAAACAAGAAAAAGGAGCAGAAAGAGGACAACTCCTGAAATTTATAGTTTTGAGTTTCAACCTCTCCCACTTGTATTTAACTGGCCAAAGAAGAGGGAAGCAAAAAGAGGGCGGAAAAGGATAAGTTCTACACATACCTACTGGAGGAGGTGGTTCCTGTTCTCATGTTGCATGAAGTATGATTGTTCCAGAGAGCACAGTGATGAATCCACATATCTCAGAAGTTATAATGCTCACATTTTGGCCTGACCAGTCCTGTAAAAAAGAACATGATAACAACATTCAGTTTGTGCTAGCAGTTCCTGTTGTTGTGACTAAAATTACAACCACAATTAGGCATCACAACCAAATTCAAGAGGAATGAATTAAATAACTTGCCTTAAACACGATTACGCTAGCAATAATGGTCAAAGTTGTATGCATCACATAATATACTGGAGAAACAATTGCGGCATTTATAGTATCCCAGGCCTACAACGAAGACAAATACACATCAGTCAAAACAAACGCCAAGCAGCCGTTCTATTTGAAAGATACATGCATTCGAAAACATTGTGCCTAACATGAGAAAGAAAAATAGAAGGCTCATAGTCGTAGATATGTTCAGGGCTGATTGCATACAACAATGATAGCTTCCATGTTCAAAATATCAACTGCACCTAAATTTGTAATAAGAAAAGATTAAATGCAGAATTTGTTCAATGGAGGATACTTTCGAAGCAGCTATACTTTTCATGTAAATTTCTAAGCACAAATATTTAAATTTTGTAAGTAGTTCTGGGACCTAGATTAGGAGATTTTCATCTATATTTTCCATTATGAATTCAAATGATTAAGTTGCCGTACCTAATAAGCAATAATTAATGTATCATATGAGAAAAGTATGCCAGCTACGTAGGTAGAGGATATGTTTTTCAGTACATGATGGTCATTCACGCAAATGAAGTTAAATAGGAAGATTAAATTTTATAGGAACAGACAACCACCAAAGCACAGAATCAGTAACATTAACCTTGTTGAGGTAATTTAACTGTGCAATGACACAGATTGCGGCAACTGTAAGAAAAAACCAAGTTCGAAGATAAGCCATCTGACTTATCCCATCCAATGTAAGCTTTATTGCAATTCCAATAGCTTTGATGCTTGTAACCAGTGACAGCACCAAAGAAATGCTTTCACATAGTGCTTACAGCATAGTAACTACCATGATGCTATTGAGATTTGTCAATAAAATTTCATGAGGACATCTACAAACCAAAAGAGAACCCATTAAGGAACATATTCCCAAATAAAACAATATAATTGTCTGCCCATAACGAGGTTCAAAATGCAAAATCAAAGCTAAAACTATTGAAAGAGTAGCTGCCACATAAATTAGAAAAGCTGCCGGTAGAAACATGTGAAAAGGAACAGTAATTAATTACTCACAAAGAAAAACAAATATAAAGAGAAGGGTCAAACCTGGTTGCGTTGCTAGAGTCCAAATTTCCTGTACAGAACTTGGAGTATGCTCATGTGATTCACGAATTACAATCATCACTGAACCTACATTGCAGGACACACATCCTACATCCCCATTTTCGGAATTAGTTCCTTCAACATTAAGTGTGCCAGACAAGCACTGTTCAAATTTACCAAGCATGTCAGTCATTGAAAATAGATAAATAAATAATTTCCAATCAAATCTAAAGAAGTTACCGCAAGCAAAAGAAGTTTACCTGACAATTATACTTAGCGCACCAAGTGGGGTAACTAGAACGGCAGGAGCATAGATATAAGCCCCAAAATTTGCACCCTCTCCAATATGCACTATTTGTACAAAAAATTCGCCAAAATGAAACCCCATAATCAATTTAAGAAGGAACATGATATTTGGAGCAATGGCCAAAACCAGATTAAGAAAAAACTAACGGCTGTGATTTTTCAGAAAGATAAGTGAAAGTGAAACAAAAGAGAGAACTAAAACCCGCACAAAACAGGGAATCTTCAACTCTTTTTTATAGTTCCGTAGTGTTGTCGGAAACTGCCCATTTTTTATACGGACCATGTAAAAAAGTTGTTAACGTACTATAATTGGCATATAGATTAGAACAGTTATCTTATGGATCAATATTAATAAAAAAAAATTTAAAGAAAAAAAAATGATACATATAATTATTGTTTGAATAATTAAAATTAATAAAAAAAATATTTTAACGATAAAGAGTAAAAAATAATAATAATAATTTATTATAATAATTTTTTTCAATTATAATCTTTAATTACTTGTGATTTTAAAGTATTTTTATATCATAATATATTTATTATTTTATCTGATCTCACAATTACTGTTATATTAATAATTTTTTAATCAAGTGAAACAAAAAAATGTTTTACAAATATATATTGATGAATTTTGAGCCATTCTGATATCTTATAAATTTTAAAAAATTATCTATTTATATTCAACCATTCAGCAAAATTAAATCATTAAAAAATTATAAAAAATTTTTATATTAAAAAATATATATGAAACTTAAAAAAAAACTTTAAAAAAAATATATGATGATTGTGATCTATTTAAATTTTTTTTATTAAAATTGTAGTATTAATAAAAAATAAACATAATAATCTTTTTATAAAAAAATTTAACTTTTCTTTCTCTAACTTTTTCTTTAAATTGGGGTATTAAAAATTTTGATTTACAAAAAAAATTAAAGGTTATTTGATTTCTATTTCTTTCTCTTTCTTTAATTTAAATATTTATTCAAATAAAAAAAATGAGATTTTATTTTACTTTACTTTATTTTACTTTACTTTTCTTTTCTTTCTCTTCTCTCAATCTAAACACACCGTTAAAAAATACTGGTCTGAACACTGGACAGCTGAAACTATTGTTTCATTAAGATAAGTGTTTCCATCCATGTGAGAGAAGAAAATTCGATTTGTGATTTTGCCAGTACAATGAACAAAGAGACAAGTAATTGGGCTGTTCAAATCTAAAACCTGCTTGAAGACCTAGAAACAAATTGTCAATCTTGGCATAAGCCCAAAAGAAAAGAACTTCTTTGGTAAGTATTTGGGTCACATCACCATAAACTTAAGCAGAAGAATTAGGCTTGGATAAAGAACAGGTACCCTATCCATTTGCAACTAAAAAAAGGGGGGCAAATTAGATGTCTGTTGAGAAGAGATTTTCTAATACCATATTTAGTGTAAAAGGTGAAAATAATACTAAATACGTGCATTCAAAGCTTCGTCGAAAAACATTGCAGAAAACAGATTAGAATTCAAAGAAAACAGATTAGAATTCAAAATCATTATTACCCATGCTTCACTGTTGTATTGTATATCAGCTACGGCAAAAAATTTTCCAAAGTGCTGTTGAGACGCCGTATCTTAACGGGCTTTTTTCCATTAGAAAACAAAGACCAAACAACGGCATCATCAAGGAGAGAAATTGTTCTTTCCCTTACAACTTCAGCTGTGGATCAGATCTCGATGGGCATTTTGGACCACATCTCCTAAGACAAGTTATCAAATGCTTTTAGGGATGGGGTTGGGCTCCAGTCATGATAAAAAATCAATGGATATTTTCATCATTACTTTTGTCTTTTCTTCTTGTCCACATCCACTCTTTAAAGTCCCATCTCTTTTATTAAAGCAGACTAAAAATCTCGTTTTTTTTTTTCCACAATTGACCATGACTGTACATGGTTCTGTGCAGAGTCGGTGGCCAAACATCAATGCTATGGGTTCTACCGTAAACACCGAAACAGACCACCGGAGGATTAGACCACGTTAAAGCAATCGCTGAGCAGATAATAACGCAAGGAAACTAAAGGAAAAGATATGAGAAAAATACTTAAGCAGATGATGATGGGAAAAAAACCCTAATCTTATTTATGGTAAAAACCCTAAGCTTATTTATGGTAGTTCATAAAGACTACATAAAACAAGCACTCAGCCACCAAACCCAGAGAACATAAAAACAGAACCATAGAAAGAGGCTAAAAGACAGAAATTGAAGACTCTTAACACACGAAACACCATCCAAAGTCAACATAAACAACCCAATTTTCCTTTTTTTTTTTTTAAGAAAGTTGTCCACAGTCAGCAATGACAACAGGCTTCGAAGTTCTTCCACCGCTAGACCCAACCTTTTCAATGGCTCTAACCACATCCATGCCATCAACAACTTGTCCAAAAACGACGTGCTTTCCATCGAGCCACTCAGTCTTGGTGGTGCAAATGAAGAACTGAGATCCGTTAGTTCCGGGTCCAGCATTTGCCATGGAGAGGACGCCGGGTCCGGTGTGCTTTTTGACGAAGTTCTCGTCGGCGAACTTGGCTCCGTAGATGGATTCACCTCCGGTGCCATTACCGGCAGTGAAGTCGCCTCCTTGGCACATGAAATTGGGGATCACACGGTGGAAGTTTGAGCCTTTGTAGTGGAGGGGTTTGCCACTACGGCCGAGACCTTTCTCACCGGTGCAGAGAGCACGGAAGTTGTCGGCGGTGCGGGGAGTGCAATCAGCGAAGAGCTCCATCACAATCCGACCAGCCGGTTGGCCACCGACCGTCATGTCGAAGAAGACCTTAGGATTAGCAGCCATAGTGGGAGAAAGACTTAATTAGTAGAAAAGAGATCGGCTGATTTGGGATTTTTGTTGTTTGATGGGTAGTTAGGGTTCTAAGCGAGCGTGATGCGATTTATATAGGAAGGAAGGGATCTTGGCCGTTGAGAGATCGATACGTGGGTTGATCGTGACGGGGATATATGAACCGCGATTGGGTATAAGGTTTAACTAGGGTTAGCCTTTGGGACCCGAGTGGTGGGTGAAATGGGCACATTCTTTTGTCATTATTCGCAGCGTTTGTGTTCATAAAGGAGTTGAATTTCGTTTTGCTGGGCCTTCTGAATTTGGGCACACAGCCCAGACTTAAGAGTCCTTTTCTGCATCTTTTTATTTTTAGTTTTTAAAGAAAATGCCTTCTTTTGGACTTTTCTAAGAAAATTGCAGGGCTAATTTAAGCAAGCGCATTTTATGCAATGATATATTTTTATATAATTGAAAGTAGCAGGTTTTTTATCTTCTTTTTCAAGTTTTAAAATTAACTGTTAAACTCCTATTGGAGGACAAAAACTGCTAGTCTGCTATATTAATATTGAACGATAAGTCCAATCTAATGTGGGGTCCATTTAATTGACAACAATAATCAATAATAATAATAATATGTACTACTATTTATTTGGATAAGCAGTTAGGCACCTAGTCCTAAACGATGAAGATTGCAGGAAATATCCACCAAACATACGTATCAGATGCGGCACACTTTTCCCTTTGTTTTTCCCTTTGCTTTCCACTTATTTTCGCATCTTTCATAAGCTATGATCACAATCGTTAAGTTACCAACAATTTAGACTGAACGTGGAGAATTGGAGATGCTAACGGGTCTATTGATCATATTGATCGATATTCTTTAATTGTATTAAAATATGATATATTCAAAAAACAATTATACTGAATGTAGTTTCAAACAATATTGTTTGTTTTCATTTGTTTTGATTAATTTAGATAAATTTTTATTAATTTATTTATTTTGATTTATACGTAAATATAACATATTTTTTATTTTTAATTTATTTTTTATTATTTGATTATTTTTAATTTAATAAAAATAAAATTAATTAACAAAATAAACCTTAAAAATTAAATTTTTTATATTTTACTATAAATTTTTTTTATATTTTATTTTTTAAATTAAAATTTATAAATATATCAATCTTTTTTAAGAAAATACTCGTACTCCTCTAAAATTTAATTATTATAAAATTAAATGTATTTTTATATTTTTATTTTTATATTAATATTTATATGAAAAAATTCATTTAAATAATATATTATCGAATTCAATATTTAAAAATATCATGATAGATTAATAATATTATTTTTTATACTTTTAAACTTATTTATTAAGTTTTTAAAGATATTATTTATTTATTTTGTAGATTATTAATAATATTATTATATACCAATTTATATATATTTATAAATATATTTATACTAAATTAAAAAATCAAATAATATATCAAAACAACTAATAACAACACATACCATTTTAAACAAAAAAATTTTAAATATTATCCAGTAAGGTATTTTAACTGTGAAACCTAATAATCTTAAGCAATTTGGCATTTCCGCGCAAGATGAAAAGACAATTGTAGTAGCTCTAGCTATAAAACCTACTGATTCCCGTGACCAGCATTTTATAGTCTGCTGCTTTTTCTTTTGCAGCCTTTTTCCTTTTATTTTTGAACGTTCTCCTTTTATCGCAAAAGACAGGCGCCGTTGGTCCACTCTTGTTTAGGTAACGTCCGGTTGCATATTGTAAAATAGTTTCGTCATTCCAAATTCATGAACGAACCACGGGGGAAAATACGCACTTAATTTTTATAAACCTAGGATTCCTGGAACAAAGAGAATTTTCATTGAATGATCAAATTACAAGCATTCACTTACCCATGATGTTGTTTGAGGTAATCTGATTGGTGTTTGGATGCCCTCTTATAATCGCAAGTTTTACACCATTCCAACACGCAAAGGTAAGGCCCATTCAAATAATCTGGGTTCAACTAGATAAAAAGCAACAAAATTAGCTTTAAAAAAAATCAGATCACTTGAAGATGACAGATTATCATTGTCATCATCAAAAATAACCTCCTTGGAATCGCAAAAAACAAATGCCCAGAAGAAATGGCATCAATGTAAACATTCCATTAAGCATACAAGACATACATGCCATCACGGCAGCATCGGAAATATCTACACAGTTCTCATTCTCATTCTAAAGCCTACAAATATCAGTTGCGTCCGCTAAAAAGTCACCTGTGATTTCTTGGTTTATAGCAAAGCAGGATAGACAAAGGATATTATTTGATTGAGGGACTTCATTGATCCTTCGACAAAAGCATGCCCCTCCGTTGCTAAAAACCAGGAAGAAAAAAAAAAAAAAGACAGTTCATTAATGACTCCAGAAACAATTAAGTTTCATGATTGTTAGGAAAATAGTGGGACCATTACCTTTCATCAATAATTTGACTTCCTTTGAGAAGTCCTCCACACGCCCTAGCACAGGTCTAATTCCACAAATGTGTAAGACACAAAGTTCCAAGTACAAGGCCATCTCCATTGTTTGAAGCAGTAGCAGGCAGACACACTGGATCTCAGAATCAATCTGCTTTGATCTATTTGTCTCACATAATTCTGCGACAATAGCAATTGCTTGATCCTGTGCTCAAAAAGAAGAAAAAATATCCACCAACAGGCAATTAATATATATATATATATATAGAAGGTTAGACCACTACATTGACAAAAACAGAAAATTTTAGTGACTTTTTTTCCTTACTTCCAACTTCAATATAGATTGGCAACCAGATATTTTTGCATACAGAGTAGTGTTAATGACTGACACGTACTATTGTCTTAAGCCTTGGTAATAACCAACAACCAACACTTGATGTCTCAAAACATTGGCCAAATATGAATAAAAGAAACCTATATCACCATCATACCTGTATCCCATGTAAAATCTCAGGCACTGGAAGTTCCGGAAAATGTGCAAGATCGACATATCCCAACTCCTCTGCCCTTTTAGCAGCACCATCAGCTTGTAAACAGAGAAATTTCAATAAAAGAAATGTAATCCTATATATCTGAATGGCAACTGAATCTGAGAAGTATGTTTGTGAAACATGGTTGTTACTTTCAGTTGCTTGATCTTTCATCACAAGAGCAGTTGCAGTTGATATCCCAGAGAACTTAGGCTTCGAGAGACAGCCAAGGGGTGAAAGGGCAAACCATCCATTTTTGCTGTTTACAAATGAAGGTTTTTTGCACCAATCAAACTCATCCTTGAGGATAGGAGGGCATAAAAGAGGAGCAGTCCGGCTTGGAGCCTCTCCAAGACGTTGATTTCCACGGCTAATGAATGCCAACAGATGAATACTCATCTCCCTTAATTGTGAGTCTGTATCTTTCATAGCCTTAACCCATGAATTCCAATGTCTTGCCAGGACGCACATTAGCATGAGAGTTTGCTCAGTCTCCATTAAAGAAGACAGAGAAGTCCAAGTCCTTCGTGCACGTGGTCTTTTCTTGTCATGATCATCTGATGGAAAATCCGGTGCACTGAGAAAATAAGAAATTAGATGGGCTTTCTCTGAAAAGAAGTATGGTATCACATTGCCAGCAATGTCAATACATGAGGAACTGTCTCCCAGAGAATGAATCATAGCTGTGACTACAGCTAAGCCAAGTCCCCAAATGAGTTGAGGCTTATCAGTTTTCTCAGACAATGTAGTTAGTTTTTTTCCAGAATTAATAAGTGAGGAAACCCGACCATCTGACATGTCAGCAAATAAAACTTTGAGAGACGAGAAAAAACCAGCATTAAGAAGCATTTCAGCACCTCCTCTTACATGTGCAATGGTCAAGAAGAACTTCAATAAAATAGGAACAGATCCGAAAGAATTTTTATCTTGAAGTTTCAGAACAACACGTTGTAATTGAAGATGTTTATGTATGATGGCAAACCAAGTATCAGGTGTCAAAAAACTTTTCAGTGTCAAGTCCAAAGCAGTCAGGGAGAGGGAACAACACTCAGTAATAGTAATACAGTTGCACAAGATGGGTAATAGTCCAAGACTGACATTAGAAATCTCAGCAAACCCTTCAACAGACCCTTTGTCTTTCACACTAGTTATATGGGAATCAAGGCAGCAAAACTCCATTGCTGATAGAATCAACATTATCAAAAGCTTCATTGGTTTATTCACCCCACTAACTATCATTCTATGATCACTTAGCACTTTAAGACCAGTTCCAGAAGTTTTTAAGACAAGAACACAAACAGACATGGACAGGCTTGTCCACACAGATCTTACAAGATGAAGAAGTAAGTCTGCTTGTGCAGTGAGGAAATCAAGAACATCATTGGAGACATCAGGGATTGGAGACAGAGATTCTAAAGTGCCAAGGAAAGTTTGGCATATATGATTCATACATGAAAAAATCAGTTGATCAGGAACCTTCCTTCCAACCCCAGTCATTTTGTCCAGTGACTGCAACAACAGGTATATAAGAATTAATATTCTAACAGATGTAAGGCAAACAAGAAGCAAGAATTAAAAGCTTTCCAAAATCAACAAATAAAAATTCTGAATGATTTAACAACACACGAATCCTTCAGAAAAGACTAAGAAAACGAATAAGTTTTATATGCCAATACCTGAAAACCAGAAGGTAAAATCATCTTAACATCAATTTCTTTGTAGTTTTAGACTGAACTAGTCACAAATCTATCACTACTAGAGCTACTTTCATTTGTTTATCAATGCCAAGTTCATTATTTGTCCCATTTGTAGTTTGCCACTTTCACTGCTACAACTCAGTTATCTGCAGGCCAAACGACCTAACTTCCCCATCAATTTGATGACAAAGGTACTGAAGTCTGAACTCCGCTAGTAAAATTCTAATTAACAAAAAGTAGGTAGAGCATACCAGGGTAAATAAACATCTAAAATACTTTGGACATGGTTTTCCACAATCAACTCAATTATAACCAGTCTTTCACATTTTAGTTCAATATCTAATAGCCTAAGAGATCAAACTATTTTAGCCTGTTCGTGAATTATTACGATTTCCCAGATCCTCTAGCCACAGAAAAACTAGCGTCAATCTCTGCATAGCAAACATTGAAAATGACCAATAAACTAATCAGAACTAGGAGGACTTACATTGTCCTCATACACAGTTAAGACAGTAATTAATGCTTTCAGCGAAGAGAGCTTGGAATTTCCAACCAACACCATTGAGTTTGCCTCATGCAAGCAGCGCAGCATCATGTCTGCAATTGCTTTAGATGTTTTCCATTCAGAATAATCCCACATATCTAATCCAAAATCTGCTCTTATGCGTCCAAGATCAAACACATAGACATCATCAGCTGTTGAAAAAGGATCAACATTGCACTTATTCTCATAAATCTTCACCACCTTTGACTCAATCAGAAACTGGGAGAGTTCTTTAAAAGGTCCAGCACTCATTTTACGGCCTTCAAGCTCTCCTTGCAGATGATAATAAAGATCACTCATTATTAAAGCTTTCAGCTCCGTCTCTTCACTGAAAGAAAACCAAGAAAAAACTAATATTGGAGATGGTATTAATGAAGGAAAAAGAAGCACTAGGTTACCCAGTAATAGAGTAACTACAATGCTAATCAACACATGAACCTTACAGAATCATTACACTTTGATTTCGTTCATTTGCATCCTTTCTCAGATGGATGGTGCACCATCTAGAGGCAGACATAATGCTTAAATGTAAGTCCAACAAACATTATAGGTTTTTGCACTTTACCTGTAACGATGCATTGAGTATTGTGCCATCAATTCGGAAAAAGCAGGCTGACTGGTCAACTGTCAGCAGAAATATACAACCATACACCAGAGTTAGACATGAAGAGACATAAAAAATAGAAGTGGAAAAAAATAGTTAGTGAAAGAAAATTGAACATTGCAATCATGAATTCTTGATTCAAAATGATGTGTCTTTAAGGGACTCCTCAGAAGGAACATTTTAGCGATGACATTTGACACAGATACAACTTCTGAATCAAAACTTTTTTCGTTTTTCTTTCTGAAAGAAAAGCCAGAATAAGCAGAAAAATGGTATCACCTTTTCAAACACAAGGCGAATCTTCTCAACTAAGGATACAGACAAACTTCCAGCATCACCAGCTACTAATTTTGTCATTATGTGCACAGTGAGTAAACTTAATGCGACCTGCAAAGTAGCTTCATTTTCAACATCACCGATTTGCATAAAAGGAGGCCTAAACAACATATCAATGGCAAATTGAGCAACAGTTTGTTCATCTGGAAGGAAAGTTTTCTACAACACTCATGTCAATCCAAAAACTTACATTGGTTTCAAATAAACCCTACCTTTTTTTTCTAATACCTCCTCAAACTTAATGTATACAATGATAATCATTTAGGGTCACAAAATATAGGTGCTTTTAATGTGTTTGCCCCCTATCCTATAACCTCAAGAAAAAGAAATTTTGTTCAACATCCTCCCGCACCCACGTCCACTGAAAATTAAAAAAAAGGAAAGAAGAGAACTCCCAACTCATTCAAGATAATAACAAAACATAGTAGAATATAGTATATCACTAATTGATATAATAGGTCTATCATCTAAGAGAGGGCAGACCAGAGTTCAACTGGAAACAGCAAAACTATCCAAGTCCATATGCAATTGGTAAGAGCATCTACAGGTATATATATGAAATCTGGAAAAAAAATTCACCTTTGCACGATAATATATTTCATTGTCATATTTACAAGATGCATATGACTTTATCAGGCATTCCAGTATAGAGCTCTTGCACCAATCTGACAAGATATTCTTCAAAACATAATTATCAGCTTCTATTTTCTTATTTGATTCAGGGTGTTCTTTAACAAGTGATTCAGCATATAACAACTTTTTCATCAAGAACATATCGTATGCCATTGTTTCCAATATAGCAGATTGACATTGATATCTGTGTCCCAGGAGTAAAGCCTCTGAGTCTTTCATACTTTTGAGCAAAGGAACTTCTGAGCCAGCAGTTTGAGAGATAAAGTTTGACAGGTGTTTCCAGAACTTGTCAGAGCTTTTCAGCCTCTCCAAAATAGTTCTATACTGACCAGCCCCATGCCACAACGACTTTAGGAAGTTGAGTACATTCAGCAGTACACAAGGATTACTGGAGATGATAGTGTGTCAGTGTTTTTCAACTCTAACCATGTAATACATACCAAACTACGCACCACAAAATCAGACTATGCAAGGTAGTACTAAAATAATTGACAAAAGGAGACCAAAAGGCTTCAACACACAAAATACCTATTGATAACGTCATCATATCTTTCAACAAATTGAAGAACAGCATCTACAAGACTAGATGTTTCGGAGCCCAGTGAAACAGACAAAGTTTCATTTGTTGTATGCTGCACACCACCAACATTGGCCAGTTGAACGTCTGTATCCTCTTTTGTGTCAAAAATAGCAAAAAGAAAAGCAGGCTGCACAAAGAAACCATCAAAATAAGACTCTTGAAAAACTAGATCAGTAGTATTAAGACATAGTATTAGATCAGTTGCAAACCCCTAAAACCTGGATCAAGGTGCGGTTGTACCTAGAATTGACCATGCATTTTGGATATGCTATATGGATCACCAAACAAAGGATCCAAAATGAGGGGCTAATTAGAAAGGAAACCCAAAAAACCAAGAAAAGAATGAACAAAGAGGCATAAAGGAGAAACAGTGAAGAAAGAAGGAAAAGAAAGAATTTGAAGGAGCAAAGATGATATGTTTTATTCGAAAAAAATCCAAAAGAAAAGACCCTTTAATATTCTTTCATAGTGCCAGCTCATCATATTCATTGCTATTAAGTAAATTGTCACAAATAAAATAATAATTTAAATATTGACCACCGCTATTTTCTTTCTCTTTAAAAAAATTAAATTAACCAAAAATTTGTAATTATTGATATTTAAAATAACTACGACTTCATAAAACATAGAAAACCAAAAAATTATATTTTCCCAAAAGAAATACGACCAAGAAGAACTAGTCCCATACCACATCAAGTTAAACTATGATGCCATTAACTATTGCTTATGAAAGTTGAAGCTTAAATAAATGTAACACAAAAACTATACTACATATTTACACAGATCACACGTCATCTAACTGAATTTGTTGTACCCATGAAAAGTTACAACCCAGGAAGAATTCCATAAACAGATTGCATGGTCAACCTAAAGATTCTAAATACTATCAAAAGCAACATAATAAAGAAAAGGGTAGCCCTCAGAGAAGGTTAACTAGCAAGTAATGAGAATGTACCATAACTAACCTGATAACGTGCTGCGGAAGTAAGCAAATTCAGTATAGCAATAAAAAGATCTTCATTCCGTATCAAATGTTCAAGTAGGATGCAATTAATGGAATGCCTTAAATCTGTCATCTAAAACAAGTGGTTAATCAAGATCAATTAGAAAGAAAAAAATAGTTATTCAAAAGTCACTTAACAAATAGCAAATTAATAACTTCCAAACACAAAACAAATATAACTCCAACCTGCTTATCATCTGGACCAAAGCATGAATTCGCAAAAGGATGTGGTTCTGCCATCCACAGCAACATTGATAGCAGTTTAGCAGCACCAACCTGTATTGCCTGCAAAGTGAAGTAACCTTGCAATCACTTTCATTGTATTGGGACATGGATAAACAAACAAAAAATATCAAATAATTAAGAAATTACAATGCTGTCCCACCTCACCCCACCCCACCCCTCAAGGCCCCACCATTAAAAAAAAAACACACACACAATTTCACAAATCCATCATGGCATCCACATCTAAAGGAATTTATGCACTTCTCCATTTTATCAATCCTGCAGAGCTATGACTAATATCTTTATCAATTTCCCCATTCATTTTTTTATAATTGAACCGAAACACTAAAATTATTCATTTTTTGGCACATACTGATTTACATTTCTCAGCGAAGAGAAACAACAAAGAAAAAAAGGTGAATTTTGAATTGTAAAGGCACATAAAGAGCATCTACCGGATCACAAAAGAAAGATATCAATGATATGACAGCACTAATAACAGGAATTGGCTTGGTCATTGAAGAGAGCATAGCTTGGTGAAACGCTGGAATGCTTGATGACATATCCTGAAGATATAGAACAAACTTTAATTTTTATTTATGAAGGTATAATCTGATTAACAAAATCAAATAGTGTCAGTAGATATTTTTCAAACATGACAACAGTAACTAAAAGAATAAAATAATGATAATCAGATTACCAAAAAGAAAAAAAAACAAATGATAAAGAACTTGGAAATGTGATGCATAAATAGCATGAAAAAATATAATAACCTACCATCGTAGGAAAAACACAATTTTCCAAAGCTGTATACTAGCATGACCATATAGTTAACCTCTACAATAGCTAAAACTCTCTTTAACACAGGTAAAACAGCTAAAACGAAAGGTTTATAATTACCCAAACATGCAGCACAATGATCATATGATTTATGAGACCTCGAAATGATGTGTAAAAATACCAAAACTGAAAGAATAAAACCACGTCTATTTTCCATTTGATGAAAGTTGTAACATGTTATGTTGCTTCACTATTGCAAACAGCTCTGTAAATTTCTGAAGAATACCTTTGAAATTTTGGTAAGCATGATATAAGAAATATCCAAAGCAGAACTTATAGCGAGCTGTAATCCCTCAATCTCCACCAGTTCAATGAGGCGAGTGAGATAAAGCCTCTGTTTAACAGAGTGCTCTCATTAGCAAGAAAAATAGAAAGTAAGTAAAACCCTACTTTGTTAATTGAAATAATAATAAGAGATGATGCCGAAAATAGCAGACCTCCAAAGCTTCGGATGTTGTACACATTATACGGAAGAGAGTGTTGTGGATAGAAGAATCATAGAGTAGCAAATCCCAGATTACATCACTCAATTTTTCAGAGGAAGATGTTGCTAAAATGCATGTTTTCATCACTTCCAGCACCTAGTAGAAGGCAGAAAATTAGAACTTAGTATCTCCAGCATTTTAAAATCCATGCCTCCGTACAGACTCCACTTGCTGATATACATCATTACAAGCTGATTGGGTTAGGTTTGGACCAAATCAGTCAGACTAAGATCAAGAAGAACAAAAAGCTTTGGTTAGGTTACCAAATCAATCATATTAAGATCAAGAACAAATAGCTAAGCTCATCAGATAGAACAACATGCAGGTAATGCAACAGTGTAACATGTAAAGACTGGCTAAACCTGATCATTTCATGACACATAAAAAGAAGTCAAAGGCACCGTCAGTCAGAGGGAAAAATGTAGTCAATACAAGATGGATTTTGAAAATTTAATCCAGTACAGGGCAAGCAAGAGAAAATGTACAAGATCTATAGACATACAGACCACAATGGCATAATTCTTGTTCACTGCAGCTATTCTCAAAGCTTGCGCCCATGCAATATCCCTTAATTATCTTTCACTTACTAAAAATGAACACCAGATGTGTGTCAATCATCTTTGATATTGAGAATTTTGAGTTTATACAATTGAGATTTCGGACAATTATTGAGTATCGTTATTCTGGGTGATTTGTTCTACATCAATTACTTTGGCCACTAATGAGAAATTTGACCATTGCCATCAGTTTCTTACATCATAAATGCATTTCATAGTAGATGAAGATGTCAATCACAGTAATATAAAAATAAAAACAACTAAACAGGAAAACCAATGCATACCTTCAATGTTACTTTCCAACGGGTATTCTTCACCTTGTATTTCCAGTACTCATGATTAACTAGAATATACTGGAGGGAGAAAACAATTAATGACACGACAATATCATCTTCTACTCCAGTCCTTACAAGCTGCATAGTGAAATCCAGCACTGCAAATATCATTAGCAATAGACACATCAGAAAAAAATGAAGATATATGAGCAGTGTGGACACCACTACCATGTAAAAACTAAGAAATATTGTGGGAAAACACTTATTTACAGCTGGTTGTAATCTTGTAATCTGTATATTTATATTTGTATCTCTAGAATTAAGTATTTGTATCCCTAGAATTAAGGAAGATTTAGTTTCCTAGTTTAACCCTATATTTATATTTGTATCTCTAGAATTAAGTATTTGTATCCCTAGAATTAAGGAAGATTTAGTTTCCTAGTTTAACCCCTAGTTAGTTGTATATAAACCTAAGATTCTTGTATAATTTAGCATAAGCAGTTTTTCAATATACATTCAGTTTCCACATGGTATCAGAGCTTTAGGTTTTTCTTGGGAAGCAAAATTTTCAGCCTTCATTGCTGACTTTTTTAGGCCTTCATTGCCGAATCCTGTTTAGGCCTTCATTGCCGAACCCTTTCAAAGAAAGATATCACTGCCACCCAATTTGAGAAAATGTTAACTGGGAAATTCACTAGAGTACTACAAATGTCTCAGAAATAAGGAGAGTTCAACAGGGAAGAGATTGAAAAGCTGAGAAACTTATTGAAAATCCTTGAAAAGCCTACTATGGTATGTTCCTTGGGTAAAGTTTCTATTTCAGGTAAAGCTTTCGGTTCTCATGGATTAAATGTCTCGGCTAAGCCTATTACGAGTTCTTGGGTCATTGATTCAGGAGCCACAGGCCACATGACCCATTCCTCACAAAAGTTTAGTATATATAACCTGTGTCCTAGTAATAAGAAAATTGTTGTTGCTGATGGTTCACTTACCACAGTGGTAGGATTAGGAGATGTTTAAGTTAATCCCTCGTTTGTTCTCAAAAATGTTCTTCATGTTCCTGGATTGTCTATTAATCTGATATCTATACAAAAACTTACCAGAGATATGAATTGCAAAGTAACTTTTTATCCCTCTTATTGTGAATTTCAAGACCAGAGTTCGGGGAAGATGATTGGACTTGCTAAGGAGAAGGATGGACTATACTATCTTGAGACATCAAATAACACAAGTAGTATCAAAAATAGTTTACCTTTGTCATTTCTTTCTGAAAAATCTTCCAATACAGACAAAATTTAGTTTTATCATTTTCGTCTTGGATATCCTTCTTTTGGAACCTTGAGAAACATGTTTCCTTCTTTGTTCAAAGGATTAAATGTTGAAGATTTTCATTGTGATATTTGTGAATTTGCAAAACATAGACGTGTGTCTTTTCCAATCAGTAACAAAGTTTTACTCCCTTTTACTTGATTCATAGTGACATTTGGGGTCCCTCTACAATTCCTAATATTTCTGGTGCGAGATGGTTTGTTTCATTCATAGATGATTGTACTAGGGTCTCTTGGGTTTTTTTACTTAAATCCAAATCAGATGTGAATAGTGTGTTTTTAAGCTTCCAAAACATGATCCAAAATCAATTTGGAGTGAGAATCAAGAGATTTAGGTCTGATAATGCAAGAGACTACTTCAACCAGAGTCTATCCACCTATTTCCAAAAAGAGGGGATTATCCATGAGTCATCTTGTGTTAATACTCTACAGCAGAATGGAGTGGCAGAGAGGAAAAACAGTCATTTACTAGCCACAACCCAAGCCTTTCTTTTTCAAGCAAATGTACCTAAATCTTATTGGGGGGAAGCTGTTCTCACTGCCACACACATTATAAATAGGTTACCTTCAAGAGTTTTGGGATTTAAAACTCCTATGGAACTACTCTCACAATTTTATCCCAACCTCAATACCACAAACAATCTCACACCTAGGATATTTGGTTGTACATCATTTGTTCATGTTCATAGTCATAACAGGGGAAAGTTGGATCCAAGAGCGATTTAAGTGTATTTTTGTGGGGTATTCTTCAACTCAAAAAGGATATAAGTGCTATTATCCTCCTACCAAAAAATTCTATGTGTCTGCAGATGTCACTTTTGAAGAAAATAAACCATTTTTTACTCAACCTTATCTTCAGGGGGAGACTTCATTCATGGAAGATAAGGATAAAGACTTCTTTTTGCTTGATTTGCCCCCTTCTTCAACATTTACACCCATTAATTCTTCTGAGTCGAAACCTGTTTCTGCTGAGCCCAAGTCAAACACTAAATTTGAGTTTGAACCCATTCCAAATACGGAAGATGTGACAAAGGATAATATTGTTCTTGATTCTATGAAGGAATTACAAGTGTACTCAAGAAGGAAAGTTCCAGATCCTGAACCAGTGCCAGTCCAAGAACCTGATCCTAACTCTGGAAATGAGGTAACTACAGTTTTTGACTCTATTTCTCAAAATGAGCATAAATCTCCTAAACTATAACTATTGATTATGATTTGCCTATTGCCATTAGGAAAGGAACTAGAGAATGTACCAAGCATCCACTATACCCAATATCTAATTTTGTGTCATTTGAAAAATTCTCACCATCCCACAAAAATTCTTGTGAGCCTAAACACTATTTCTGTTCCAACTACATTATCCGAGGCATTATCCAATGAGAAATGGAGGCAAGCCATGAAAATAGAAATGGAGGCCTTAGAGAAAAATCAGACATGGGAACTGGTAGAGTTGCCTAAAGGAAAAAATTCAGTGGGGTGTAAATGGGTTTTCACTTTAAAATACAAGGCAGATGGTACTGTTGAAAGGTATAATGCCAGGTTAGTGGCTAAGCGCTACACTCAAACCTATGGAGTGGATTACCAAGAAACCTTTGCTCCAGTTGCCAAGATGAATACAGTTACGATTTTGTTATCATTGGCTGCAAATTACAATTGGCAGCTTCAACAATTTGATGTAAAGAATGCTTTTCTACATGGTGATTTGGAAGAAGAAATATATATGAAGGCTCCACCGGGATTTGGAGGTCATCTAGAAGTAAACAAAGTATGCAGGCTAAAAAAGGCTTTATATGGCCTTAAACAGTCTCCTAGAGCTTGGTTCGGGAGATTTGCCAAAGTGATGCTAGCAATGGGATATAAACAGAGTCAAGGAGATCACACATTGTTTATCAAGCACTCTGATTCAGGGAAAGTCACAGTTCTATTAGTGTATGTTGATGATATAATTGTAACTGGAGATGATGAGAAAGAGAGAGAATCTCTAAAACAGTGTTTGGCTAGAGAATTTGAGATAAAAGAACTAGGGAGATTGAAGTACTTCCTAGGAATTGAAGTAGCTCACTCACAACATGGTATTTTTATCTCACAACAGAAATATGTGATGGATCTTCTGAAGGAAACTGGGAAGCTTGCATGTAAACCTGCAAATACCCCTATAGATCCTAATCATAAAATTGGAGAAGCTAATGAAGATGCTGCTGTAAATAGAGAGATGTACCAAAGATTAGTTGGAAGACTCGTTTATCTCTCACATACTAGACCTGATATAGCATATGCTGTGAGTGTGGTAAGTCAATTTATGCATAGTCCTAAAGAAGTGCACCTACAGGCTGTCTACCGTATATTGCACTATTTGAAGGCCAATCCTGGGAGAGGTATCTTATTCAAAAGAAATTCGGGGTTAGTTCTAAAAGCATATACAAATGCTGATTATGCAGGTTCAGTAACTGATAGAAGATCCACCTCAGGCTACTGTACTTTCTTAGGTGGTAATCTTGTGACTTGGAAGAGTAAAAAACAGAATGTGGTGGCAAGATCAAGTGCTGAAGCAGAGTTCAGAGCAATGGCTCAAGGAATTTGTGAACTACTATGGTTAAAGATTATCTTAGAAGACTTGAAGATCAAGTGGGATGGACCAATGAGACTCTACTGTGATAACAAGTCTGCAATAAGCATTGCACACAATCCTGTACAACATGCAGAACAAAACACATTGAAGTAGACCGGCATTTCATAAAGGAGAAACTAGACAGTGGGTTGATTTGTACACCTTATGTATCAACCAAGGGTCAACTTGCAGATGTGTTGACTAAAGGTCTCGGCAGTGCAACATTTCAAGGAATTATTTCCAAGCTGGGAATGGAAAACACCTATTCACCAGCTTGAGGGCGAGTGTGGGAAAACACTTATTTACAGCTGGTTGTAATCTTGTAATCCATATATTTATATTTGTATCTCTAGAATTAAGTATTTGTATCCTTAGAATTAAGGAAGATTTAGTTTCCTAGTTTAACCCTATATTTATATTTGTATCTCTAGAATTAAGTATTTGTATCCCTAGAATTAAGGAAGATTTAGTTTCCTAGTTTAACCCCTAGTTAGTTGTATACAAACCTAAGATTCTTGTATAATTCAGTATAAGCAGTTTTTCAATATACATTCAGTTTCCACAAATATTAAAGTTCAAAAGCTGATAAGATAAAAGTTTAGGGGAGATCCTGCAAGTTGGAAGGTGGAAGCTCAGAATAGAAAAAGTTAAACAGCCAAATGAAGCAAGAAATGGACTACACTTTAAAAACCAATAACAGTATCATACAAGCAAACAAGCACATTGAAAAGCCAGTTAAATATCAGATGAGATAACCAGGAAACTACTGATACAAAATTTTTAATAACACCTAATGTGAATTCTTGCTCCCCTCAATATCTTGTTATTTACCATTTTTACAATTGCATAAGTGTAAGACTTGAATAGGTTTGTGCAATGGATTTCTGCTATGCTATTTCCACAGAAAAATGAGTTTGAATTCCTATCCTCCATGCTAAGATTTATAGAACAGTTCAATCAAAAAATGGTGTTTCAGAGAATTCAAGAAATGATGCTCATGCCCATTTAAATCAGAAGTTGTGGCAATAATAAAAAAAACTTTTCACCCAATAATGGAAAGACTCTTCAAACCATACAATAATGTATTTTTGAAGGAGACTTGTTTTTCATGTAATCCAATATCCATAGTTTTTTGACGAGCATACAGGTAAAGAAGAGGGTACCACCAAATTTCTAGAATCAGCTATCTACTAGACAAAGTTATTCGGCAAAGGGTCACTTCCACACAAATAAATGCACTCACTCACACATACATATGTATTGTAAGTGGAAAATTGAAAAAAAAAAAGTACATAAATTAGCAAAATAATTATAAAAATGAGCAGTTGATAAAACAGAAATCAAACAAACAATTGAAAAATATGAAAACATACAACAGACAGCTAAAATTGAGAGAAAACAAACCTGATATTGTTAACGGGCAGTCATGATCATTCTGCTCATTATCAATTAAAAGCATCTTTGCCAACTTTCCAGATAGCAACCATGATCCACTGTAAAGAAAAGGTGAGACAAGAAAGAATTAGACGAATGCATAAACAAATATGTTTTCAACTTAAATACTATAGAATATCCAAGTGCAGATCACAAATGTAGGACAACAATAGAAAAAAGCAAACAAAGAGAAAATCGAAACAGATTGATAACAGCCAATATCCCTTCATAGAACACTAATCACCACCGAGAAAAACCAAGTGCCAAATGCTGAAAGAACAGGCAGAGAAAGAGAGACAACATCCCTTTTCTGTTCTAACTCCTTGTAGAGAGTGTGAACTAGGAAGAGGACTCATTTACGTCTTGCGCCAACTACATGAGTTTGGCTGCATAATTCTTTTCTCAAAACTATTCCATGCAAAAGCACTTAATTCATAAGACCTAAATCAAGTGGTTATGAAACACACTAATTTAAGTTACATACCCCATTATCCAAGTACAAGGCTTCATAGAATTAGCAACCATTCAACTGTCATTTAACCTTAATTTTCCTCACACAATTGCACTCAAGACTTGACCATAAACTAGATGAAAAAGAAACCAAACAAAATTTATAAAAAGATAGAACAGATACATATAATTCATGCAAGGTAGAACTTTAAGAAAGTCTTCGACAGAATAGGTATAAAAAAATGTACACAAAAGTCATAAAAAGCAAATCAATTTGGCAAAATCATAAAAGCAACTAAATAAACAGCAATCAGACATCCAACCTGAAATTAATGCTAGTTCATTTGACATTCACAAGCAATCCAATAAAATCTCAAAGCATTACAAATATAATTCTCAAGCTTCAGTCCATAGGTTTCACCTTGATAGACCATTCCAACCTATATTGAAGATGCTTGAATTTGAAGCCACATCAAATATGTTTGCTTTCAAGGCTACTGCGACAACACGAGATGGGGAACTGCCTCAAAAGAGAAAAAGAAGTAAAAACATATATGTGAATGAACAATAGTTAACAATATCAGAGAAAATAATGAACATGCTACAATGAATTATGGCAGCAAACAGAAACAAGTTTGTGTGCTTAAGATAATAATAGTTCCCTAATGGATGTAAAAGACCACAACAATATCTAATACCAAAACCTTCACCATAACCTAGAATCCTTTTCCACTAGAACTAAACTTTAATTAATAAAACAAAAAGCATGCCATACATTACTTTTTCTTCTCAAAGACAACAGTTAAACTGTTATCATTAATGGGAAGCTACCACAACCAAGATCTTCAAAGTTTAACTTTGATTAGTTATTGGGTGGAGATGATGATATATAACTTCCATTCATTTTTTCCTCCACTGGAACCGATGGATGTGGCTTCATAAATGAATCCAGTTAGCAGGTTAGATTCATTGATCTAAATATTAGTAACAAAATTCTTGGCATTCGCCAATTAAACAACGAACACATAGAAGAAAGCAACTAACATTTCCAGTTAGGCTATCAGCAGCCAAGCAGCATGCAATGGTAGTTTTCTACCTGCTGAACTTTAATCTGTCCATCTTCTTTAAAAGTACAAATACCCACACAGAAAGAACTAAAAAACATGGGTGCAATTACCATTTCAGCATCTTTTCCAAGATTAAAAAAGCCATGGACATCAGTGCAGCACCACTGGGATTAGGTGACAAATTTCTGACCATAATGCTAATGATCTCCACCACCCTGCAGCAGAAGACAGCCCAAAACTGTGAAGATATAGCCCGCAAGAGGTGCAAACCATACAAAAAATAGAAATAAGCTCAAGATGCTTAATTACCACACATTATTTTCTAGCTGCCCATTCATGTCAGTTGTTTGGACATGCAAGAAATTGCAACTATCCATCAAAGCAAAACAAACAGCCTACCATAAAAGTTGTTAGAAAACAAAGAAGTCGTGAGTCTAAGGTAGGTACCATGTTAAATTTAAGGAAAAAATTAAAGGCTAAATGTACAAACTCCAACCAAAAATACAGGTTTCAATGAATTCATGCTTTCAAACATAACAAATATTGAACAAAGACCGGTAACTTTCAGTGACAACAGCTACAAAAAAATATTTTCAGAAGAATTCTGTTTTCTATAGCTATGGAAAACTCATTCATTCCAATGCTATCTACTAAATATTAATAACAACAGGTGGCAGCAAAGAAGCACCGTGTTGAAGGACACCATTCGGCCAAGTAGGTCAAGGATAAGAAATGCCTCTTCATTGTTTTCTAGGTATGGTGTCTGGGCCAAACGAAGAAGCAGCACGAACACAGCCGATTTTGTATGCTGCAGAAGACGATTAACATGTTAGCTTGGAATTCTAGTCATATTGCTCAAGCCTCTTTCAAAACTTTTAGGATCATTCATCAATTTAAACAATTTCCATAGGTAACATAATGACAGTACCTGAAAAAAAAGCAAGCCAGCAAAAACAAAACAATAAGCTAATGAAGCAAATAGGAAAACATCACATCAACCCATCATCACAAGTCAGCATACAAGTAATCATATAGCAAACCTCATTCAATTTTATTAAAAATGAGCAAAGCTATCAGGAAAGGATGGAGAAGAATAAATCCATATATATATAGACACACACACAGAGTCAGACATATCAGTTACCAATTACTATATAGCAAAACTCGTGAATCAATATGCTAGCTGCACAGATAACATGATATAATTATATGCAATCAAGGAAATCAAATTATATGAATATATTCCTAGCCCAAGGTACAATTTTCACGCAAACAGTATAATTGAATGTTGAAGCCCAAGGAATAAACTAAAAAGGTTAGATGGCACATTAATATTTTATATTTATAACAAACAGATATATAATAGAATGGGTAAATTCCATTAGCCTTATGGAGTTTTGAATAGAATATCAGAAAAAAAGTTCAATTTCTACCATTATTATGACATTACATATTCCTATCCAATTGAATACCAGAAAAATGAAATGAATTCCTGATTTGATTTGTTTATTGAGATAATGACAAAATAATCATAAAATATACATAGAGAGAGCTGATTTTTCTAGCATTTAATTTTTTTGGAGATCTATTGTCCCCACCTTCAGGAAAAATAAAGCATAGGTATTTGGGGCTATCTTCCATTAGTATGCAGTCACGAAAAGTTTTAAAAAATTAAAATAAAAAAAAACCCCTTAACATCAAGACTTGTTCCAAGAAAATGCAGCAGAACCAGCAGGTTATTATTGATAAACATTAAGAAAAATAGCAAAACTTCTCAACTATTTACCTCCCAACGCACAAGAGCAGTTTTCCCACCTACTACTTTCAGAATATGCCCACGAGTTCTACTAGGAATGTGCAAACCATCAACCCCGGGAATACACACCGGATGCTGAGTTTCAACAATTTGCGATATATGATCCAATAAGGATTCACTAGTAATGTCAAACAAGGACGATATGCCAGTGGATTTATCTAGAAAGTTATACCTGTCCACAGGATAAATACATTACATGTAAGAGAAATGAATGGTAATTGAACAAACCATTTTACGACAAGGAAATATTAGAAAATAAGAACTGCAGAAGTTACTACATCACAGAGAATGTTGGCAGACCAGGAAACTATAAAGACTTTTATAAATTGAACTGTTGAAGTTTGAATAGCAAAAAAAATCTAAAACAGTAACTAAAGCTCTTCAAAAGATGTGATACAGGTTGGCATATTGCACATCATATCAGCTAATTCCTATCAGAAATTATACAGCATAAAACAAGCTTTAAATAGCATCTTGAACATCCTCTTGTCAGAGATTAAATAGCTCCTCTTGAACGAACACAAAACCCAAACCAGAAGATACCGAACTCAACCATAAACTAAAGAAGCTCCCTAACAAACCATATTAGATATTACAAACATACATAGAAATATACATATATATAGTGTGTGTGTTGTCTATATGTATGTGGTGGTGTATTATCTCAGCTGGTGCCATGCAAAATCAAAACCCATGGTGAAGAAAAGCAAACCCTCACTTACACACATTCTGCAGGCCAACTTCCTTCACATTAGAGATGATAAAAGGCGTAGAAGTTCCCACAGTCCTAAAGGAGAATTCACCCTCTAAGTTACAAAGAAGGCACCGAATAGGACCGTCAATGAAACTTGCTCTGTCCCAAAAATTGAATACAAAGTGACTCCTGCTAGGTTGGTTAACAAGAAAGTTCAGTTAATAAACTATAAGCAACAGATAATAAAAATCAAATGATTCAGAAGTAAATTCACTATACGTCCAAACCTCTCCTCGATAAACATAGCAAAGAATATCCAATATCAAATTAAAGGTACCATCCTCCACCTGCAAAATAGACACACTGCAATCAACAATAAATTCAATATAATCTTACAAGAAACTATCAAATATGCAATAAATGTAGTCACCTGAAGACTAATTTCATAAGATGCAATGAATGCAGAAATAAAAGTTCTCAAGACACTTCGATAACCAGCAACAGGTCCCTGAAAAAAGAGGGCAAAAAAAAAAATTGGATAGAGAGCATAACAAGCCAAGATCACTAAACGCAATGACCAAGACAATATAAAAGCAACAATAATCTCAGACAAGTCGCTACAAGTTCCACTGGAAAGAAAAAAAACGGGGGGGGGGGGGATGAATCGAACAACAAGTGGCATGCATGAGACAACCAGTCAATCTATTCAGAGAGAAAGTAAACTGTGTCTTACATCTGATTCCTTCAAGATGTCACTTTGAACGATTTCAAGGAAATAACTCAAAGATGAAGCCTCAAAAGCTTGGCGAGCATACCCAACATGATCAATCTCCTGGGAAGTTGAATGAAAACAAAGAAACAGTCATTGATGGTAATATTCATTCATGTAGTACAGGAAGCAGGAAAGAACCACACACTGACCACACACCGTCAGTTCATTAGTTTCCTCTTTTCGAGGAAGTGATGAAATCAGACAAAGAAACACTGCCCATGCAAGAATCAGTGGGCCAACTTCTCTCATTTCAAAGATATCAAAGCCAGATAACAGAGCATCAATCTCTTTGACATCAGTCAAGGTAAAAACACAAGCACCCTGCCTGAGAAACAGGAAAATAAATGTTCTTACAATCAAGGCAAGTTGAAAAGGAGGCAAAAGAAATGAATATCAAGTAAAATAAACTCATTCTAAAATCTGCTTATATGCCAAAACATGCAATTTTAGAACAATTATTGTTCATCTCTTTCTCTTTTAGTGTTTTTAATTTTTTTTAAATCTGCTTATATCCCAAAACATACAATTTTAGAATGATTATTTTTCATCTCTTTCTCTTTTAGTGTTTTTTTTTTCCTTGGAGAGGGGAGATGTTGGATTATCGGAGCTCCACACTTGAGTATCTAGGATATGGCTTCAGGTGTTTTACGATTATGCATACAAAATAATTCTACAAAAAGTAAAGGCTAGCCGCCAAAAACTGAAAGGAATTGCATCATGAACATTAAGAGATTTTCCAGGTTCAGGATTTTCTATGAGAATGAGATAGCATGAATTTGCATGATAAAAATTAATATAAAGCTCTAGATGTATTCCCATAATTTAAGACCTGTTAAGTTCCTGTCATAATATTAGAGCAAGTTAAACCAGATCAGAGTGGAAATTAATATCAAACAATAAGATAAAGAATACCTTATGAGTCAAGCTTTTTATTTCAGTCACAAACAAGCTACATAGTTCATATAAATTGAAAAAAATAATGTCCAAAACCAAGTTGTCTTCAAGCAGTGTCTCCTCAGCCCATAAGGTGAAAAGATCAACATCCTATAAACCATTCTCAAAATGTATATTAAATGTCAACTGGCTTAAGCATAATATCTAATAAAATATAACTAAGCATGTAGATATTCTTCTATCCAAATGTAATGCATATACATAGTAAAGGTTCCTAAAGAAACTTCAGAACATACAATAAAAGATGCATGCCACAAAATCAACCATCTTAATGAATACGTTCTTGATTAGCTGCCTATGTTCCTACGAACTTGTTGCTCCTAAGTTGTTTAGTAGGGGTAAAATGTAAACAACAACTCATATTAAACATACCATCTGCTCTGGATGGACCGCAAGACATAAGGACTGCAAGACAGATATTAATTTCCCTTCCAGTCCATCGGCAATCAGCTTTAGTGCTTCATCCCTAACCAAACTCCCTTCTTTCAAGCTATTTCCCAAATATACTGCACCAAACATAGCAGTATTTCTCGGTAGAAAGACGTCAATATAAAACTGAAAGAAATGGCATCAAAGGGGAGATTAAAAATAGAACACCCTCATAATTGCCTTACAAGCATGCATGAGAATCTGCCTTGTGCCACTTGAACAAGCATTGACGCTCGATATAATACTGTAGCAATACCTTCATAAGGGGAAAACCAAAACAGAAGGGTATATAAAAAAGAATCAGACAGCTTCATAGCAGAGAATAGAACCTATGACTTAAAAACAGATGCCCACAAATATTTCACACTTATGACTTAAACCAAGTGTCACTTCAAGTAAACAACTACAACATCCTAAACACACATAAAAGTCAAAAACCACAAACTTTAGAGACACATTTTCACAAATGCACATGTATATGCATCGGTGCATATGTATTTATGATTACAATAAACATCGAGGCATCAGGGCATCTGTGTTTTGCCAATATTGTAATTAAAAGACGAGGAAGCTACTAACCACATGAATAGGATCACGAACTATATAATTCTCAGCGGTATTTCCGCGCTCAAGATACCTATCAACGAGAATGTAGGACTGCACCTCATCCAAACACTGTTAATAAACCAAAACTAGAATCAGAAACGCCAAAAGACATTATTTCTTTCTACTTGAGGAGACATGTGACAATCGATAACTCATTTACTTAAAAAGTTCGCTTCTCTTAACCAATCAAATAATGCACTGTGCTAAAGAGTAAACACGACTTAAACAAAGGTATAACAAAATTAAAGAGAGAGAAGGTTCAAATTGAAGTGAATATGCAACTAACCAAACACGAGCTGACTTGCAAAGCCTTATCTCTGAAATCAGGTTTTACAGTGAACTCATGTGGACCGATTTTGATTTGCTGAGAACTCATCAAAGCCTCCTTCGATTTCTCATTCGGCGGTTTAAACCTAGCCACAGTCTCACGAACCAATCGTGATTTTCTTTCAACTTCTTCGCCTGCAAAATACGGAACGCGTAAAAACAACGCCACATACGCAAAAATGCACGTCAAAAAAAAAAAAAGAGAGAGAGCAAGAGTAGATTTACTAGGGGTTCCGGGAGGTCGTCGGAGGAAAAGGCGTTCTCTAGGTCGGTGAGAAGAGAAGAAAACGGCTCCCACCAAAGAGAAGGATCGACGGACTTAGCGGTCGCCGTCATTGATCTTGATCTCCTAAAACCCTAGCTCAAGGAAAAAGAGAATTGAAAACGTTCTTTTTTATGATAATTTTGATTGAAATTTTTTGGCGCTTTTTGAGAAGAGAGGGGTTTTACTGGGATTTTGAGCGTGTGGGTTTGGGTTTTCTGAAGGGTGCGATGGGATGCGATCAAGTCGCGTGGTAATGCCGCACTGCGTTTAGACATGACAATCTTCAACTTGAGAGGATGATGCAATATTAAATGATACGAATAAAGAAATATTAAAATAATATAATTTAAAATGTTAATAAAATTTATAAATAAATTTAATAAAATAAAAAATAAATATTTTATATTTTATAAATAATTTTTTACAAAATAAATTATCAATATATAAATTATCAATATTTTATATCCTATAAATACATTAATTATCAAATCTAACAGTAAATAATTGATTTTTTCTTTTACCAGCGCTGACCTTTATTTATCTTGCGTTAAGTCGATGATGTGATTTAAGGGAAATTATTCTTTTAATTTAAGCTCAATTTCTCACTTATTGTAAATTTTTAATTTAATTTACGAATCCATTAGAGCAAATAAAGTTCATTTTTTTATTATTTTATTTTTCCATCAAAGGCCCATTCAAGCCTTTATTTTTTGTTGTTACATTTTGCATATATCTTTTTACTATTTTATAAAATAAATTAAAAATTTTTCAAAAAAACCCCCAAAACCATTTTATAATTTTATTTTTTAATTTCTCCCTTAATTTAAATTTCAATTAGAACCATTAATTAAGTTTATTATTTTAATAAATAAAATAATTAATTTAATATTAATTTTGTTTTTATTATTACTTTTAAGAATAAATTTTTTAAAATTATTATTTTCATTCTATTATATCATTATATGTTTTTATAAGTATTATTATTGATCATATCTCTCCATTTAAAATTATATTTCATAAATGATATTTTTAAAAAAATATATTTCACGTAAAGCATGGATCATTAGTTTTTTTATTTTTAATTTTTAATTTAGCCTTAAACACTAAATCATTATTTATTATTAAAGTTATGTTTGATATATAAGATAATGGATAAAACAATATGATAATTATTTTAAATTATATTTAATTTATATCTAATTAAAATGAATATAATTACAATGAAAATTATCATCCTTTTTATATAGGATGCTTTAATTCTCTCAAAATGAAAAAATATTATTTTAAATCAATAAAATTAAATTTACATATTCTATTATATATTTAAAAATTACATCAATAATTTAAATTATATATATTTAAAAAAATAATTTTATCTAATAAATAAATTATTTATCTTAATTTTCACACATATCAAACATTAAATAAATTGATAATATTTAATTTTATTTTATTTATAATTTTATTTTATTTTATTATAATCTTATATATCTAATATAATTTAATAATTTATACATCTAAATCTTTTTCAAACTACAATTTCAAAAAATCTTATCAATAAAAAAATCATTAATTATATATTCATTGTATAGGAAAATGGACAGTAAAACTTGAAAAATGTGCTATTCTTACTTTAATTAATTTATAAAGAAATCTAAAGAGTAAGGCGAAAAAATAAAAAGAAAAAGGGAAAGTAGTAGTAATTGTCCAAATTGTGGCCGACGCCGAAAAGCAACCCAACCCATGGGGCCATGAAATGTTGGTTGTTATAATATCGATTAATTGTGAATGAAATTATTGAAAATTAAATATTATATTATTTTAATTTTATTAATTTAAATTATCATTCAATTGATTTGATTAGTTTTAAATAAAATTATTTAAAATTAATTATTTTATTTTATTTTTATTAATCAAATCAAATTTATTAATTTTAAAATTATCTATCAAAATTAAATTAATTAATGTGATTAATTTTTTCATTAATTGAATAATAAAATATATTTAAATTAAATTATATTTGAAATTATAATTTTTTATATTTAAATAAATATAAAGAAAATTATCTTAATAAAATATCAAAATATTATATTAAATATTCTAATATATTATAAATAAAATAATCGATTTTTATATTTTTTATTTTATATTTTAAATTTGTATATCTCGATTAAAATTTTTATTAATTTTAAATTATATTCGATTTATTTAGTTAGTTGTTTGAATAAAATATGGTAAATTAAATTTTATTTTATTTTATTTTTATTAATCAAATTAAATTTATTAATTTTAAAACTAATCAATGAATTAAATTTGATTAATTTTATTAATCAAATAATAAATATATTTATATTTAAATTGATGATTTTAATTTTAAATTTTTAAATTTTAAATAAATTAAATAAAATTATCTTAACAAAATATTAAAATATCAAAATTTATATTAGATACTCCATCACAACTACACTATTTATGGCTTCCAGAAAGGTTTGTCGGGGCCTATAAATGTTTGATACTCGATGTATCTTGTCAAATGATGAGCACCCATTTCCCTTTGCATTAATTAAAACGAAACTCATTTTCATTTCGACAAAAAGAAGGCTGGGAAAAAGTGTGACTTTCATTAAAAAACAAAAAAGGTAGTTGCTGTTAAATGCAGCTCTGGTGAGCTTTGATTGAACCTCAAAAAGAGATCATTCATGTGGCTTTTGCAGTTGGCCTGGGCAAAAGAACATGTACGGCACAAGGGCACAACTCAAAGAAGCAGCAAATTTGCGCAATCCTATATGCTCTATTACTTTCAGGTTTTGACATTAATAAGGAACTTATGTACGATTATTGAAACAGAAAATTAGAAACTCACACGAACAAAACAAACCACACGCGTCCAACTTAATTTATCTGATATAAACAATAAATTAAAAATGAGCACGATTCTGATTTCTTCATTTGTCTCGCCTTCAAAGATTTTTTTGCATGCAGCACAGTGGAAACTCATCACACGAACCTTCATTAACTGCATAAAAACAGTTCAACCTACACACACTTCTATCGCCGCAAGAGCTTAAGGATGATGAGGAGCAAATGGTGGCGATGGAGGCTTTCCAAACTTGGGGTGGTGGAAGTACTTTGGAGGAGTCTTAGGGAGACGAGGAAGCTTAGGAAGGGGAGGGCTTGGCTTCTTAGGGAAAGGAGGAATCTTTGGAAGTGGAGGAAGTGGCTTGTGAGGAATGGGAGGGCATGACTTCCTAAGGAAAGGAGGAATCTTCTTTGGATGTGGAGGAAGTGGCTTGCAAGGAGGAGAGGCATGGCTCGCAAGGACGGGGAGGGCATGGCTTCTTAGGGAAAGGAGGAATCTTCTTTGGATGTGGAGGAAGTGGCTTGCACGGAGGGGAGGGCATGGCATGCAAGGAGGGGGAGGGCATGGCTTCTTAGGGAAAGGAGGAATCTTCTTTGGATGTGGAGGAAGTGGCGGAGAGGAAGGGCATGGCTCGCAAGGAGGGGGAGGGCATGGCTTCTCAGGGAAAGGAGGAATCTTTGGATGTGGAGGATGTGGCTCGCAAGGAAGGGGAGACAATGGCTTGCAAGGAAGGGGAGGGCATGGCTTCTTAGGGAAAGGAGGAATCTTTGGACGTGGAGGATGTGGAGGATGTGGCTTGCAAGGAAGGGGAGGGCATGGCTTCTTAGGGAAAGGAGCAATGTTCTTTGGATGTGGAGGAAGTGGCTTGCAAGGAGGAGGAGGGCATGGAGGGGGAGGGCATGGCTTCTCAGGGAAAGGAGGGATCTTTGGATGTGGAGGATGTGGCTTGCAAGGAAGGGGAGGGCATGGCTTCTTAGGGAAAGGAGCAATGTTCTTTGGATGTGGAGGAAGTGGCTTGCAGGGAGGAGGAGGGCATGGAGGGGGAGGGCACGGCTTGCAAGGAGGGGGGGCATGCGCTTCTTAGGGAAAGGAGCAATGTTTCTTGGATGTGGAGGAAGTGGCTTGCAAGGAGGAGGAGGGCATGGAGGGAGGCATGGCTTCTTAGGGAAAGGAGGGATCTTTGGATGTGGAGGATGTGGCTTGCAAGGAAGGGGAGGGCATGGCTTCTTAGGGAAAGGGCCAATGTTCTTTCGATGTGGAGGAAGTGGCTTGCAAGGGAGGGGGAGGGCATGGAGGGGGAGGGCACGGCTTGCAAGGAGGGGGAGGGCATGGTTTAGGGAAAGGAGCACTGTTCTTTGGAAGTGGAGGAAGTGGCTTGCAAGGAGGAGGAGGGCATGGAGGGGGAGGGCATTGGCTTCTTAGGGAAAGGAGGGATTTTGGTGGTGGAGGATGTGGCTTGCAAGGAAGGTGAGGGCATGGCTTCTTAGGGAAAGGAGCAATGTTCTTTCGATTGTGGAAGGAAGTGGCTTGCAAGGAGGGGGAGGGCATGGAGGGGGAGGGCACGGCTTGCAAGGAGGGGGAGGGCATGGCTTCTTAGGGAAAGGAGCAATGTTCTTTGGATGTGGAGGAAGTGGCTTGCAAGGAGGAGGAGGGCATGGAGGGGGAGGGCATGGCTTCTTAGGGAAAGGAGGGATCTTTGGATGTGGAGGATGTGGCTTGCAAGGAAGGGGAGGGCATGGCTTCTTAGGGAAAGGAGCAATGTTCCTTCGATGTGGAGGAAGTGGCTTGCAAGGAGGGGGAGGGCATGGTTCGCAAGGAGGGGGAGGGCATGGTTCGCAAGGAGACGGAGGGCATGGTTCGCAAGGAGACGGAGGGTATGGCTTCTTAGGGAAAGGAGGAATCTTTGGATGTGGAGGATGTGGCTTGTGAGGAATAGGAGCCGCAGGTGGAAGTGGCTTCTTATAGACTGGAGGCTTGTAGATTGGAACTGCGGGAGGAAGTGGTTTCTTGTATGGAGGGGGCTTATATGTTGGAGGAGGAAGTGGTTTCTTGTATGCTGGAACTGGAGGAGGTTTATAGACTGGAGGCTTGTAGACTGGAACTGGAGGAAAAAGTGGTTTCTTGTTTACTGGAGGAGGAAGTGGTTTCTTGTATACCGGAACTGGAGGAGGTTTGTAGATTGGAATGAGAGGAGGAAGTGGTTTTTGGTATACTGGAACGGGAGGAGGTTTATAGACAGGAGATTTGTAGATTGGAACCGGAGGGAGATGTGGTTTCTCGTATACTGGAACTGGTGGAGGTTTGTATATTGGATTGGTGGGGGAAGAGGCTTCTTGTAGACTGGAGGAATAGTGGATAATGATGGTGGAAGCTTTTCAATGGGGTAAGTGGTGGAAGCTTAGACAATGGAGAGTGCTTAAAAGTGAGGCCAAAAGAAGGCTGAAGCACATGTTTCTGGTGAGAATTTGAGCTTTCCTTTTAGCCCATACTCGTGTTTCCCGTCGCTTGTGGACTTGAAGACTAACTTGGAAGACTCCAGGCCATCATGTGGAGGGCAAGCTGTAGCTGATGCACTGTGAAGCTGTGCATAGCATTCTTCCTTCAATTTTCCGTCTTCAACCAAGTCTTCAGGAAGAGACACTTTGAAGTTCCCTTCTTTATCAAGCTCGCCTGAACCTCGATTTTTGAACTCCCCATCTTCTGGCTTGCAATCTATGGTTACCCGAAGCCCTGTCAATAAAAAGACAAATAGCATAACATCATGATTGCAAAATCCTTGTTCCGGGACGACACTAGCATATACAGTGAATCATGAATGGCACTGTAGCCATAACATGTGAGATTTAATGATAACGATACCTGAAAATGCCTGGCTAGTCTCGAAGTTATTCTCTGCACAATCTGCACATTCTCCAACCCCGACAACCTCAACTGTTTTACCATCAGCATTGCAAAAGCTTGCTGCAAATAGCAATGACACCAAGAAGCACACAAGTGAGCCTCCTCGAAACAGGAGGATCTGCATTGGGAACCAAGCTTTTTACAGCCCCCGAAACAGCAAACGACTACAAAACCAAATCAAGACTATCAGCTTCTTAGCTGATCAGAACCTTGAGTGATCAGATTGCATACCAAGGCTTATCACATAGTAATCTTAAGGGGAAGCAAATTCCAAGGCTCACCGACACCACGCTTAAAGGCCTCACACGAGTTTAGGGTCCCCTTTGAGACCGACTTGCTGGTGTTACGGTTTGAAAAAGATAGTAACGTTCCACACTGGCTTCATTGAGCAAATGCCATTATCTTCATTGAATGAGCTCTCAACTGCACAGCTAAATTTTGTTGTATGTTTTCTCATCTCTTTAAACCCACTTACTAACTTTCATAAATATTTTGCTTTTAGACAAATATCGGCTGCATTACAAGAATGGTCCTGCAAAGCATATATTAAAGAGCAGTATAGCTCTAATATCAATTTTTTTGGTTTTACTGATCCCCACATAATTGATGAGCCTGAAATGAGAGAAATGAATGAAAGAAGTTCAGTTTTTAGAATTGTGTAACATATTAAGCTGACAATTGATAAATTATAATTGTGTAAAATATTAAAATTTATATATTCGTATTTAATTTTATATTAAAATTACGTGTTATAATTTATATCGACATAAAAACATAAATTTTATTTTATTTTGTTAAATTAATATATTATTAAAATTTTAAATTATATCACATGGATATCTTATATTTATTGCATGCCTATGTTACGTTTTATATTTCTCATTACTATCATAAGCTCATTTTTATGATAACCCAATTTTTCGTTTTCCTTTCTATTGACCTAACCTTGACCGTATAGCATCCATTGTATCAAGTCACTCTTAAACGGGTTAACAACTGATAATAATTTCGATAAAATTAAGAAAATCCTGAATTTACCATTACTTATCGGATTGATCATGGCGGAGCTGGACCCTATATATCAAGGATATTTTAGAAGCTTTGCCATAAGGGGCATGCTCGAAATAATAGCTTTTGAATCATTTTTCTGGTAAATTTACGTGTAATCAACCATGTGCAGATTGCTGAAACGGTTAGCTGTATGATTATCAACATGTACCTTTGTGAAATAAATATCCTTATGTACGTAAGCATGAAGCAAATACACGTTTTAACTTTTTTAACAAAATTTTTAATGTTGCTTGAAACAAGACAGGATTTCAACACTTCTTTTTCAACATCGTAGATCTTTGTCTGATATAAGGCTTCTCATGGGATTATCATAGGCTTAAACAAAAAGAAATCAACAAATATGATTACATCAAGGAAATTAGAAACAGAAAGTTTTTCCCATTCTCTAGAAAACAAAATCGTGGGTTTAATGTTGAAAATGATGAGAGGAAATTGTGGATGATATTTGTCGACAATATAGCTAATTCTAGTACAAAATTCTAATTATGTGTAGGGTTTAGGTTTTATTGTAATGTTTTTGACAAGTCATGAACAGGTCATAAGAATTGAAAACACAATTGAATTAAATTCAAGCTACTATAAATTTATGAGTTGGTACGGTGCTGTTTGATAACCTAGTAGTATTATGATACACAATTATGAGTTCACATTGGACCTGCCTTGGGGTTATGGCTAAGAGAAACGCATTGGGCAAAGGCCTCCGCAGTATTCGGGTACCAAAGGACTCGACAACAGGGGGTGGATGGTTTCAGAATGTGTGGTTCATACTGCTCGTAACTTTTGCTTGTAATAAATTATTTCAATCCGTACTTAATGAGAAATACGATGATACGAATTTAAATTTTTGTTAAATATAAAGATGAAAATGAATAATATAATAATTTTTTATACTCGTATCTTATATATATTAAATTGATTTTTGTTAAATAATATAAATTATTATTTTAAATTAATTAAAATTAATATATTTTTATTGAAAATATATATTAATATATATTTATTTAAATTTATCAAAATATACAAAATAAAAATACAAAAAACTAAAAAATAAATTTTAACTTTTATTTTTTAAAAAGTTACGAGCATGATCCCATACTTATTAAATACTAATAAAATTTAAAATATCTATTAAATATAGATATGATGATAGATATTGTATAAAAGTCGAAAAACAAAAATGAAAATTACTCTACCCGACCGAATAAGATCCCTTACTCGGGATTCAAGACTCTCTACCTGGGATTTGGGATGTTGGTTTAGTCTAGCAGAATTGAATGATTTCCATAGAATCAGGACTTGTGCACTGGATATAGGAATTTATTTACATAAGAAATGGACCCTTGACACAGATATTGTAAAACCAGTACATTTTAAGCGGTGAAAGGTTAAAGAGGCTGTGAGCAAGATTTTCAACACACCACACTGATGAGACTAACTTGGGACCTACATTTGGTAATGTACGAGAAACCAAGAAACACGAACCAAAAGCCATTGTTGGAGCGGGAAAATATCATGTGATGAGGAAAATTTCCTCTGGTTCTCTAAAATGAATCCTTCTGCCTTACATCAGAATTAGTTTTGCTTCAAAAAGCCTCAATTTCAGCATCCTCATGAAAATAAAAATGTAGTAAAAAAAAATCCTTTCAGATGTTACAACATCAAAGTATGTCTTTTCATGGCCTAATTCTCAAACTACTTGCGCCCTCACTTAGATTTTCCAAATGCCTAGCTTGAGTTACAATAGCCTGACTTCACAAGCAGTGTTCATCTACTTCTTCTTCTTTAATTTGGACGCTGACTGAGTGTAAGCAGTTCCCTGAAAATTATGACAGCCAAAACAGGAAATTATTGGCAACAGTCCTACAGAGCTCGTTAATGATTAATGAAGTCTGCAATGAACTCATGATATTCTATTTTAGGACAGAGGTCCATAATCCCAAGTCCCAACAATGCCCATTGAATAAACAGATCATTGTCCGGGTGAAAGGAGTGAAGAAAAGCAAAGCTAACTGCAATAGAAAATTATGGGAAGTGATGATGATGCATAAGCCAAACCACAACCTGAAGCCATTCGTCCAGTGACGCATCAGTAGTTCCGGTCCCGACTTCCACCTTTGGAGCCCTCTTAGTTTTCTAGCAAAATAATGAAGGCAGGCATATTAGCTTTATTCCACAAAACAAACATAAGAAACATTTATATAAAAAGATATAAGCACTTCTCCCTCTGGCTCTCTCTCCTTATAACTGTGCATGCCACAATAAAGTAACACCGAAAGTGGAAGCTTTTTTCAATGTAAGAACAAAAATACAAATTCCCAGCACAACTGCTTGCTGACAATTTGAAATAGGTCATTAATACTAGAACAATGTAGATTTTCCTCCATGTATACATGGATGTGCATTTTTCTGAGATATATCGAACAATATTTTCTATCAGCAAAAAGCCTTGTTAGATTGGATCTTATAATAACTAGTTTCAAACATGTATTAGTCGTGTCTCATGCATTTTATATTGCCGTATATAGTTACTGGAGTAAATTAATATAAAAACTGCAAGGTAGTACGTTTAGAATACCTTGGATAAACGCTGAAATTGACCATGAAGCCATAAACCAAGGAGAACAAGAAGTGCAATCCCAAGGGTAACAAGAAATACAGACTCAACACTGAGGAAACCACCAGCCTCTACAACTTCAATGGTACCATTATAGAATGTACTTTGGTATGGGTGCTGGTCAATATCATAGATAATTGTACCCACAAGATCAAAAGTTCCAGGCTGCATCAAAGTTCTACACGTATAAGCTTAACTGCAACACTGTCCTCACAGAAAGAATTTATATACAGTTCTAGGGCATAAAACTCCCATGGTAATCATTTACCTGTAAGTACTTGCTAACAGCAAATACGTAAGGGAAAGTAGCTTGCACTGAAGGGGGTACAGATGCATTGTTAAAGGCCTACATTAAAACAGATATTTTTAGTTAAACAATCTACAGGCAAACGTGACAAGGCAGTTTCAATACAACAACATAGGCTGTAAAACTCGAAAATAATGAGGTGCATGATCAACTTTTTAGCAACAGACAAGCTCAAGATCTTTTTCAAACAATGCAACAAGCATTAGATAATAAAGTAATAAAGTAATAAAGAAAAAAAAAATCAGAACTTAAAACACAGAATGGTCAAAACCAGAGGCACAGTATTATAATTGCACAGTGACCAATTAGAGGATGAATGTCTAAACTGTGTTTACACGCTCAGTCTCATATCTTAAAATCATTTTCAGGTCTACACTTAACAGTGAAAGATACAGCAAAATCTACACTAGTGCCAAACTCTCTGCTGTTGTTTCTTAAACTGAGATATAGCATCTCAATGCAAGTTCAACATCCACCCATCGTATTAATTAACATCAGCTAAAATAATTGACTCTACTTTAACTGTTAAAGCTGATTAAAGTAGGTGAGCATTTGCAAGTGGAACACAAACTAATGTGTCACAATGCATAAAACTCAAATTACTGGCCAGATGTGTGACAATGGGCATTTAAAACATTCAATAAGAGACCATATTAACAAGAAAAGATGCATGTTCAATGCCTCTTTGTAGACAACAGTGTTAGTGTATGTGTGTGTGTGAGTTGAAATATTTTGGGAATATTCTATGGGAGAAACAGTTTAAGAAAGAGGGATTAATTAAGAGCATTAATTTGTAATTGTAATTGATTCTCTTTCCTTAGTATTATCTATATAATGAAAGGCTAATCCAAGGGATTAGTAAGTTGATCTCCAAAACCCTAATTTTAAGACATAGGATAAGCAAGCAAACAGGAAAATGATCTAGAAGAACAAACTCAATGTATGCTTAATTTTATTTATAAAAACTAAAGGGTAAGATATTCAATTATGCAAAGTTTTTAAGTTAGGAAATACTAAAAATTAATCAAAATGAAAACAGAACAAACTAATGAATCATGGGTATTTGAAAATTTTAACCAGCACAATATTAAGATACCCTATGATTACCTGTGCTGTAAGATTTTGAACAAGCATATGATGATCGAAAGGGAGATGAACACTGGCTTTGATAGCAATGACATTCAAAGGTGACTCCCCTACAATTTAAAGAAGCAAGCTAAGCATAAGAGAGAAGGAAACCTCACTTAGCTAACGAAAAAGAGGTAAGCATTTAAGCATAGCCAAAGACAGATAAATTGTGTGTTACTATTTCAACACCATAACATCACATTTCATTGCAAAAAAAAAAGCCAGTAAGGTTGTGAAGATGAATTAATTACCAACATTTTCCATCCCAACAAGGAGTTCTGTCTCTTCTCCAGCCAGAACCACTGTCCAAGTATAAAAAGGCTAGGCATTAGCAATTAAATAGAAATGCACATCACTTTCAAAATCAAACATCAAAAAGTTCTAACATTTGGCACTATTTTTGGGGAAAACGCAGACAGTTTCAACTCCTGGAGCTGGGCCAAAATTCCCATCACCAAAATCCTGAACATCCTCACCAACAAGCCCGAGATCACCTCCTTCAACAACTTCTGCAACATCTGCCTCAGGTTCTGATTGAGATCTAGCAACTATCACAGGAAAGAAAATTCATGTCACACCATAATTTTAAAACAAATGGAAATTTTATTTATTTATTAATTTATGAGAATTAAAAAGCAAACAAAAATTGATTTAACAAACAAAATACACAACAAGAAATAACTACTTCAAGAATGTTATTGAAAAGGACACCAAACTCCAAAGTACTTGCCAAGCACTCTTTTCGTTGCCTTCTCTTACGGCAAAACTAAACTGTACTTTTAAAATCCACGAAAGTACCAGTGAGAAATGTTATCGATACGACGCCTATGCTTTTTTCAAAACCAAAAAAAAAAAAAAGACAGAAAAAGAAATCGAGTCAAAATCAACGGCCACGAAATGCAACCATGAATTTGAAAGAACAAAAAAGGAATCACTTCAAATTCCACTATCAAATCATAAACAGAGAGAAACAAATCAATTTGACACGGATGTAAAGAAAAAAGTAAAAAAAGAAAAAGGAAAACGAATCGAATCGAATCGAATTGCTTCTCAATTGAACAGATCAAAACAATCGCAGTGAGCATGCAAGATCGGAACTCAGCAAAAATAAAATGAATCATTAAGCATAAATAGGTATTCATAAATGTTAAAGAAAAGCTAGATCTAGATCTGGAAAATAATTAACTAACCTTGGAGGAGAGGAGAAGCGAGGAGGAGTAGAGCAAAGAAGAGAACCCTGAAACTTTTCATTGCCGTTTCCGAGGGTTTCTTTTTTTCGTCCAAAAAAAGAAAAAAAGAAATGATCGTTGTGCGAGAATCAGAATACAATGGAGGGCTGGGGTTTCCAACGCCTACAAATATCAGAGCCCAAATAACAGAGAGCCCAACGCAGACCAAGCCGAACACTGGATCTTTGGTCAATTGCGTGCTCAAAGAATATTCATTAAAAAACGTATACGGCGTCGTTGCGATCTCAGTATTTTGACTTATCGACCGGATAATTAAAATTATTTTTTTTCCTTTAAGAGACATTTTTTCTATTTGGGAGAAAAAATGAAAAAAACCACTGCACGTCTTTCATTACCAACTTTTAGATCTCCAAAATCTGAATCTAATTATTAATATAAAAATCAAGATGAGCCCAAGGACTGCGACAATCCATTAAAGAAATAAATACAATCAGTCGTCCCATGAGGCTGCGAGTAATCTCCGTGGATGGTGTTAGCGCTCCCGTTTCTTTTCTGGGTCATGCATCTGCCATGTACAAACACAAAAAGAAAAAACTTAAAAGGGTAGTTTTTTTAATAAAATTTATAAATTTTTTTATTAAAAATAATTAAATTTAAATTAATAAATTAAAATTTTTTGTTACATAAATTGAGTGTGTAAAATTTTAAAAAAATTTAATAAATTTGGATATATATTTTTAGATAAATATTTTTAATAAAAATATTTATAAAAATTTTATTATCAAATAAAAATTGATTAAATTTAAATTAAAAATAATATCTTTAATAATTTTTACATAATATTAATATTCGTATTAAATTTTATTAATAATTTAAATTTTTTATTAAATTATTTTTACGAAATAATTTCACTAACTTCACTTAAAAAATTTCATATAAATTTTATCATAAATACAAATAGAATGTAAAAATCCACCTTCACTCTTGCAAAATCTGAATAATTCTCCTACCAAGGTTGCATCGTATCACAAGCAAACAAATCACGCTGGTAATTCAAGAAGGATACACAGTCGCAAGTAGATGCCCGCACACGCACGTATATTTTTATATAGATAGATAGAGTACCTCCAACCTCGATGTAGGGAAGATGTGCTTGTTCTTTTCACACCAATGCCTCTCGACTACTTTGCCAGCATTAGACTGTCAACAATAGGAGAAAATGAGTTCATTGCATTCTCACGTCTCGATAGCGAGATATAACATGATTATATTATTTTAAAGTAAAATTTTAAAATAATATAAAATTTAATCATAATCATTAAAAAAATTTTAAATAAAATAATTAAATAATAAATTTTTAAAAGTTTAATATCGAGTGTTATAACTAAAAATAATAACTCTTTATAAAATTTTATTCTTTAAGTATTTTGTTAAGTAATTGTAGATCATAAATCAATATCAAAATATGTCACCAAATTATGGATTAATTCGTAAAAATCATCATAAATTATCATTATCATTTATTTATCATTAGTTACGGTTACTATTATAATCTGTGACATTAATTGTATCGACAGTTTCATCCTTATGATCATTATTAACTATTATAACCTACTAGCCAAGGCCTTACGTTAACTACTATAATCCATTAGTAGGGCCATATGATCATATCTATATTAATTACTATTACCCAGGGCCATATAACTAGTTCTAGTGTCGATGATCTCACTTTTCAGGGATGTAAAAATATAACTATCATAAAATCATTCCTTAAATATAAATAATTTTCTCATTTATTTATAAGCATGATTCATTATTTACATAACAAACACAAAAAATAATCATATACTTGATTTTATTTTCATACATCAAAAATAATAAAATAAAACATTCTTTCATTTAAAAACATATATATATACATAGATTTGAAAATAAGTAAAATGTATGAGATTTTATTTACCTCTTTTCAATTTCACCACCTAGTTTTTATCTCTAAATAATTAACGACCTATTCAAATTAATTTTAATATAATAGTATTTAATCATTTAATACATAATATAACTTTAATCCATCACTGCAAATACTATAGTTCATATGAAATAAAAATTTTATTTTCTATTCCAATCAAATTTCTATTTTCTATTTTTATAGCAATAAAATCATATTATCAACTTTTTCAACACTTAATTAGACACTAATTAAAGTATAAATTATTTGCTTAAACTAATTTTGAAGAGGGATAATGAAAATCTTATGGTTTTAAGGTTTCTCAATTATAAATTACACCTTAAAACTTAACAATTAACATTCCAAAATTAAAGAAAATTATTTACTCACCTCTGATAAATAGTTCTCTTTGCAGATTTTGTCATTACCCTTCACTTGAAATATTTTGATTTGTTTTTTCTGTATAAGAAATAGAAGAGAAATAACTTTTTTTTTTTACTAGTCATTGATCGAAAACTATAGAATAAGTTAACCCTATTAAAAAAAATTAATTTATTTATCAATAGGTCATTTGTATTTCTCATTATTTGTTAAAAAGTCACTCTACTTATAAAAATACTTAAAATAATTTTTTTTTTTACAATTATTACATGTATACCACAAAAAATCAATGTACTGACATAATACTAAATTTAACCTCATCAAGCAAGAATAAGAGGGAGGAAAATTACCTCATTTTTTGTGCCAACTTCGATATTAAGGGTATTTCTTAAATAATAAAAGAGAATAACGGTTTTAAGTAAAAATAAAAAATATTTTTTATGTTTGTATTTCAGTGCATAAATTAAAATAAATGAGAAAAGAATAATAAATAAAATTAAAAATAAGATAAATCTATCTCAAGAGTGTTTAAATTTTATATTTATAGATGAACGATAAAAAATTATTAAAGATAATAAAGATAGTGTCGATATGATATAATATTTAATGTGTCATACTATATATTAGGTGACACAAATATCAAGATTATCACTGATTACCTATTAAAGCTTTTAATAAAAAAAAAATCACTATATCCTTTTAATCACTAAATGTCTCTACTACTTATACTTTTCCGTTGTAACATCACCTATGGTTTGGACATCTTCATGCACATAAAAATGGAAAAGCTGTTTGAGGAATATGACAAACAACATTAATAAGTAATGGCACTGATAAACTCTACCAAGACTAAGATTTAGGATGATTTAACAATCTCAAAATGCCTGAACAGCAGATTAGATGATGCTAATTTGTACTTTCCCTTAGATTCATCAGAATTGAACAAAACAACTTGAACCAGCAAAAAATAGATCAACTTGTTAAAAAGAAATATGTGGCAACTGATATACATAAGAATTTATAAAGTATTAATTGTTGCCGTTCCACTTTTACCCCTTGCTTTATTAACAAGTCAGCTCGTAGAAGCCATGTTGCTGAACTTTCACAAACATGAAACAAAATGAAATCAAATTAGTTAGCATCGATTAAACACAGTAAACATCGTAGTTACAATTAAGAGCCTGATTTCATATTTAACTCACGTGGGGAATGATATTAAATAATAAATTAATTTTATTCAATTTGAGCCGAGAATTAACATGACATTTTGTAATATTTTTTAACAAATTATTCATAATAAATATATTTTTGGATAATTTAATTGTAATAAAATTTATTTTAATTAAAATTATTTTAAAAAATATCACGACGTAGAGCTAATGTCACGGACTTAAGGAAGAGTTTTGAATCTCACATCGAACATAGTAAAAAGATCACTGGGATATAAAATGGTTCACACAACTTTTTTTTTGTGAGACTTTTTTTGTAGGATAAAATCATGAGATTAAAGGGATCAAAGCGAATAATACCTCACAAAGGTGTGAACCGTGACAAAAAGACTGATCTGAGACGTCAGATGAGTGAATGTCCGGCTCTTAAAATTGCACAAATTTGAAGCTTAAATCTCAATACGTGACACTAACTCTTATTATAATTTCATTTAAAAATTAAATATAATGGCATTGTGATTTTAACTCAGATCATTATCTGGTTTTCGTGTATTTTACGGGTAAAGTTGGATTTTTAGCTTTGTTATTTATCTTCTTCTTCTACGAGCAAAAGATAAAAGATTGCAATTAAATACAACAGTTATATTTTGAATAAGTTATAGATAAATAATATATTTGGAAAAATGTCATGTTTCATGTTGTAATCAAATATTTTTATTAGTGTCAATGATAAATTATATGTAACCGTAAAAATTACAATCATAATTAATCAAACTTTTAATATAATAATCAAGCAAAAAAAAAAAATCAACAATCAACAAGTTAATATATAATTAAATAAAATCCACACGACTTTATAACCGTATTTAAATATAAATATATATAATGATATTTTCTAAATTTTTAAAAGTTACATATTACTTTCATTTTATAATGAAAGAAAAATTTATTTGTTTGGGTTTTTTTTTAAAGAATTTTATTTAATTTTAATAGTGTTAATTAAAAAATTTACGGTCACACATATAATCTTAATTTCTAAAATTGAATGGGGTAAATTGAATTCACAACTTATTATCTAACTACACTATTGAATTTCTCTCGTTAAGAATAGCATTGAGATTCCCTTTCAATTAAAAAAAATAATTACATTAAATATGCATTTTATGTCTAGAAGATTAAGACTCTATTTGAAAAGATTGTGATAAAATTAAAAAAAAAAATAATTATTGTATTTGTAATTAAAAAAAAGTTATTGTAATTATAATTAAAAAAATTTAATAAAAAAATATTTAATAGATCTTATTAAAATTAATATTTAAATTTAATTGATAATGTAAAAAATTTAATCATATCACGTAAAAAATATGATAAAATCTAAATAAGTACTAAAAAAATTTAACAAAAAAATGAAAATCACTAAAAAATTTTAACAAAAAATGAAAAACTAATATAAAACGTAAAATTTTAAATCGGAAGTACATTTTTGTTACAAGACCTTTTACAAATTTTAAAAGAATAAAAAAAAAGGTTCTGTAATAATAACTTCCAACAAGAAAAAGAGAGGGGACAAGCTGTGGGTCACAAAACGACGTTATCTCGGGGGTTCCGATAGGCTTTTGGGCTCGTGGATTTCCAATCAAGAAAGGCGAAACAGAAACGAAGAGACTTTCGGTCATTCAAATCACAATTTACGATGGATCAACTCAAAAACGACGCTGCTTTTGTTCAATCTGTTCCATCTTCAAAGCCTTCCATCATCGAGTTTCGTCAACCCAAATCCAAGTTGGGTTTCTCAAATTTTCAAATTTAACTTTCGTTTTGGGGGTTAATTTAACTGATTGTAATACTTTGGTATCGTGCTTTTGCAGCCAAAGGGTTGAAGGGGAACCCAGGGATTGCATTGCGGCGAGAAAGCTTCAAAAGGCTGACCGTGAGAAATTAAGAAGGGACCGCCTTAATGAACATTTTCTTGAGTTGGGAAACACACTTGGTACGTTTTGAACTTTCTTTGAAACATTCAATTTTGTAGTATCCCAATAATTTCTCTTTTTGGCACTAAATTAAGAAGGTTGAAACCAGCTTATGTGTCTGAAATGCTTTGATCTATAGAGTTTTAGTCGAAGATATGGTTTCTATTTGCATATGTCTAAATTAGTAACTGCCAAATGGTCTTAGGTTATGGGGGACAATGCTAAATTTTTTATGGTATTATTGGAGAAGGTTGTAGAAATCACATACTACAAGAACTTACTCAAATTGCTATTTTGCCTAATTGGGATCTTGCAATGAGTATATTATTGATTGGATTTTTTTTTTCATTATAATTTTTATTTACTTTTTTCCCTCATGATTTTGAATGCTTATGATTTTTGTTTGCACAATACAGATCCTGATAGGCCCAAAAATGACAAAGCAACCATCCTTACGGATACGATTCAATTGCTGAAGGATCTTACATCTCAGGTCACCAAGCTGAAAGCAGAGTACGATACGCTGACTGAAGAATCTCGTGAGGTTATCTTTGATCTATTTGAGTATGGTGCTTAGATTTGCAAAGCTCCTTTTATAGGGATCTTAAAAGGTGGTTGTTTCTTTATTTTGAAGCAGTTGACACAGGAGAAGAATGATCTCAAAGAAGAGAAGGCATCTCTCAAATCTGATATCGACAATCTTAATATTCAGTATCAGCAGAGAGTCAGGACTATGTTCCCATGGGCCACCGTAGATCACTCAGTTGTCATGGCCCCTCCTTATCCTTTCCCAGTACCAATAGCAATGCCTCCTCCTGGAGCTATTCCTATGCATCCATCCATGCCACCGTTCCCTTTCTTTGGGAATCAAAATCATGGAGTCATTCATAACCCCTGCTCCACTTTTGTCCCATATATGACTCCTAATACCATGGTTGAACAGCAGTCAACACAGCATGTTGCTCCACCTGCACAACCAGGCAGTCGGTCCCATTCTTCAGGCAAACAAGATTCGAAAAACAAGTCCTCAGGGGAGAGCAAGGTTGAAAAAACCGTGGATTCAAACGATGTTGCCACTGACCTTGAGTTAAAAACACCTGGATCTACTGCAGATCAGGTTCGTTTGGGGTCTTTTAGTTTGTTTGTACTTTGTAGTGGTCCTAGTGGATATAATATTTTATTATGATTTTAAGATATTTATTAGAGTACATGGCTGAATTAATGGTACATATCTGCAGGATTTATCATCAGGACAAAAAAAGCTGAAGAAATCTTTAAGGAAGGAAAACAGTAATACAGAAGGGAGTCATTCAAGTAGGTGTTCTTCATCTTATAGTGCACATGATAGCTCATCCAATAGCATCGTTGGTGGCAAAAAGGCTGATGACCTAGATGGGCGAAATGATTAACAAACGCCTATGCCAGGTTGTTTGTAATTTCTGCACATCATCTTTTCCTTTTATTCTATGCCTTAGTAGTTCCTAGTTTTTCCTCCACTTTAGAATATAATTATTTGCCTACAAACTGAATCACCTTTCTGATATCATGAACACACCAAAGGAAATTGCTGTTATGAAGTAGTTCAAGGTTGGGATTTTTCCTGCATCTCGCTTCATTGAGATGGAAAGGATGGTGGTGATGATGATCTTCTGTGCCCTTTTTTCCTGGGTGAGAAGATGTTTCAGTGGAACTAATGAGTAATGTAGGAACTGATGGTTGTCAAGAAGAAAAGATTGTTGGGTTGATTTGTATGTAATTCTAATATGTGAAGTTTATACATTATGCATTCTAATCATGCCTCAAGTATTTCAAGAAAGAAAAGAAATTTTCTCTGAAGTCTGTCATCCTAGTAGGAAAATGTCATATGGTTGTTTATAAAACACCTAGATTGCTGGTGTGTAGGTCATACTTCTATATTATGTCCATTTCAATTGATTTGTTTAACTCATAAATCTAGCTATGTTGGGGATTTATGCTAGCTGTGGATAGATGAATATCGTACATGGTTAAATATTTCTCTTGCTTCAGCTTTCATATAAAGAATATTGAGTTGTAAATATTACATGTATGTGAGTGTAAATGTCAGTGAATTAATGGCATTTGGTTAACAAATAATGCTATCCAAAGTTTGCAGTAAGTTGCTGCTTATGTGGATTTTTTTTGAAGGTTTATTCCCCTGCTAAGTTAAAACATGGAAGACTTGAGTGTTGGTTGGGAAATTACCGGTCTTGAATGCTGAAGACTACAGAAAGTATTCTTCTTGTCTGCTTAGCTTGGTGGTTTATAGCCAGCCTACTAGGAATGAAAAATGTTCATTTGAATTGCGAGTTGTATCTTAATCTGGTCCTTTGCTGCGCTATTTCGTTGAGTTTGAGCTTGATCTGATGACCGCCTTCGGCATTTTGTAATATCGAAACAGGCACATAGGCTCCATAGTAACCCAGAAATTTGTTCTAAAAGAATGCTAATGGTTGAATGGTCTCCAATCTTTATCTCATTCATTCACTTATAATAGCAGGTCAATTGGTTGGGTCGTGTCATGCATGTTTGCACAGAAATGGGGGGCGGGGGGACGGTGGACCCATATCTGTTATTGAATGAGACCAACGACCAACCCTAAGTTTCTCTATATTATTTTGCCAATGCATCAATCCAACGGACAGCACTGGCTTACTGTAAAATTGAACGGCCATGATTAATCTGTTAGTTGGATGGTTCGATTTTAACATTAATAAACCCACGTGTACGGTTCCCAGAAACCGTCACCACAGATGCACGGAGATTCAGATCACTTTATACATATTCTTCTTCACGTGTTAAACCACGTGGCAGCAAGAGAAGGATTCTAAATGCCCTCTTATTATCCTACCAGTACCAACTGCCAAGAGAAAGAGAGGGAGCTATTAAAATCTAGTAGCAAATACTTGAAACGGCATCGTTTATCGGAGCTCTCAGTTTACCCTTTGCCAAGATTTCTGTCTTCTAGTTGATTGGCAGCAGCAACTACGAACTATGAAAGTCAGATAGCTGCAAACCCCAGCGCTCCCCATCCGCGTGACAACACGCACCTCTTTTATTATTTTTTACTTACAACCAACGACCCAGCCGGTGCGTGCGTTGGACGCTTTCAGAAACCACGTGAACGCACCGTCTCAGTCCTTTTGACGACCTGCTAAACATAAATCCCAACCGAACACCCCAATTCACAAGCTACTTCACCTCGCTTACCCAGCGACAGCCACATACCCCTAAAACTCAGCCACACCAAACTCAAGAAACCGCCTCAGTTACACATGGCAATGGTATCAACATATTGTCCACAGTTCAGTGGACTTCGCCAATCATGTCCCAAACTCGACAAGTCACAACTCACAATCTCAATCTTTCGTTCAACACATCAACTCTCAACTCCATCTTGCCTCTTCTCGTAGACCTTGTAGAGGTGTTATTGCCATGGCCGGCTCTGGGAAGGTACCATTCAGAATTTTCTTAGATCTATCGACTATCGTTAATGTATTTAAAGACGCTAGAAAAAAAAACCCCACCTCTTCCCCTTGTTTTTATGTATGTTTTTTAGCCGTTTTGAGGAAATGTATAATGTATAAGATTACGTTGGTAGGTTTTCTATTTTTTTTGTTTGTCACTTAATAGTTGGCAATTAAAAAAAAAGAGAAAGGTTTAGATATTGAAACTAGAAAACAATGGGAAACTGCTTTTTGTTGCAAATGAATTACTTATCTTTGTTGAGATTATGTCTTCTTATTTGTGAAGAGCGTAATCATTAAGCAAGAGAATTTTCTAAATTTTATTTGCTGATTTCTATGGTAATAGTAGTTTTTTTTGTCTCTTCTATTTGGTCTTTTATTGAGGCTCTTGGTAAGTACCAACCAGATGGAGCCTAACGAACCTTTTTCTTGCACTTGCAGTTCTTTGTTCGGGGTAACTGGAAATGTGTAAGTACCCTTCCTCACAGATATTATGCTGTCTTTATTCTCTATATCAGTTCTTGGTTTTCTTGCATTTTCAGTTCTTTGTGTCAAATATCATGCGTTCATTGACTCCGTTAGCATTTCTTCTTGCATGTTATCCGACCAATTCTTCTGAAGTATTTTTTCCTTTTAGTCTTCCTTTAGAGTTTTCATGGTAATCTGATGTGTAATCTTCTTGCTAAGCATGTTTAATTTATAGTTAAAACGTTGGTTTATCATGACCTTAGTGCCAAGTAGACTCTTGCAATCAATTTGGTTTATTATGACCTTAGTGTCAAGTAGACTCTTGCAATTTTCAATCGAATGTTTTGTTTTCATGGTGGTTCTGATTTCTTCCCTTTATCTCCTTCTCCCCATTTTCCTTTTATCATTATAATTATTATAAATCAAAATGCTCTCCTGTTATTGTTAATTTTATGCCTTTTCCGGTGATTTATACCTTTCAAAAGTTTCTTTGACTTTTTCTAGTTCAGATTCTTCAAGTTCATCTGGTACTGCTAACTCATTTTGTGAATATATTTTTGCATTTTTTCTGTCAATGTGAATTTCATACTATATTTGTTGTTCTGCTGGGTTCTATGCATATGGAACAACTCTTGCATGGCTGTTTTATTCATTCTCCAGTTTAATTTTATTTACTGATAATGTTATTTTTGTTCTTTTAGAATGGAACAAAATACTCCATCATGAAGCTTGTTTCTGACTTGAACAACGCAAAGTTGGAGACTGATGTTGGTAATGTATAGCCTTTTACTTTGCGATTTGTGTATGTTAAATCTATTATGGAACTAGGCTTGAGGTTTATATCTGCTAATGGCTCAAAGATTTGCAAAATTTTTGTGATACTGCTGTCAATACTATCATTTTCATCTGCCCTCGTAGATGAATGCTACTTCCTGTGCTTTCCTTGAACCAATTTGTATTGATGTTTCTTAATTCTTTCTAGATGCCATGTAGTTTTGTCTGCATAAGGTTCATTGATCATGCTAAATGTTATGAAGATTGCTGATAGTTATGCTTGTTTGACTGATGTTGTTGTGGCTCCTCCCTTTGTTTATCTCGATCAGGTGAAGGCTACATTAACCGATCAAATTGAGGTATCTGCTCAGAACTCTTGGATTGGAAAAGGTGGGGCTTTCACGGGAGAAATCAGGTTAGCTAACTTTTGCTTGATGTGCAGAACATGTTAAATCTTCATACTTTTGTAGCCTTTATCATGGTGATATTGGCTTTGTACCCCTAATCTTGCGATAATTAAACCACAGCATTGTTGAAATTATACGTGGAAGTGCTATACTGCTTTATTGTTACCAGCATATGGTCTCCTTTTCACTGTGTATTTCTTATAAGCGCAGTGGCTCAACTTTAGTCTACCTCTAAAAATAGGTTTAAAATATACAGGAGTTCAATTACTTCTGATGCTGTCTCATGTGCTTAATTTGGTGCCTTGATGTGAGTGGAATATATGTCCTTGCTGGTGGATAGCTTTCAATTTATTCAGTTAAGATCATTATTAAATATATATTTTATCTCCCTTAGTGCAATTAGTTAATGTTGATTTCTTGGGAAAACCAATCAGAAGTAGTTGTTTGTATGCCATATTACTTTCTTAATCCATTACTTTGTTTAAGGTGTGGTAATTTTGAATAAGTTTCAGATTAACAGGGCATCTGTTATTTCATTTGATCTGTTTCTCAAACATATTGGAAGCTAATTGGTCACCTTTTTCTTTTTGTAGTTGTGGATATTTTTGTCTGCATACGTGAACTGATTTGATTGAGTTGCTGCAGCTCTATCTGTGTCTTTAATATGATTCATCTGATTCTTTCCATAGTGTGGAACAATTGAAAGATATTGGCTGCAACTGGGTCATTCTTGGGCATTCTGAACGCAGGCATAATATTGGTGAAGATGATCAGGTAAAAGTTCAGGCACTTATGTTCTTCAGAGATGTCAAATGGCATAGCTGTTTGTGCAAATTAATGCAAAACATGAATAGATGTACAACCGACTGAAGATTTGTTGTCTTCAGTTTATAGGAAAGAAGGCTGCTTACGCTTTGAACGAGGTTCTTGGAGTAATAGCTTGTATTGGTGAATTGTTAGAAGAAAGAGAAGCGGGCAAAACTTTTGATGTATGTTTCCAGCAACTGAAGGCCTTTGATGGTAAACTTTCTTGACCCTTTTGTGATTTCTGTTAATTTCTTTCCTCATGAATTACCATTTTAGGTTACCTTCTGAAGACTGAAGAGGAAAGGACTGTGACCTAACTCCAATGATTCCATCACTTGTAGATGTTGTACCCAGTTGGGACAATATAGTTATTGCTTATGAGCCTGTATGGGCCATTGGGACTGGTAAGGTGGCTACACCCCAGCAAGCTCAGGAAGTACATGTAACTGTCCACGATTGGCTTTAAAAGAACGTTTCTGAGGAAGTAGCATCTAAAACACGAATCATATATGGAGGTAGCTTGGATACTTTATCATTCTTTAGATGTTGTCACTATGTTTTGTTTAAATATCTTGCCATTTCCTTGCAGGTGGTAATTTGTGCAACATTAGTGTATAATATATTTGTGGTTTATGATATGAAAAGAGCGCATATGATTGCATATTTTACTTAGGCCCTTGTTATTATATGCTGGCGTAATATCATAATTTGGCGAAATTTTGTTTGCATGATTGTATTTGTGCAAATGGAAGAAAGACGAATGCACTTTTCTAAATTTAGTTTCAGAGAGTATTATTCATATTTTCCCCTTGCTATGATCTGAGGAAGGGAACGCCGTATTATTATGCCAAGTTTGATAAGTTGTTTTGGGGCAAATCTGAGGCTGATTTATAAGAAGATAGTGCCATCCGATGTGAAAGCTAAAGAGAGCATCGACTGTTTCTGCCAGGAATAATGTTGTCTCTCATTCCCCACAAGCTAATGACTTCTACATCTCTTTTGCAGGATCTGTGAATGGAAGCAACTGTGTTCAGCTTGCAAAGCAGGAAGATATTGATGGGTTTCTTGTTGATGGTGCGTCCTTGAAGGTATACGTGCATACGTGCACTATTCATTCTGTTTTGTAATGCTTGTTGTTAATAAAACGTAACTATGCTCTGCTTAGAAGAGGGCTTAGGATACTGAAATATCAATCAGTTGGGGCATTGCCGATGATTACATTCTATTTCTAATCTTGGTGGTGCAGGGGGCTGAGTTCGCTACAATGTCAACTCTGTAACATCCAAAAAGGTTGCTGCTTAAACATACAAAGCGGATTAAAGTAACGAATGGAGGACAAAGAGAAGCTTTTTCAGGTTGAAGCTTCATGTAACCTATGAGTTAGTGTTATCCAATGGAGTTTTGATTATTTATTGAGTTATTTTTCCCGAAAATGATTCGAAAATTCTGTTGTTTCTTTCTCATGTGCTACAAGTTTAATTTCTTTAAAATGCTATGGGCACTATGCATAATTCACTGACATTGAGAGAGTGCATTACTGTTTAATTCTCATTTGCTAATTTAAACTTCATTTACTTGTGTGGTTGTTGGGAATTGTGGATGGAACTATGGAACATATGATAGTCTCAAGATGGTAGCAAATGCTCGGAAATTACAGGGAAATTCTGACCAGACCATTTCCCATTCTGTCAAGCCTTTAGTTTTGTGACTTTGTAGACCATTGACTCATGAAGAACCTCCAGCGATAGCAATGGCTATGTGCCGTATGCCGAGACAATGGTGACCCCGGAGTGTTATTCTGGTGGGTGTCCGAACCTTCGGACAAGCTATGATAGAGCGAAACAGGTGACTTTATACTAAGGTTCTATATAAAATGGACGTCCTACTACTTACCAGACATCTGTAAAAGATTTAACTTTATTTCTCTTTTGACCATAAACATTATCAAAAAATAAAAATTCAGACAAATGATATCATGTTCCACCTGCTTATTGGTGCCTTTTAGTTTGTTACTGTTACATCAGACAAATGGGAAGTCAATGATACTCTCATCAGCTTCTGCACCAGGACAGATAACAAACATTGTGAAAAGGGATAGATCAGCATTCAGCGAAATTAAAGCAGTACTTTTTGCGTTCGCCTTTTGAAGAAAGAAACAGTTAACATGGAATGCTTTGGCCTGGTCTTATCATCATTGTAAAGCCATCGATTTTTTTTTTTTTTTGAAGAATTTGACTAATGATTAGCTTGAAACGTAAGTTAAAGATAACTTGTATGTAGAAACATTAGAGAGTACTAAGCAACCAAGCTTTTACCGCACTTTATTAGTAAAAGAGGTTTCTTTTTGCTTGGGCTTTCATTCAAACTCAGGATTAGGTTTACTTGAGCCAATACAAGAAAAGTACCTAAACTTTGAATCTTGGACCAATAATTCATTTCAGACAATTCAAGAAAACTAAACTTCTACTCATCTGATCAAATACAGTTCTCAGGTCTATTTCAGGAAAAATTTTGTTGTATGATGAACCAAAACAGCATAAGCTTCAAGGTTATACCACTGAAATTTCTGAGAATCCCAAGTAGGGTCTGATTTTTCTGGAAGAAATTATCTCTATACTACTGTAGTTTTGATCTATGTTAACTGCTTTAATTATCAGAAACTGTCTATTAAACATGAATGCAATTCCCAACCTTACAGCAACTTCTTTTCTATTTTGCAGTGTTATTTTCAATACAACTATCTATGCTGGCATACATGTGTTCAGTCTAATAAAGCAAGCCCAGTTCAGTAATCACATATCAAACTGCTAGTAACCCAACCAAAGAAAATAAATTCTAAAATAGTTTTTCAATCTATAGTACTAATATCACAAATTCACAATCATACCAGCCAGCTCCCACGGAAAACTGACTGATACTGCACCAAAATCAACAACAACACAATAAAAGTAGCCACGACCCATGGTGAGCTATCCCCTGAAGGGCGACGGTGAGTCTGGCGGCGACGTTCCCATGGTGATGAACTAAATAGCATATCAGAAGCTTCCATAGATGAAAGCCAACGAGCTAAGAGTATCAACACTAATGGTGTGGCAAAAAGTACCCAACTCATTTGCTCTTCAACAGTTTCCAGAACTGATTCATAGTTAACATACCATGATATTCCAAGAAAGATTGATGTCACTGCTAGGATTAGCAGAACTGGATATGGCAGAGGACTTACAGTGAATGAATCAAAGATGGTGTCTCCTCTTCTATAATAGGCCATAAATAGGTCTGTGTAAAGGGGTCTGTTTAGAATTGAAGGCCTGTCTATTTATAGCAAAAATGAGTGTCTGAATTTGTGGTTCACAGCTTAAACTAAGTTGTACCAGGGTAATTCTGGACGTAGATTTCTTGTTTTTATTGGTTAGTGGATCAGTCTGAACTTCTTGGATTCAGGTTTGAAGTTGGCAAATGTGGGACCTGAGCGGCAGAAATTCAAGACAGGACGGTAAAATGAAATATACTTTGTCTTCTTCTCTTCTCCTTATGATTCAAAGCTATCAGTCTCAAACTTGTTTTAAACGTAAGATGTCGATAAACCGCGTGAAAGGAAATCATAGATGAAAAATTGAAAGTTGATCTTTTTTTCGAAGAAATTTGCTATCTAATTGTTGCAAAAGGTCAAAAGTCTATCCAATTGTTGCAAAGGGTCAAAAGTCTATAACCCTCAAGCATAGAGTTTGGAAGAAAAAGGAAAGAGCAGAGAAGAGCAAACTTTTGAAAGGTTAATTACGGAAGCTGGTATTGTTCTACATCACTTGGAAAATGGTGCTGTCTGGAAATGGTTTGCATCTGCCTAAGAAATTGAGAATGTAATAATACATCAATACTAGTAAGCAGTAACATTTTTAAATATTCAAGAATTGTACGACGCAAGTGGGTACCATTGTTGGATTTTCACAGTGGCAGACCCATTGTTTCTTTGGAACAACTACGTCACATTGCAAGTGAAGAGCTTCTGGATTCCCTTGTTGCATGAGGAGGAATAGAAGACAGTAAGAGGGTGTTGGTGATCAACATGCTTCACATGGTTTTCGATGAAAGAGCACATCCAACGTGGAGATCAAGTTGCAACTAGAGCAATGGTAGTCAAAGGACTCAAAATTAGTGCCATAGTCGCCACAAGCATTACGAATGAACCGTTCATTTCTGTAATGTTTGGGTGGGGTAGAGAGAAGGGTGAGAGGATGATCTGGGTGGGAACAGTTGGCTCAATTGTCAAACGTTTTATGTGAAAAGGAAGAGCACTTGGCAATATTTCAACTCTAGGACCTCTGCTTTGAGAGCTAAATGTGCGTATTGTTCTATGAATGAAAAGGAAATTGGTTTAGTCTGGAAGATTTTCCAAATATTTGTTCACTTGTTTTCGTTTCCCCTCATATTGAACAAAGGGAGAAGCAGATATATGAAACTACAACTAATCAAAATACATACCTTCAAGTCTCAGATGCTTAGAATCGGTGGAATAAAAAAGCTCCCAAATTCCAGTTATGGAAAATATATTGACTTGTAAGGAGACAGGCTTTCCTTAACTTGGAAGAACAGAGTAAACAATTAATTTCGAATTCCCAAAAACAGATTTATCAAACCAATCGCCATTAAAAAAAATCTTATAAAACAAATCATAAAATTGTCAAAACTATAGTTTAATCTAATAATATGTATATGCGCACAATTCAGTTCATCAAAGACATTGTAACTCATAAATAGAACAAGTAACTTGTAGTATCAGACAAACCAGGGATCAGAAACGGTAGATTTAGTAGCAATACTTCCAGGGCATGCATCTTCCACAGCCACAGTAGTGAGGTCGCCGACAAGAATCCGCAGACAACCAACGAACAAGGACTAGTAATGCCATTACTGCGAGTAAAACTAGCCAAGTCATATTATCCTCAGCACTTTCCATAACTATCTCAAATTGGATTAAAGATGATAAGGCAAGTAACATCAATGCAAGCGCCAGGAATAGCAGGACTGAGTATGGTAGAGGAGACGAGGGTCTGTAGCATCTTCCACAATAGCAGTGTCCATAATAGCAGTAGGCCATGATCAAGAAGAAATGCTGGAATCAAAATTCTAGAGTTGTTATTGCAGAAAATGGGTGTCTGTTAGTTTCCTAGATATATATCTAACTAGCTGATTTCCACATCCTTTTGGTGGGGGTTTTACCTTCAAACTGACTTAAAATTACAGAAACTGATAAAAGTAGATATTTCCTTTTTGTAATTAAAAGATGGAAATGATGTGGTTCTTTAATTTTCCTGATCCACCACAGAAAAGTGGCAACCTAAGCACTTGGTGGTTGGGCAATCAAGCGTTATCCTTTAGCCTACAGATGAAGACATGGATGCCATGGGTGATTGAAAAGAGTACAACGTGAAAACCAAGTAAGCCAATTCACCTGGACAAAAAATGATTCTTGATTTGACTCATCGTACTGGTCTTATTTTTAAAAAGCTCCAAAACAGTGCAGCCCCAACCCCACAAAAAAATTTTCCTCTTATTCTTGCTTTTATCTTCCCTGTTAGGCGATCACAAATACTAAACAACCTAGTTTTACAAGCACTAAGCTGGTGAGCAGCACTTTATTAAAGTTAAAAATACGCCTTTCATGTTACATTGGGAAAGGAACCAGGAAATCCTGATGAAGTTTCCAATTAATCACAACATTGTTCAAGCCATTCTCTTCTTTTGCAAAAAGTTGGTAGTAGGTGGTACATAACATCATGTACGATTGCCTGACCGACTTCTTTTCCAACTATTCTAACTAAATTCACATAAGATATGTGGAAATCTAGGCCTTGATCATATTGGTTGAGCAAAATTCAGCCCCAAAGATCGCAAAAGAAAAACAAAAAAAAAAAAAAGGGTTCCCAGGGAAGTAAACAAGTGTAAGATTTCAATGGCCTGGAGAAACTGAAACTCTGATGGCCTTCTTCGGGGTGTTTCCCGTGGGTCGGATATCTTAAGGGATAGGGGTGAGTAAATGGTCAATTCGATCGGTTCGGTTTGAAAAAATCAATAATCAATTTAATCGATTTTTATTTAATAAATAATTGAATCGATCAAATATTATTAAATAATCGATTATAACTGAACTGATCAAAATCGGTTCGATTTGATCGGTTCGGTTAAATAATCGATTTTTTTTTATTTTTCTTCTTATTATAAATAATTATTTAACCATAAATTTAATTCAATAAAATTCAAACTCTAGTATCATTCAAACTAAATTACTAAAGAATTTAATAATTTCAACAATATTTTACCAAAAAAATTAAATAAAAATATTTATCTCAATTTTTTTATTTTTAATTATTAAAAAATCGATTAATTCGATCAATATGATTATTAATTTTAAAAATAAAAAATCGATCGAATTAATCAATTTAATCGATTTAAAAAATCGATTATAATTAAAACTGAATAAATCAAATCAATTTAATCAAATTCATTTAATTTTAACCGATTTAATCGATTCAAACCGATTTTTGCCACCTGTTAAGGGGTAACTGAGCAAAATACGAGGATGCTTTGTGATGTCGATGTTTAACACCAAGATCCACGGCTACAAAATGTCTCCAATGGCAGACATGATACGTGCAGAAGAAAATAATGTGGACCAACAGGCTAGAGAGAAAAGTACAACTCAACCAACTCCAATAATTTCACAAGCCAAGCAGACGTAGTCAGGCCGACACTTGACAATCGGTTCAAATTTCTCTTTAAATTCACCATTGAAAAAAATGAAAATATTAACCTCCTCTTATACATCGTCCAAAATTTTTTAAATGGACATAGTTGAATTAAATTATATTATATTTAATCAATTGGCATGATTTTTTTCAGAAACAACAAATAATAATTTAGACTAATCTAAGCCTGGTGCCAGCGGCAGAACGAAAATTCGCTCCACCTGGCAACGATATACTGGACCAAATGGATAGACTCATCCCATGTATGTTAGCCAAATGCCATCATCAAACTTACCAGTTACCGCAAAAGCTCGACAATAACATGAACCTCTTGGAGTTTATTTCTTTGTATGCTAGAAGTGTTAGGAAAATGGGTTCAGTTTCATGTAAGTGGTTTTGGACCAAGTAAAGATCATGGGCTTTGATCTTTTATTTTACACAGAGCCCTAGCTACTTAATAAAAAAGAGGTGGGGTTGTTTTATGTGTGTGTCGACAACCAAGCAGAAAAAGAAGAAAAGCCAGGAAAAGCAGAGAGAGAAAAATGAGAAGGGAGAGTTGGTTAAACGGAAGTCGATCCGTGGTCCGATTGAGTTGGAACCTTGTCAGGAGGTTTATGATTCAGAGTTATACATTCTGAACGGTGAAGATCGGGTTTGAAGCTCTCTAGGAACAAATCCAGGGTGTATTTGTTGAGTCACTTATTTGGTGAGATTTCTCCAATTGTTTCTCTAGTTGTTGATTAGCTCTAGTTTTAGCTAGAGAAGAACTTTGTATAACTATTATTTGATAGTGAAGATTTTTCTGGTGGCCCGTGGTTTTTTCCCTCTACACTGGAGGGTTTTCCAAGTAAATCTTGGTGTGCTTTATTTTTCCTGCGCATTTGATTATTGATTGTTGTCTATTGCTTCTGTATTGTTGTGATTATTGCTTCAGGCGCAACAAGTGGTATCAGAGCGAGGGTTATTTTGAAACATCGATACAAAAGCATCTCAGGATAGAAGTAAATTCTGTTTGAGATCATGGAAGGTGATACAGGTTCCATGATAAAATTGACAGCATCGAATTATTCAATTTGGAAGCCTATGATGGAGGATCATCTATACTGTAAAGATTTGTATGAGCCAGTATTGGGTGATTCGACTAAACCAGCAGATATAAAAGATAAAAGCTGGAAGAAGCTAGGTAGAAAGACGCTGGCTACAATCAGAAAATGGGTTGATATCAGCGTGTTCCATCATGTAGCGCAGGAGTCAGATGCTCACATTGTTTGGGAAAAATTGGCAGCATTGTATGAGAGAAAAACATGTATGAATAAAGTTATGCTTGTTAAAAAGATTGCAACTTTACAGTACAGGGATGGACGATCTGTTACAGAGCACTTGAGTGATTTTCAAGATATATTTAATCGGATGACTACTATGGAGCTTAAAATGGATGATGAAATGAAGGCATTATTTCTTTTGGGTTCATTGCCAGACAGCTGGAATACTCTAGTTGTGACTGTTCTTAATTCAGCTCCTGATTATAAGGTGACATTGGAGATGGTAAAGGACAGTATGCTTAATGAAAAAGCGAGGTGAAAAGATGTAGACCCTGGGAATCAAGCTCTGGTCACAGAGAACAGGGGTAGAAACATCGACAGAGGTCAGGACTCAAAAGGCCGTGATAAGTCTAAACATAGATCCAAATCTAGAGGTAAAGTGAAGTGTTTCCATTGTGGTAAGACGGGTCATATAAAACGAAATTTTAGAATCTTGAAGCAAGAACGAAAAAATGAGAAAGGTAAGAGTTCAAATGATGGCAATGTTGCAGCAGTGAATTCAGATAGTGATTCAGTTACTTTGATTTATACACATGGTGATTGCAATCATGTTAGTGATCCCGGCATTGAGTGGATAGTTGACACAGGAGCGGCATATCATTGTGTTCCTAAGAGAGAGTTGTTTACAACTTACAAAGCAAGAGACTTTGGTTGTACCAAGATGGGAAACAAGAGTGTGTCGCAGATTGTTGGGATTGATGATATTAGTGTACAAACTAGTACAGGCTGCATGTTGACTTTAAGGGATGTCAGACACATTCCAGATATGAGAATGAACTTGCTTGCTATTAATGTCCTTGATAAGGAGGGATATGAAAGCTGACAAAAGAATGGACAGTAGAAGCTTCTCAAAGGATCTATGGTAGTTGCAAAGGGAAAATTATGCTGCATAATGTATAAGACATGGATGCAATTGAACGGTAACCAGGTAAATACCGTTGAAAATGATGCTTCAGCAAACTTGTGGCACAGGAGGCTGGCACACATGAGTGAAAAAGGGTTACAGGTTTTGGCAAGGCACTCTCTCATTCCCTTGACCAAAGGTATGTATCTCGATTCATGTGATTATTGTTTGTTTGGTAAGCATCATAGAGTTTCTTTTCGTAAAAGTTCTCAGAGAAAAGAAAATAGATTGGAATTAATTTATTCTGACGTATGTGGTCCCATTGAGGTTGAGTCATTAGGTGGTAGCAGATATTTTGTTACTTTTATTGATGATGCTTCACGTAAGACTTGGGTGTATATGTTGAAATATAAAAGTCAGGTACTGCAGTATTTTTAAAAATTTCATGCCATGATTGAGAGGATGACAGGGTTACCCTTGAAGTGTATTCGAACTGATAATGGTGGGGAATACACATCTAAAAGCTTTGAAGAGTATTGCTCAAAGCATGGGATCAGGCATGAGAGGACAGAACCTGGAACACCGCAGCATAATGGTATAGCTGAAAGAATGAATCGCACCATTGTGGAAAAAGTCAGATGTATGTTGAGGATGGCAAAATTACCAAAGCCATTCTGGGGTGAAGCAGTCAACACAGCTTGTTATTTACTTAACAGGTCACCATCAGTTCCTTTGGGCTTTGACATTCCAGAAAGAGTATGGAAAGAAAAAGATGCTTATACTCTCATTTGAAAATTTTTGGGTGTAAAGCATTCATGCATGTACCGAAAGAGCAGAGATCAAAGCTTGACAGTAAAGCTACACAGTGTGTGTTTGTAGGATATGGTGATGAGGAATTTGGCTACAGGGTATGGGATCCAGTAAAGAGAAAGACAGTCAGAAGCAGAGATGTGGTCTTTCATGAAAAAGAAACCATAGCAGACCTTGAGAAAAATGAGAAGACTACACGAGTTACTGTTGAGTGTGATGTTTCAACACCGACAGAGATTTCACAGAAAAGAGCCACAGATGGTGAAAATGAGCCAGAAACAGAACTTGGGGATATGGATGAGCCAGCTACAGTTGGTGATGAGCCAGATGCTATTAGTTTTGAGCAGGGGAAGCAATCTTCTCTACCTGAGAGTGTTGAGCAGGGGGAGCTACCTTCGGCATCAAGTGATGTAGAGTCTCAGCCTAGGAGATCTACTAGAGAGCACAGGCCATCTACCAGGTATCCAAGTTTAAATTTTATTTTAGTTACCAGTGAAGGGGAGCCAGAAAGCTTTCAAGATGTGCAGGCTACTCCGGATAGAGAGCACTGATTAAAAGCAATGAAAGAAGAGATGGAGTCATTGCGAAAAAATGGTACTTATGATCTTGTTAAACTTCCAACAGGGAAGAGGCCATTAAAGAATAAATGGGTGTTCAAGTTGAAAAAGGATGGTGACAAACTAGTAAGGTACAAAGCTCGATTGGTAGTAAAAGGTTTTTCTCAAAAAC